TACTCGCATAATATCAAACTATATTTTAGCTTCTTTTTTCTCAATTGAGTTCATTAGATTTTAATTTTTTTTGTTTGAGTACATCGATTTTTTTCAAAACTACCAATCAAGTACCCGAGTCTATTTCTCTATTAGCCGATGAAGTGTCCGTTATTCTCAAAATATCAAATTATAATTTTTTCATCTTTTTGTTGGAAGGAGCTTTCCCTCTAATTATTCTATTATTTCAAAATTTGACATAGAATTAAAAAAAATATATTTTTAGCTAAAAAAGCATTATTTTTATCTATAAAAATCCAAAGTAAACTTAGTTAGGTTTATGCATTGAAATTAAAAAAAAAGACATAAGATTTTTCATCAAGAAAATTCCTTACTTGTGAGTATCTAGGAGGAAAATTCTCTTTAACAATAAAATAAAATTATAACTTGGTATTTTAAGGGTAAAAATATGTCATCAATTAACGAAAAATTTGATAAAAGTATTTGATTGATAGTTTTGAAAAAAATTGATATACTTATTATCTTAAAGAGAAAAAATTAAAGTTTATATATTCGATTGAAAATGAGAGGGTAAAATTATAATTTGGTATCATGGAGGGTAACGAACACGTCATTAATACTAAAAAGAAATTGACAATTAGCGATGGATTATAGCGATGGATTAAATTCCCTTGCTAATTGGAGATAAATTAACGACGGACTAGCGACGGACTAGAAGAAGGCAATTTTTATGAGTGATTAGCGATGGCATCCTAAAAAAAAATTCAAGCGTTATTTTTTAATCATGTTAATTTTAACTTAAAATTTTTTAATTATATTAATTTTTAGGTTTAATTTTATTAATGTAATTTTTTAATGTAATTTAGTTAAGGTTGATTTATTGTTAATGTACTTATTATTATTATTTAGGTTAAAATTTAATTATTTAATTTATGTTAATTATTGAAAAATTAAATGCGGGTGAAACAACATGAGCTCCAAAACCTGGTCTCGGAGCGACAGAACGACTATACATAATTTGAAATCTCAATACGACAAGATGGCATCCTTAGTGATGAGGCCGACACGGACAATTGGGATGCATGTAGATTCGTTGACCGGTCGCACTCTACCATTCCTTCCATGCGGCCTCCAGCGAGTCCTCTCGGTGAGCCCTCCACAAAATATCGGGAGGAAGATATGGGATTAGACGAGCAAGATGAGTGATATAACATTGCTTTTAGTGACTTTATTTTTATTTTTTATCGAACGTGCTACTCGAATGCTATTGTTAATATTAATTTATTTTCAATCTATATGTTATCACTTTTACTCGTTAATTATTACATATAATATTAATAATTAAGTATTAAATGCAATATTAATAATTTAAAAATAAAAAAACACAAAATATAATATATATATATATATTTTAAAAATAGCGATAGATTAGCAACAAATTTCTTTTTTCATTTTAGCGATGGAAGCCACAACCGATTCTATGATGAAAACAATGACGGAATGGATTTGGTCGTCACTAAAAATTACCGACAATTTTAGCGACGGACGATATTAGCAATGGGTTTAGAGCAATTAGCGATAGAATAATCTGTCGCTAATTGGCTGTTTTTTGAAGTGTAACTTACAGAGAAATTGAAAGAAGTACTTAATTAATTAATAGTTTTGAAAACATCGATCTACTCAAATAAAAAAAAAAAAAAATATATATATATATATATATACTCGATTGAAAAGTTAAAAATTGATATATTTATATTGTATTTCCCCCTTGTATTGGGAGTATATCATAAAATATATATTAGGATTGTATTAAAGGTATAACAGTAAACCAAAAATTCTTTAAAAACAGTGTTTTTATTTAAAGTAACTTCTTGGCGCGGCCTGCACTTCTATTATCAAGTGTTTTATAATAATTTTTATCAGATTATTTTGAATTATTTATAAGTAAAATTTTCAATATTTATTGAATTAAAATTTTTGGTTTTTAAAATATGAAATATTTTTATATAAATTTTGACAATTTGTAATTAATTTAGTTTGTTTTATTTTTAAAACATACAAATAAGTCTTATTTAATTGAAATAAAAATTATAGACATAAAATATTTAGTAGTTAGAATATATATGTGTTTGTTACATGTATATGTATGACCGTTAAAATTAGAAAATTTAAAAATGATAATCACTAAAAATTTACACCAGTTTATTTACCAAAAAAGGTTGAAATTGGGAAAATATAATTTTCGTATCATATGCTGTAATGAGAAAGTTCCACGTCTCTTTTGAAAAAAAAAATAAAAGAATTAAAAAGAGAAAAAATATTTTTTATTTTTTATTATGATGTATATAGGTAGTTGTTTTAATTAAATAATAAAAAAAATGATAGATGTAATTATATATTAAAATACAAATATATTTTATGAAGCCATTTTTCTTTAAGAAAATTTTTTCAAATGGAATAATACAAATTTTGTGAATCATTTTGTACAAAAAATAAAAAAGGTAATATAAGACCATAAAAAATCCTATATATATATAAAAAATAAGTATCCAATTTATTGATGAACTTTGATGCAATTTTATTATTTTTAACTTTTAATGTTATTTGTTTTTTTGGGCTTCTTTTTAATCATTTTTAGAGTTTTCACAAGCAAAATGAAGTGCTAAATAATGTAGTATATAGATTTCGAGTGATTTAAAAAGCTTTTTTCAAAATGTTATTTAGGATTTTATGTGGTTAACATTTAGGAAAATACTGAGAAAATGGGATTTTTTTAGGTTTATTTTTTTTAAAAGAATTTCTTTAATATTAGTTTTTTTTTCCTGCTTAATTAAAAGTGAGGTGAAATTTACATTTTAGTATTGAAGATATTTTATAATGCTAATATTGTGTTAAAGATATAACAGTCAATCAAATGTTTTATAAAAATTTCGTGTTTTTATAGTTATAGTTATAGTTTGGATATATATATATATATATATATATATAAGGGGCTGGGCAATTAGAATATTAGAATATCTTAATTAGTATGCTCTCTAATATAAAATTAATAAAAGAATACATATATTACATAGGCATATTCACCGCTAAACAATCCTAATTTTAAGAACTTGTCCACACACACACACACAGATATATATATATATATTCAAAATCTAGAATATATCAGTTTTATAAGAAAAATATCAGAAGTACATTAACGAATAAAGCATGATTATAATATCTGCTAATTAAAGACTATTCTGATATAACTAATAACCACTATAATTGGAAGTTTAGCTATTCATTTTTTTTAAGTAAATGCTATATGTATATATAGTATGTAATCAGAAACAAATCTTCAAAGCAAAATGGATTGTCTATTGAAAATAATGAAAACTAATTCTGAGATTTACTGGAACAATTAATCAATCAAACTGTTTGTTTTGGTAGATTAAATCCACCAAAACCATTTCACCGAGACCATGTCCTCGTACGTGAGACTTACTTGTAAGCTTTTTTGTTACGTAAACTATTTTCTCTATTATAAGAGCCTTGGTTACCTATTAGGCTTGTATTGTTCATGAATCATATATGACTTTTCAAGATTTGTGTGCATCTCACTTGCTTTATATATTAATCCTTCCCTAGCAAATACAATTAATGTACAAAATTTGCTGATAGATCACCTCAGTTCTACATTTTAAAGAAAATGTCATATATATATATATAGAAAATTGGCATCTTAATTTGGTTATTATATGTGTTAATTGTTCAAATAAATCTATCTAGCTAGTATGTGATTAGGAGATTTCACTAATTATGCATTCTGATCTAGGAAAGGTCAAATAACACAGTAATCTTACTTTGATATGTTTCCTTTAATTTACATCATTTTAATTGGCTATCGATGAATCTATATATGTGAATTTATTGTACATTACTCTAATAAGTAATAAACTCTCAACAGTAATTCTACTCTGTATTTCTAAATTTCTAATTAATTTCTGATTTGATGAGATGGTAATTGACATAGACATACTAGCTAGTACAACGAAATTAAAAAAAAATAAAATTAACAAGCTAATAATGAAATTGCTAGCAACCAATTATAATAGTTTCATATGATAAATTTAGTATCTATAAATATTTTTTCCATCAATTTGTTTGAATTATATATATATATACCCATCATTTACCTTTTTGTAACTCGATTAATTTTCAAGATCTTTTTTTTAAAACAACTTGATTTTGATTAGTATCTCATCTATTGATAATCACTCTTGCATCGGAGTATATTATAATATTTTCTTTTATTATGAAATTTAAGAATTGTGTTAAAGATTAATATAAAATTATTTATAGAGTTTCTTTTAATAATTTAATTTTTTAGTTTAAATGATTATTGGACATGATATCTGAATTTTAATAACCAAACGATTACGAATTTGAATTTCATCATTTAATTTTTTTCTAATTAATTAAGTATAAGGTAGTATAGATTTATCAAAATTTCAAACCTAATGAGCTAATAGCTTAACCGAAAAACACTTTTAAAAGATGTAGTGAATTTTATATATGACTTCTACAAATCCTGGTGTTATTAAACTTTACCATTTCCTTTTAATTTCGAACTCTAACCCTACTTCCCTTTCATGACGTCACACATTAAACTTTATGCAACATTATTGCACTCTAATGTCACCAAATCATGCATCGACTATCTAATGGAATTTTACTCTTTTTTAGTAATCAACCATTTGACATAGTACGTAGTTCAAATACATATTAGGAATAATTGTATAGCAAGCCCTGAAATGAAACAAAATCTTGCAAGCATCGTCATCACTTCAATCCTTTTTCTCTAATGATGCATCGTAATGAGACAACCTTGGGATTTCTTTCCATTGATGAAGAGATGCGTGTTTATTCAAGACTCAATTATAAAAAGAGAATATATCCTGTGCAGTCTTTGCGCCAAACCAAAAACTTGAGCATTTTAGTTTATTTTTGTTGTCAATATGGAATCAACTGGTACTGCAGAAAGATGTCCCTCTGAAACCTCAAGCATCTCAGCTGCCTTAGAAGAAGCATCAAACCGACATGGTGGTGATCATGATCAGAAGAAGGTGGTCAATATGAAGATGAAGGAGAAAGTTGTTAATGGAACTGAACCATCAACCTTGCCTGAATCATCAAGCTCTCGTGTTTTGCTCGATTTGAAACTTTCTAGTGATGATTCCAATCGTGGATCAAAGCTAGAACTCAATCTTTTAAGTGCTATTAATGAAGGTTCTTCTCATGCAAATGGGTCAACATATGAGGATTTGAAACCAGCTGAATCTAGGGTTTTTACCTGTAACTTTTGCAAGAGAGATTTCCCCTCATCCCAAGCTCTTGGTGGGCATCAAAACGCCCACAAACAAGAGCGTGCATTAGCCAAAAGCCGTCAAGGGTTGGATGTGGGTGCTTTTGGGAACTTTCCATACTATCCCTATTCAAGACTTGCAGCACACCCTTATTATATATCTTTTAATAGGCCACCACTTGGGGTGAGGATGGATTCCTTGATTCACAAGCCACCATCTTATCCATGGACATCCCCATCAAGTGGGTATCGTTTCGGCCTTGGTGGGTGCTTGACGAGGCAGGCCACGATTAATGCACCGCCTTCCATTGATAGGCGCCTAAGAATGGAGAGTTTGAATGCTCTTAATGGTCGATTTGGAAATTTGGCTTCCCCGCCAGCTTCTTCTTCTTCAAGGTTTGGGGACATTGATGGCGTATTTCGCAACTTTGGTGCTTCTTCCTCATCAAATATTGCAACCAATAAGCCGTCCATTAATACTGATCAAGTACTCCAGCGAATTGAACCTCCAAAAAGTAACCCTCCAAAAATCGATGATCAGGCTGATGAAGCAGAACTTGATTTGTCTCTTAAGCTTTAGCAACTGTTAATTAGTAGATTATTACTTGAATTTTCTATGCATATGCTTCTTATTATTTGTTTTAACTTTCACATTGAACTCCACATTGTAAATTGTATACATATGGATAAATAAATGTTCACTTAATTAATTGAACCTTAATTTCATGAATTGCTCAGTTTTTATTCTCTCTCTCTTTTTTTACACATAGATTTCTATCCTTTGTTATCACTGTCTTTGTGAAAAGAAATCATAACTCACCAAATGGGCATTTGTTCCACTATTGAATGAACTGGATTTTTTTTTTTTTTTCCTTTTTTGCCATAGGAAAGAACTGGAATTTGAATTTCCGTTGTAATTCTTAAAGAAAAGGTGCACAAAATCAATGAGTCAATTGAATCTCATCATTTTGCTTTTCAATTAATGACCAAATATAAATTGCATCCTTTGTTATTTATTATACCACTACGTACTTTTATTCCCTTCGTTAAACCTTGATTTTCATTATCCAATATTTTGATGATCCCAGTGATCAGTGACTATTAATTTTCTTTTCCAAAAATGTAAGACGATACTAGTGAGTCATCAAGTCTGAATCACAAAAAAAAGGTATCATAAAATCAGATTGTAGAGGAGATTCCTAACTATATATAACTTATAAAAAACTTGAAAACAAAAAAAGGAATTAAGAATTAATTGCAGGGATATATATTTATTTAGATAATATTTTTTAGGTGTTTGTTCAAATAATTAGATAAGAATTTTTAGAAGGAGAAAAATAAAAATTAGTCATCAAGTTAATTTATATATTCCTATACATTTCCAAGATTAGGTAGTCGATAATAACACTGAAATCAGAAACGAGTTAATAAATTAATTAATTGGTGGTTTTCTCAAATTGCTGAAAAAATTTCACTCGCATTTGATCTTTGTGTGAGATTTAGAGACTTAAAATGGAAAAGGATACAACTTTTCTTTTTGATTCCAAATAGATTCTGCAGTCACATACATTGAATAGGAGTGGCACCAACTCATTTTGTGTTTTTACCTACCAAAAAATAAGAATAATAAATAAACAATTGGAAAAAGGAAAAAAATAATAATAATAACGTAATGAGATCGGAGAAGGATTGGACGTGGGATTTACAGAGTCTTCCATAAGTAAGATTTCCTTCTTATTCTGATTACAAGCCTTTAATCGTAACTCAATAATATTATTAGTTAGAACCACTTTTCTTTATATATATTAAAACATTCAATGAAATTAAGGGATAAATAGCTTTAATTTTTTGTGATCAATTTATAAGCATTAATCTGAACTTCAATTTTTCCAGATTTCTTCAAATAAATTCCACAAACAGGTAAATTAATTTGCCACCTTTTTCAAATATCTCAACTGTTGCTTCTGGAAAGAAATTGATGGGTGGCACGAATTTCGTGCCATTTTCTGATTTTGATATTAGTAAGCCCATGGACGATTTATAGGAATGGGTCGAGCCCAAGATGAGCAGAGTCCTGAGCAATGCAGGGGAACCCAAAGGGACCAATTTATTAAGAAAGAGCGCGAGCAAACCGATTTGATTTCGGAAATAGTTGCCGTTTAATTATTTTAAAACAAAATTTCATACTTATCTTTTTTGATTTCCGTATTGCTTACTGATTGGTTTCTTCAATCCGAAAACCATACTGGTCAGCATCAGTCTCTCTGTATATACTAACCCACATCCACAAACTGAAACGTTCCAGGATAAGAGATTAGTTCTCATATGTCTCTCAGTTTTTGATCTGTTATTGCAATGGTGGAGAAACAACAAAAGTTTTGTGTTGCTGGTTCTTGTTTTGCTGCCAAGAAAATTCAGAATTCGAAAAAAAGAAAAGAATGCGAGGATCAACAATCCGGAAGTGAAGTTTTTAATGAGTATCCTAGCTGGGTCAAGAAGCCAAAAACATGTAGCGCAGCTAGTTCCATTGCTTCTTCAAGAACTCCAGGGAGGGTTGTCAATGAAACAAGGGTTTTTTATGACAATTGGGTTAACTCTACTGGTCGTGATTCAAGAAATAATGGACTTTCTAGTGGGTTGCTGTCACTTTCCATCGAGAACCATAGCTGTGTCAAGAAGCCAAAAACAAGCGCCCCAATTGGTTCTATGGCTGCTTCAAGAAATCCAGGGATGGTGTTACAAGAACTAAATCCTTTTGATGACGAGCGGGTTACCGAGAATTATTCTTGTCCTGATTCAAAAAGCAAAGAATCTATAAAAGAGAGAAGAGTGGCTTTTAATCTCAGGAGGATGAAACCATCTTATGGCCTTAAGGATTTGCTAGAGGAGGGGTCTCGTGGGGTTTCAACTCAACTAAGTCTATATCATCATTATCCATTTAAGATCAAGAAGAAGATGAAACCTAGTGATTTGGGAAATTTATGCAGGCTACTTGTGTCTGCAGATTTAGTGAAGAAACATATCCTCCCATTCCTAAAAAAGGATCAAATTAAACAGCTTGAAGTGAAGAATCAAGAAATCAATGGTTTGAAGGTCTGGGTTTGGGATATGAATACAGAGAGCATGCATCAGTTGGTCTTCAAAAGATGGAGCACTTCAAAAAGTTATATTTTCAATGATGGCTGGACAAAGCAGTTCGTTAAGAGGAGGAATTTGGTTGAAGGTGATGAAATCGGACTCTTTTGGGACAATGATCACTCAAGATTTCACTTCAGTGTTCTGAGTAGGACTGCCGCTACTGGCTAAGACTGAAAATTATTGTTGCTTTTAGGTTACGTTTGATTGTCAGTTGCTTGTTTTGTTGTAACTATCTTCATCAGTTGTTATAATTCTATACGTCGTATTTTCTTGTTCATGTTGTTTAGACACCATAATTAATCAATAATCTATTTTGGTTTAATTGATTTCTTTTTGTCTGGTTTGAGTTCAATCAACCAATTGATCGTTCTCTATCGATTCTGTTTACCTTAAATACTTTTCAAAGAAATAAAAAAAATATCATTTGATCAAGACAAAAAGAGAAAAAATTTAATTTTATAAGAGATTGCTTTCATGTCACGAAGGAAAAGAATATATCTGTATTGCCAAGGCAGATGAAACAATAATATAGGTAAAGTTAATAAAAAAAAAATTGTTGCACAATAAGTAAAAAAGGTTGAGAAAACAACAAGAAGAAATGGGGGATACCTATGGAATTGTTGAACAGGCAAGGTCTTAGTTATATAGCTAGTGGAATTGGAATACCTTTGTGCATGGATAAAGCAACAAAACAGCAAAAGAGACTTTCGTTTGCCAAAGTGTGTATTGAGGTTGATATTGCTGCTAAGTTGCCTAATTCTCTTCGTGCGGGGGTGGGGGGAGCTTCTTTTCTGTCAATGTTGAGTATCCATGGAAACCTTCCTACTGTGAGCTGTGCGCAATGTTGGGTCACAATTCCGTTAATTGCAAATCTAAGCAGAAGCAGGAGAAATGGGTCCCTAAAATTGTTAACGCAGCTGATCAGTCAGGTATGGGGGAAGCTGTTTCAACATCAAAAGATAAAGGTGCATTGCTAGACACAAATCCTTTTGACACATTAGCTATTACAGAACTGGTGCAAAATGTAGAGGATCGCATTATGGCCATTGAAAGCAGTGAGGCTAATACTGTGATAATGAATAGCATTGCTGAGGTGTTGAATGATAAAGTAGATCATGATGGGGTTGAGGTATATGACAGTGATAAGGTAGCTCTTGAATCTGACTTGCCGTCTACATCATAAGGTACTGTTGATATGGCACATGATTTTCCTACAGAGAATTATGCTCGGAGGCCTAAAAAACCAGTTCAAGATGTCCAAGAGACAATTCAGAAGATGAAACCAAAACAGATAAAGAAAAATGGAAAGAAGAAATTAGCAGGGAAAGCTAGTCCTTCTAGTGCTTTGAAGGTTGCAGTTCAAAATTCCAAACCTCCTAATGGTTACCTGGGATGTTAGAGGTCTCAATCACTCCTTAAAACAAAGTGAGGTATGCAGACTTTTTACAACCCTGAACATTGATATATTGTGTATTGTTGAAACTAGACTGAAACTTCCTAAATATTCTGAGATTATTTTCAAGAGCTTTTCTGAATAGTGCTTTAGCAAAAATTACCATTTCTCTATACATGGTAGAATTTGGCTATCGCGGAAAGTAGATATAAATTTACAAGTTCTACAGACTAATGCTCAGTTCATACATTGTAAGGTAGTGGATTTGGTTAGCGGTGTATGCTATTATACATTTGTTTATGGCTCCTACGTCTCTACTCAGCGAAAAGATTTGCTTGACTTTATAAGGAATTCAAGTAATTCTTTAACAAATTCTCCCTAGATGCTTTTGGGTGATTTCAATATCATCAGAGACGCCAAAGAATCTACTTCTACTTCTGATTTTTCAAAAGCTGATATGGTGGAGTTTGATGGATGTTTAAAGAAAGCAGACTTATTTGATCATCTATATGCTGGTTTTTTCTTTACCTGGCTTAATAAGCAGAAGCTTCATCCTGTATTTAAAAAAACTAGACAGAGTTTTGGAGGTTGCTTTCCCATGTTGCACAGTTGGATTTCTAAACCCAGGGGTATCTGATCACTCTCAAGTCTGGTAAAGACTTGTATATCTTCTTTCTCTGGTCCTCGGCCTTTTAAATATTTCAATTTTGGGGCCACTCAGCATTTTCTCAATATAGTTTCTAATGTTTGGAGCATGGAAGTTCATGGTTGGCCTACGTATAAGGTGTGGTAGAAATTAAAGGATTTAAAAAAGCCTTCGAAGCTACTTAATTTCTACGGAGACATCACCAGCAAGGTCAAGCAGACTAGAGATGCTCTTGAATCTTTACGGGTTGCTATAATGGCAAATCCTTCTTCTAAGCAGATTGATGATGAAAAACAGCTTGTTAGCTACATATTTAACACCCGAGGAATCTCTTTTCAGGCAAAAGTCTAGAGTAACATGGGTACAAGAAGGGGACTAAAATATTCGGTATTTCCATAGGATGGCAAGAGCTAGAAGGCCTAGAAATAATATTTCAGTTCAGTTTACGGCGGATGGTGCCCAATTATCTTCTCCACTGGATATACAAAGTGAGATAGTTGGCTTCTACCAACAATTCCTGGGCAAAGAGGATCCAATTGTCACTGGAGGCAATGTTAGTTTTTTAAGTTCTGTATTGGTGCATTAACCCCCAAATGACTTAACGAAAACCATTGTGGCTAATATCTCCCCAGCTGAAGTTAAAGAGGTGTTTTTTTCCCTTAAATATCAATAAAGCTCGGACCAAATGGTTTTTCAGCGGAGTTCTTTAAAAATTTTTTGAGAAACAGTGGGTGCAGATGTTATTAATGCTGTGATCAATTTCTTTAGCAGTGGTAAAATGCTTAAGGCTATCAACTCTACAATAATTGCTTTGGTTGCCAAATTATAGAATCCTAATAAAGTTACTGATTTTAGGCCAATCTCGTGCTGTACTGTTCTTTATAAATGCATTTCAAAATTGTTGGCAAACAGGCTGAGAAGATGTCTTCCTTTCTTGATCAGTTTGAATCAAGCAGCATTTGTTCAAGATAGAAAAAATTGGCGATAATGTTTTGCTTGCTCAGGAGATTGTGAAAGGATATTTGAGAGCCAATATGCCTCCTAGTTGCACTGTTAAGGTGGATACAATGAAGGCCTTGGATGTTGTAAATGGGGTTTTTTATTCAACGTGTTAGAAGACATGAACATGCCTAGTATGTTTATAAACTGGATTAGAGCTTGTGTCATAGCTCCTACCTTTTCTATTTCTATTAATGGCAGTTTGTATGGACGTTTTTCTAGAAGAAAAGGGTTAAGGCAAGGAGATCTACTTTCTCCTATTTGTGATAGCAATGAAAGTGTTGACTTGTCTGTTAAATAAAGCTACTAGAGATGGGCCTCTACGTTTTCATCCAAAATGTAAGAAGATTGGCTTAACTCATTTGTGTTTTGCAGATCACTTGATGACTTTTGCAAAGGGACTAAGAATGCTATGAGGAATGTGTCTACTATTCTAGAGCAATTTTACACCCTTTTTTGGTTTAAAGAGTAATCCATAACGAGTGAGTTCTACTGTACAAGATTTGATAGTTCAGTTGTGAATGCAATGCAATGCAAACTATAAGTGGATTTAAGGTTGGGAAACTGTGTGTTAAATATTTAGGGGTTCCACTCATTAGTAAGAAGTTAATTCTTGATGATTGCAAACCACTTATGAAGAGGATTTGAGCTAGATTACAACACTGGACAACGAAGATGCTATCTTTTGCTGGTAGATTATAACTAATTTCATCTGTAATCTTTAACATTCAAAGCTATTGGTATTCTCTATTTATACTTCTTGACAGGGTGATCAAAACTCTAAAACAAAAATATAATACATTCCTATGGAAAGGAAAAGATGGACATGCTAATGGTGCAAAAGTTGCATGGAGCATAGTAACCCTACCAAAACAAGAGGGTGGATTAAGCATTAAGAAGATTAAAGAGTGGAACTATGCATCTATTATACGATTTATTTAGAGTTTGTTTTAAAAAACTGGATCATTATGGGTTGCTTGGGTTGCTACTTATAAACTAAGAGGAAGGAGCTTTTGGTGTCTAAAATGCACTAATGATTGTGCTTGGTATTGGAAGAAACTTCTTTAAGTTCGGAGATTTAGTTTGGGAGCAAATTCATCATATTGTTGGTAATGGCAAAACAATAAAGCTATGGTGGGATCTTTGGCATCGAGATGGGATTCTCATCAAATTCTTTGGCACAAGACTTATGTATGAATATGGTGTTCCCATTAATGTTTCGTTGGAGGTTGTTATGAAGGATGGAGAGTGGTTCTAGCCTAATGATAGAACAAAAGCTATAATAAAAGTGCAATAAGCTATATGTGGTATGCTTATGCTTGATGTCAATTTTGATGATAAAATCATAGGAAAAGCTACACCAAATGATGAATTCACAATTAAAAGCACTTAGGAGCTAGTCAAAAATAAAAGTATTAAAGTTGTATAACATAAACTTGTTTGAGGATCATTTAACATCCTACGACATAGCTTTATCTCGTTCTCTCACAATTTTGAATCGTTTATCCACTAAAGATAGATATATTCAAATGGGAAGAAATATCAATGCTCTATTGTGTGGAAATGTCGATGAGGATCAAGATCATTTATTTTTTGAATGTTCCAACACTAAGACTCGTGTGAAATGTTATTCTTCTTAAATATGGATTCATAGAGCAATTGGTAGTTGAAGTATAGAATTACGAGTAGGGAATAGAGCATTTGCAAAAGAAAATTTTTCAATCTATTATTACCAGATTGGCATGGAATACAACCATTTATGGTTTGTGAAAACAAAAAAACTATAGAATTTATAGTAAAAATATTTCTTCTCTAGATGATGTGACTAAATGAATTTGTCGGATCGTTTGTTGTAGGTTACATAATTCCAAGCTTCTAATTGAAGCAATGCTTAGCTTAATATTTGAATCTATTTATATTCAATGGATGCTCGTTTTAATCTGTTTCATGTATTTGTTATGGATTCATGCTTTTAGTAGGATAAGCTCTTACTTGTATCTTTTTGTTAAATAGAAAATTTCATTTAAAAAAGAAAAAAAAGGTTGAGAAAAAAAATCAATTATTACAATTGATGAAGATGGTGATGAAAAAGATGAACAACCATTGAAGTTCTTAATGAATAAGAAAACAATGAAGAAGAAGAAAAAAAAACTAAAGATTATATTGTTTTTCAACTTGTGGCTTTTTTTTTTTTTCTTTTTCATCTAGATATTCTCATTCCACATTGGAGATATGACTAATTTTGTTTGAAAACAGAAACGATAAGATTTGATATCTCCCAACAATTGCAACTCCAAAATTTAGGACATAAAAGATAAGGTTTAACTTTTCATAATAAGTATAACTTCGGGATTCCAACCTGATACATTGATAGCATTTGGACACCAACTCAATTATGACATAGCTGACAACTTATGGCTTTTTTAAGCTATTCATTTGAAGCAACATAAGGTATTGTTTATAAATAATGAGCACATGCAACAAAACTAATTTCATTAAAATGTTCAAAGAAAACATGTGCACTGTTTGAGTCATATTATGAAATCAATATAGGACCGAACAAAGTGAATTCTTTTACTGCAACATGATTTACTGATAAAATAACGGATTTTAGCCACAATTGTGTTTGACATCAAAAGTTTGGTGACGGAAAATGCAACCAATTTTGTTGAATAAATCTCTTTAGCAACCAATTTTAATTTTGGTCTCCACATATATGAGTCTATAATGATGAGATTTATAGCCAAAGACCTCCGAATTAGCAAGCTCCATAAATCTTATAAATTGGCGTTCAGCAACCAAATCAGTCTCTTCATACTGTTTTCAGAGACAAAATTGAGATGAAAACCCACTCTATAGATAGATTCTTTGGTGACTAAATTAGTCTTAAAATACAGTTTTTGATGACTAAAAGCAAGCATATCATAAAATAATTATTTATAAGATCAATTTATTTAATACAAATAAATATTTTCAAAAACAATTTCTGAAAAAATATTCAATAACATCACCAACACCTTTTGAATTGACACTTTGGTTTCCTTATTAAGGGAGATCATATCCGATTTTAGAATGTTGTATGAAGCTTCCACTTTTCTAAACATGCACATTTTATCTAAAGCCTAAGTTGTCATGTGAGAATTCAATGGCCAAGTAACATCTTGGAAAGTATATTCAAAGCCCAATAGGCCCAAACTCGAGTCTATATAATTTTTTTTTTCAATTTAAGTTGGAAGGTGAAAATCTGGACTTATCCATAAATAAGTATGTACATAATATATACGTAATTTTTTTTTAAATTCGAGAGATTAAGGTATTTTCAAATCAATTTATATATCAATTGAGATTAAATTTTCTCTTTAAATAATTTTAAGAACACACTTCTTAAATTAGCTTGATGTTTCCATATTTATTTAATAAATTATTTTAGATACTTGGTTCAATATTTAAACCGAGAAAATAAAGTAAAGATAAACTTATTTATTATTAACTAAAAAATCCTGAAATGTAACAAGTTTAATTTAACTAAGGGACAATAAATTTAAAATTTTTATTTAGACATATTAGATTCAGCTGCAATTGGATAAATAGAAGCATGAGGACCGAAGACCCTCTTTGCATAGCCAGCTTAGGAACCTGCCAATGAAAAAAAGGTTGCATTCATTTTTGTTTTGATTTCCATATTTTATACTGATTTATAGGAATGGACGAAAAATAATGTAATTGCATTTTAATAAAATGCAATAATTTTAAATTCATAGATTAAAGTTCAATAGTGTTATATAAATTGATAAAATGGTTTTAATATTGATTGATGATCTATTTGACAAATTTTTTAGAGAGAATATTGGAGGAAACTTGGGAATTTTAAAAGAGTACTTGATTTATACTTTTACAAGAAGAATCAGAAATTGGGAACGTTTTTAAGAGCAAAAATTAAAAATAAATAAATAAATAAATAATTACCCTATTAGGAAGCCCACTACACAGGCTTCAGAGTTCTTGCTAAGCACAGGCCCGTATTTCCCGCGGAGAGGCAGGAAAGAGCGCGAGCCAACTGATTTGATTTCCCCGTTTCGACAGGATTAGAAACCAAAACATTAGTTACCTTCGAATTATTTGAAAATAAAGTTTTATTCTTTTAGTTTTTGATTTCCGTATTGCTTGATGATTGATTTCTTAATCCGGAAACCAAACTGATTAGCTTCATTCTCTCTCCCTATATATACCAATCCACACCCACAAACTGGAACATATGAGGAGATAGTTTTCATCAAAGATTAGTTCTCATCTGTGTCTCCTTGTTTTTGATCTGTTATTGCAACAATGGAGAAAAAACAACAATTTCGTGTCTTTAGTTCTTGTATTTCTGCCAAGAAAATCCAGAATTCGAAGAAAAGAAAAGAATGCGAGGATCAACAAGCCGGAAGTGAAGTTTCTACTGGGTTATTGCCACTTTTCAGCAAGAATCCTAGTTGGGTCATGAAGCCAAAAACAAGTGTCCCAATTAGTTCTATTGCTGCATCAAGAAATCCAGGGAGGGCTTTGAAAGAACTAAAGCTTTTTGATGAAAAGGGGGTTGCCAAGAATTCTGCTGATCAGGATTCAAGAAACAAAGAATCCGCAGAAGCGATGGAGAGAAGAGTGGCTCTTAATCTTATGGCGATGAAATCATCTTATAGCGTTAAGGATTTGCTAGAGGAGGAGTCTCGTGGGGTTTCAACTCAACTAAGCTTGTATCATCATGATCCATTCAAGATCAAGAAGAAGATGAAACCAAGTGATTTGGGTAATTTATGCAGGCTACTTGTGTCTGCAGAATTAGTGGAGAAACATATCCTCCCTTTCATGAACGAGGATCAAATTAGACTGGTTGAAGAGGCGAATCAAGAAAACAATGGTTTGAAGGTATGGATTTGGGATATGAATACAGAAAGTATGCATCAGTTGGTCTTCAAAAGATGGAGCACTTCCAAAAGTTATATTTTCAATTATGGATGGACAAAACAGTTCGTTAAAAGGAGGAATTTGGTTGAAGGCGATGAGATCGGACTTTACTGGGACAATGATCACTCAAGATTTCACTTCAGTGTTCTGAGGAGGGCTGCTGCTACTGGCCAAGACTGAAAATTAGTGTTGCTTTTAGGTTATGTTTGATTGTCGTTTTTTATTGTCAGTTGCTTGTTTTGTTGTAACCATCTTCATCAGCTGTTATAATTCTATACGTCGTATTTGCTTGTTCATGTTGTTTAGACACCATAATTAATAAAAGTTCAAGTTTGGTTTAATTGATTTCTTTTGTCTGGTTTGATTTCAATCAACCAATTTATTGTTCTCTACTCTGTTTATTTATTCTTATAGTGTACTGTAAAGGCTCCTGAAGCCATGCATGGTGAACATAAAAAATCTAATGCTGACGAACAAACTTCATCTGAAACAGAATTACAACATATAAAACATAACCGAAGACATTTTGATTAACCAAAATCAAAAGCGGATGATCAATTCTATTTATTCTTGTTCGGACTGTGCATTTAATAGACCCAAAACATGGAAAGAGCTGCTTTTTGAGAACGATATTCTTCTCCGGTTGCTTAGTATTAATTCTCATGGATTATTAATGGTGTTGCAACCCCACGATATTGTCCTATCTGGTCTGCTTCCCTCCAGGACTCTGCCCTCCCTTGTAAGTTGTAATCGGAGGGAAAAAAAAAAAAAAAAAAAAACGAAAGGAAAGCGCTGCTAGCTAGGTTAAAGACATGCATGGTGACGATATAATTAATGGCCACACAGCGGATATTTTCGGTTGGTTAATTGGCCTATTGCAAGCTAGGCTAGAAGCTTGGAATCGTTTGGAACCAGCTATTGGCTTATTTCTACTTGAAATGCCTGCATATTGGCTGGGCGATGGCATGATGTGGCTTGATGATCACTCTTACAGGCACCGTAAGCTTGATAAGAATTTGCTTGCGGTTGGATGAATCCTTTGGGCATATGGTCTTAGTCTTGCAGTAATTTTGCACCGTAAGCTAGGCTAGAACAAAGTCAATACTACGTGAATTTATAGTTTTTATCGAAGGATGTGAAGAAGAGACATAAGAAGGAAAGGTTGTGCTTATAAAAGTCCAACTGGTCAGCTTCTTCCATGCATGTTAACATCAAATTGGACAAATTATGCTATTATTATTAAATTCAAGAGATAAGGAAAAAATAGTATAAATATTAGTTAAAATTAAATAAAACCACTTAATAGTTAATTTGGCATAGCCTCTCTAATCAATGTTAGTTAAATTAACTACTCAAAAAAAAAAAAAAAACCAAATGGTTAATTTGGCTTCGCCTCGATCTCTATCCATTGAATATTTTCGAAGTTATATTATGAATTGATTAATATCTGGAAAATTGGTAAGATGGTGTTACGTAATCTCTAATCGTTAAATATTTTTGAAGTTATTTTATGAATTTACTCAATTAATATCGAGAAAATTGGCAAGATGGTGCTAAGTAGTAATTGTTAATTTCATAAGTTTGCTTCTTGAGATATTGATTAGCATGATATTATTTTAGATGTCTTGGAAACTTGGTTTAGGTGCTAATGGATTTTGGTATTTGGAAGTTGGCCTAAAAATATCTAACAATTAATAAACGAAAGAAAATATGTGCTAATTAAGATAAAATCAATCCAATCACACCGAGGATTCCAATCGGTTTTTTTTTTTTTTCTGTATTCAATTATTTCTGACAATTCTCATTATGAACTTACCATTTTCCTTCCCACGCTAAAGTTATTACATCATTCTTAGTTGTTTTAAATCAGCAGGGATAAGGCTGATAGTTGGAGAGGTGTGCTTCTATATGATTCACAACTAATCCAATCACATCGACAATTCAGAACTGGCATTTTTCTGGAGTGGATTGATCTTGACCATTCTCATCATGAACTTACCATCTACGTACCATCCACCACAAATTTGCGACATCGTTCTCTTAGTTGGTCCAAATCATGAGGGGATCGTAAAGGGCCGTACTCTCGCAGAGTTCAAAGCAATCCAATCACACCGAGCATTATGAACTGGCATTATTCTGTATTCAATTGTTCCTGGCAATTCTCATCATGAGCTTACGTACCGTTTACCACCCACCACAAAGTTACCATACGTTTTTTTGAGTCGGACCCAGTCACGAGGAGATTAGGTTGATGGTTAAGAGGGTTTGCTTCCACATGTTTCAAACCTTAGGCCAAGTGTGAGAAATAAAATTCTCAATTAAGCTTATCATGCATTTAACCGGACCAAATAGTAGACTTAGCTTGAATTTAGATACAACCTAACGGAATAAGCATTTAGTCTTGATATATGGAAATGAGTGAAATACATACAGAGTGTGCTTTTTATACTATTCCCTATTATTTATTTTAAATTTTGTTTTATCGAGATATAATATAAAATAAATCGTGTAAGCACTATTTATTATTATTGAGATACATCAACCTTTTTATTCAACGTCTGACTAATTATTTGATAATATGTAATTAACGAAAATGGATAAAAATGTTGGTTTATCACAACTTTAAATAATATATTATTTGGTTTGTACTATATCTAGATAGAGAAATTAAAATAAATAATATTAAATAATATAAAAATACGAGATATGTTTCACTTTATATAAAAATTAGTTCGAAAATATTCGATCGATTAAATAAGGTAAGTAGAAATACAAAAAAAACGTTACGGTGGATTAACACAATCAACTAAATCTCTTCTATGTCATCCCATTTTAATATAGAAAAAAAAAACCAGAATAAGCACAACTAATTCTTTTTAGATAACAGTTTAGATTACGAGTAGATTTGTTTAATTTCCATATTATCATTTTGACTTCAAATATAAGGAAAGTTGTAGAAAAATAATTTCTTATGAATACGCCAGTTCAAATATGCATAATTAACAGTTTAAGATGTAAAATCTTAATATGACATTAAGTTTTTTCACACATTACGAGATTTTGACAAAATTGCAAAAAACATGAAAGTATAATTATGATTTCAATAACTGAATACTAAAAATTTAGATAAAGGGTACTTATTTTTTCATAATTATCTACTTATTTTTTCACAATTAAAAAGAAACGTATAATAACATTATATCATCTAAAATTCTATTGAAATGGGACTTAATCTCGATATGCAAAAATTAACCTAACAATACCTTAACTTTTAAATAAGGAAGTGCAATTGCCACGAGAGGGATTAATACTCTGAACCCAATCTTCCCTGGCGTAATCCCATTTCCAGCCCAAAAGACGAAGGATAAGTACAAAGTTAATAAAAAGGGCAGCCTAATCAATGGGCCCAAACTTCCAAATTTAAACGCATGCCCACACTGGCGCGTGCTATAAAAGCCAGCCATTTCCCTCCTCTTCACCTCCGCAGCAAGTCGCTGGAAAAATCCTGTCTGCTTTTCTGCTTTCAAGCAGGAATCTTCAAAACTCTCTAAAACGGCATTTTCGTAGCATCAAAACGGTACGCCTCAAAAGATTGGAAAAGGAAAATAAAGGAAGAAACAAAAGGTTGATTTTTCTTTATTACGTGTTTAGTTTTCAGATTAATTTGACTGTGGTTTTTTTTTCATTTGATTCTGTTTTTGTAGAATTTTTAGGATTTATTAAGTGAAAATGTATGGATCAGACAGTAACAGAAGACAGAAAGATGTAAATAATCTGTGTGTGATTTAAAAAAAAAAAATTATGGTTTGATGTTTTTATTCGTTTTACGCCTTAATTTATTTGTAAAAGTTCAATTTTTATGGATTTTTCTTTTGTAAATTGTAACGTGTGTATGAATCTTGATAACTTCTGCATTGTTTATTTTGGTTTTGGATGGATTAGGAAATTGGAGTTGGAGGTCTCAAGAGATGGAAGAGAATGATTGGAGAAGTGAATTATCGACAGAATGGCGTCAAGGTGTTGTTAATGATCTGTAAGTGAGATGTCATTATATCAATAACTAAGAAACATTATTGATTTTTGTATTGGTTATTCTGGGCTTTTCGTGTTTTTTCATGTTAGTCTTGATTTTACGTACTTCATTGAGAACTATGAATATAATAAAAGGATATGTAGTTTCACTGTAATGTTTTTTTTTTTTTTTTTTTACTTGAAACGGCATTGTTTTTTCAAAAAAAAAAGAAAAAAGAAGAAGAAGAAGAAGAAGAAGAAGAAGAAGAAGAATTTTTTTTGGACATTTACACTTCAGTCTTTTGAGTTATAATTTATATAAAACGATCCCTAATTTTAATTATTATTACATAAAAGTCTCTATATTTTTTATCGTTGGGTTGTACTTTCAGTCTATCAGCGTGTCATCTCCAGGCCCATCGAGAAGGCTTTGGCGTGAGCCTAACCTAGCCATTTTATTTTCCCTGTTTTAATGCTTTTATTTATTATTTATTCAAAATAAATTTTTTATCCATAATAAACGGTTACTTTTTTTTAGTCTTATTAAATAAAATTAAATATTTTTCTAATATAAATTAATTTAAAAATATTCTAATTTATTTTTAATAAATAATTAAATAATTATATGTTTTTTTTATTGATCAATAAAAAATATTCCTAAAATATATTTAAGCTCGATTATATATATATATTAAATTAAATAAATTCTCATAATTAGTGTTAATTAATTCTTATTTTATGTCAAGATTTTTGAATTATTTAAAATATTCAAACATATTATATAGATTTAAACGCGATGACGGACGGATACTATGCTAATAAATAATATAAGGCTAATTGATCACAATGTACCATAAACTATTGATCAATATTAGGAAAAAAAAAGTCTCTTTAACTTTTTTCTTTCTAATTTGGATTTCTAACATTTAGAATGGACCGTATTTAAGGATTGTTTACTTATATCTGCAAGCAGACAAGATTTACCTGTTTCACCAGCTGTTAAACTAGGTTGAGCCAAACTACTGTTTTTATGACAAAATCAAGTTCCATCAAAATAGACTAAGGTAGCGGAAGCCACTACATCGGCTTAGGTTAAAATGCTTACAGTGACTCGGTTAGAGGGAAGAAAGACAACATAAGAACATTATAGAAGCTACAACTGCAGTATGTCCATTGCTTCCATAATTCCCATCACATACACATATTATGTTGGGATCTGCTTCTGTCGTTTTTGACCACATTTAACATCATGTTCTGCTGCTACCATTTCCAATTTTTTGGTCTATACTCTTCTATTAAGGTAGTCTGGTTTATTTTCCAACAGAAAGCTAGTTGATTGAAAGTAATTTTTAATACTTGGTTATTTAAATATCCAGCGTGGAGGCAGTAAAGCAGACTGTCAAACCTTCTCTTCTGGAAGCGACATTACCGAGTATACAGAAGTTGGCTGTAAAGTTTGAGGAAAAAGTTTACTCACTTGCCAAAGACAAGGTATCTTGATCATGTGACAGGACCAAATATCTTCATCTGCTATGCACTTCTAATTTAATTCATTACTTTTAAACGAACAAGTTTTATTGCTGCCTTCTTAATTTGATTATTATGATGCCTTCTACGACCTTCGTCATAATTTCTATAGGGAAAGTGGCATCTAATGTGAAACTATACGTAACATGTTATTTCTTTTCACCATCTTAGATGCTGTCTGGGGTTGCATAAATGTTTTTGAAGCACTAGCTGTCATCTTTCACCATCTTAAATGGTTGTTTTTCAACAGTTTTCTTCTAATTATTCCCGTTCTCCCAATATTCCTTCCGTTGACTGCCAAGATTGTACAACCAAAAAGGCATTCCTGGTTTTCAATTTGGCTACCGATCTCTGTATTTGCTATATGGAAATTGAAATGGACGTTAATTGAGTATAAAAGTCTTGGGTTACCAGGCACAAATGTGTGTAATCAAATAAGGTGAAAGTTGGATAAATGTGTGTAATCAAGTTTTTGGAGCAGCTGCTTCATAGTAAATGGCGAAGGTTGGACAATGTTCAGAAAGACTTAGAAGTCCATCCTTGGGCACAGAAAATGCTAGCTAAAATTACGAAAAACTGTGTAAAAACTACTTTTTGTACCTTATTACAAGGCACGTTTATTCTGAAAATAAAGTTTCCTTACTGTTTGTTTCAGAGGTCATATCAAAGCAGGATAGCAACGAAGTACAGGGAAATAAAGAGAAGTTCTAACGCTACAGTGTCTAGTCCTTCTTCGACCTCTTCATTCTCTACTGAAATTCCTTCAGATCCAGGTTGAGTGACGTGATATCCACACCGCTAATTTCTTTGTGTTTTTTTTTCCTTTTTATGCTTAGCTAATTCTATCCATGTCTGCTTCTTCCATGATATGTACATGTATCTAAAAGAAGGAACAATTTTGTCTTGCTTCTTTGTTATAATTGTGGAGGTTGGCTGGTTTTCTGCTGGTGTGTATAGACATAACAAAATGATAGTTCTGCATTGTGGTTAAAGCTGCATTGATTATATGAGTTTTCAGATTTTTCAGTTTTTTAAGCTTAATTTGTGGTTAAAGTTGCATCGATTTTTTCTTGTTAAAAACTTTTGCTGAAGCTATCCCATTTGAGGACCTTGAGCTCTTGATTGTCGACTCCATATTCTTCTTTATACTATATAATCTTTGCACAATCCCTAGGATTTTTAGTTGCTTTTAGTTATTTTCTGTTGTGTGATTTTGCAGTGCCCTCCACTGTTTGAATGTATTTCTTGTGTACTGCCTGTCTGCGGGGATTTTTCCCCGATTCTACTTTTTAGATAGATGCCCTGAACATTAAAAAATCTCCAAAGTTACTCCAGCTTCTTCATTTTTTTTTTTAATATAGAAGCTCAGAATAGTCAATTCCAAGTTCACAAACAAGATCAATCATTTACTATCCATCATACTGGATTGGCAAACCAGCATCAAGCAGCCCAACAGAATTTGCAAATGAACTTTGAGAACAAGGTAACTTCTGCTCCTGAAATGCTTGGCTTGGCCAACTTACCATTTACAAGGCCTACCGACTGTGGTTTAACTCAGGCCCCAAAGCCAAATGTTAGCCTGAATAGGAGCTTGAAAGATTCACCTGGTGTTTGCAGAAGTCAGCAGAAAATTTAAAAGGTGAAATGGAACATTCTGTTAATTCTGGAAATTGCGATAAACATGAACAGGGAAGACTACATTTACCACAGGCTATTGCTCAGCAGAATCCAGAAGAATTTCCGAATTTTCAGCAATGCTCCTGCCCAGAGCTTCAATCCTCAACACTTTCCATGGTCAAGAGAGATCCACAAACAGTCCCTACACAGCAGCAACAGACACCAAAAGCTCCTTCTGCACTTTACAATCCGCCATCCATGGTTGAGCAGCCGAAGGGACAAAAACCAGTTGTCTCTGATGCAAGGCAAAATCAATTAATTGCGCAAGAAAGCAGCGTCCCTGATCTGCAGCATCATCAGCAGACCAATTTACCATGCACGCGCAATGATTTTCAAAGTTTGCAGTCATGGTCACAGACACCAGAGCAGAAATTGTTGTCTCAGTCACAGCCATCAACAGTTCAACGTATTCTAAATTTGTCACAACAAGATAAAGAGCAACGATCTCAAACATCAGGTACCTTTCTTTTTCCAAAGCATATCCTTAGAAGCATCTAGCGGACAGGCACATGTTATGTGAATGGAAAAAAATATTGCAGAGGGGGTTAGTAAACCAGCAAGTGTTATATAGGTCAATGTAAACAAAACAATGCGGTAATTATACTATGGGTTTTTGATTAAGAATATAGAGCAATTTCCATAACGTCAAAATTCACAAGTAGTGGGATGTCCTTACCAGCCATCCATCAATCTACAGTTTGTCATTGTCATACAACAGCCTAAGGAGCCACGAAAGGCTACAAGGGAAGCTGCTTGTTCCACAGATTATGAAATCATGTATTTGTATACTAGTTAATAAATATAATGGTGCCTGCTCACTCGGAATTTTTTCAAGATATTCTATTTGGAAGTTGGATGGAATTTATAGTAAGTTGTAACTGCGAAGATGTCTACATAGAAGTTTCCTTCAGTAGCTTTTTACCGGTTCTAAACCTAAACAGATATTTCTTTGGAACTGTTCCTTCAGCGCAGCACCTGTTCCGCCTGCCCTCTCTATTTTATGAGAGATTTTCAGTTGAACTAATGCATAGATGTACTTGTTTTGTAGGAACCATAAAATCCACGTCTGTGATGGAGCAAGAGGAGGCCTATCAGCAGGTATGTTTTCCAGCATAAATAAAACTTGTTAAAACCTTCTTTTATGACTTTTCTGCATAGATGTATTTTGTTTCATTTTCTTCATGTTCCAAGCGAGTATAAAAAGTGCCAGAACCACAACAAAGCACTTCGAAATTTACGTGCCATGATTGTTTTCTGACCCAGTAGTCCTTTCTTCTTTTTTACAAAAATTTGTAAGTTCACTAAAGATATCAGTATTGACAGAAGATTATCTAATCTGCTTGAACACGTTTTCCAATAGCATCTGTGTATATTGGCAATTACGTGAAGTTGTATCATGTAACACGTTTTAATCTTTTTCTTCCTTCTGTACAAACCAAAAATCCTCATTAAATTGTAGTTCAATGAAGTTTTTGGGTTTAAAATGTGGATGTAAAGTAAATAATATAAAGTCTCATTGTCTAATGTCTATGCATATTTTGTATTGTGACTATATGCTTGCTTACTTCCTCTTCTTCTTCTTAAAAAGTAATTAAAAAAAAATCTATTTAAACATCTTTTTGCCAGGTTGAGTTAATAGACAGTGAGTAGTTAAAATAGAATGTGGCTGTGCTTCTTTTTGTGAGCTTTGATGCTTGAAAGAGTTTTTGGCTGGCTGAAGCCAGAAGAAAGAGAAACCAATGTTTATTTCGTGAATTTATCACCTTGCAGGCTGAATCTTCAAGGAGTAGGTACATAGTGGAACTAAGAGAGATGACCCAAAGGGCGATTAATTTGCTTCAACAGGTACATTTTCACCTGACATCATTTCTTGAGGAAATTCATTGCCCAAACCTATCAACGACAACTTTGCTGTCGTTCCCATGAACTCGTTCTGTACTCTGAAAAATAATAAATTTTTCTTGCTTATCTACAGCATGATTCTCATCAGGATGCAAAACTGAAATTGGGTCAAGCGATGAAGTATCTAGTTGATCCCAATTGCAACAAATCTACTGAGAAGTTAGATCTGATTAAGAAACAGATAAATTGTGTCTTTCAGTCGACAATGCCGAGAAAACCAGCCGCTTCACTTCTCCACAGACAACTTACTCCTAATTTGTACGCATCCCAGAAGTCTCTGCAGCCACTTCCTCAAATTCCTCGAGCAATCATACCTGAGGATCAACAGAAACCACCATCGCAATCGATGAACCCACAGAGTTCTGCAATAACTCTGCAGAACAGCAACACGACAAATTTAGGGGATGATCCGATGCAGCATTCATCTGAGCCAAAGCAGCAAGTTTTCATGGGGTTTGGACAGCCGCCATTAAGCACTCTTCAACAGCCAAACGGTAACGACTTGCTGTCACAAAACCACAGGAATGAACAAGGAGTAAAAGTGAATTCCCGAAGAAGTTCTTCTGTAGCTCAACCTATGCCTCCAAGGCAAAAGAAGCCCCTGCACCATGCACCAGCACATAAGAAGAGGCAAGAATCTCAACAGCGCCAAATGCAGCAGCAATTAATCAGGGGAAATCAAGAAGTTCCGAAGCAGCTGCAGCAGGATCACGAAATGCCATTTCAGTTCGGTGAAGTAAATGATGTGAACATGACACAAGGAATAGAACATGAAACATCGCTACATCAGAGACCTGAAGTGAATAACTTGAAATTTAGACAAGCGACAGCTGTTCAATCAGGAGTTCCTCAACGTGAATCGGTTAGCCAGCATCAGCATCTGAAAACTGGAGTTCCATTTGAATTTCAGGCTGCACCTGTCCAGTTACCTCAACATCCTCCTCTGACCAACCAGTATAAGCTGCTGCTGTCGCATACAAAAGTTGGATCCTCTTCTCATTCTGTAAATTCACTGCCTGGGTTTTCAGCGAATTTCGTTTCTAATGATTCATCATACTTGAACACTGGTAAGACTGAACATGAACCTGTAACTGACGTAGTGGAATCGATCACACACTTTGCCACTGGCACTGCTGATATAGCAGCCTCACCATCAACAAAATATGTGAAAATGCAGATCGCTGTGGTTTTGGTGCTTCAACCATCAATTTTGGAGAATCAAGTGAGGCGGAGAAGCCCATTCTACGCTTAATTAGAGCGGTTTGTCTGACACAACTCAGTTCTTTATAAATTTCAGGCGAGCTCAATTTAAAATGGTGTTTACAAATTTCAGGTGAACTCAATTTCATCGAAAGCATTAAGTGCTTCTGTAAGTGAGATTGGAGCAGTAGTCAATCTGGCCGATGATATGGCAGGAGCAGCACCAGTTCATGGATCAAAAGGCTCAGTTCGTGAAGATTTTGGAGCCACAAGTAAGACTAACCCACTTTCAAAATACTTTTCCATGGATTGTGATACATTTGGAGTGAGAAAAATGAATCGTTCAACAAATGCAGTTCCCTTGAATGAAAAGACAACAGCTTGCCAGAGGAAAACTGACTCGGGGTCAACTACATTTTGCCATATCAAAAACCCTAAGGTTCAGGTATGGAAGCTGAATTACTAGTTTTAAACTAGTAAGATGTTACAACTTAATATTAAAAAAAGAAAACAAATGACTCAATTCAGCTTGACGATCTCTCAGCCCAAATATAGATGCCAAACAAATCTCTCGCTCTTTGACTCTGTTGATTAGCAACTTCAAAAAAGTCAGAATATTAACTTTATGTATCTTCTTTGGCCAGTGTTGTAGTATCATTTGTTTTATTTCTTTATAATTCTTTTGCAATTCTCGACTTTCACGTCCATATGGAAATCCAAACTTCTAGCTCAGGATTGTTTTGAGCATTCCGTCGTAAAAATTATTTAGGATTTCAATTCCTGAAATCTTTGTGCCCTTTATTGCAGGTAACTCGTCGTACTCTGCTAAAGGAGATAGAGGAGATAAATCAGCAACTCATAGACACTGTAATAGATATCAGTGATGACCAAACTGACTCAACTGCAGTCAGAACACATTGTGGAGGAATCGTTATCAAGTGCTCATTCATTGCTGTGTCCATCAGTCCAAACCTCAGCTCGAAGGAGGATTACACTCAAATTGTAGGTCTTTGACTATTTCTGCTTCACATAAGTGCCATGCATTACCTTCTTTTTCCCTATTGACCTTGTGTTTTATGGCCATGCAGAAAAAGATTCCGCCTTTACAATTGCTTATCCCCAACAATTACCCTTATCGCTCACCCATAGTTCTAGAAAGGTTGCCAGGGGAAGTCAGGTAAGAAAATGGGGCTTTGTTTGTTTGTTTGTTTTAATGCACCTTACTTTTAGAGCATAATTAATTATTTTCTCGTGTTAATTCTCACACACCTGGATTGTTATACATAGTTCTGAAAGTTTTTAATGATCAACAGGGAAAAGCATGAAGATTTTTCAGTGAAGGCAAGGGTAAAGCTCAACTTGCATCTCAGAAATCTATTGCAACCCATGTCGATTGGGGAGATAGCGAGGACTTGGGATAGTTGTGTTCGGGGAGTTATTACTGAGTATGCGGTGAAGAATGGAGGAGGGAATATTTTCTCAAAATATGGAACTTGGGAGAATTGCTTCTGTACCCCATGAGTTCTTCATTTCCATTCAAAATAATGTTCTTGCTAAGCAGGAAAGCATAGGGATGTTAACCCAAACACATTACCTAGAGGTTCATAAGACCACCTTAATTTCTTCTGTATTCTCATCGTTTTGTAGAAGATATTGACAAAAAGAAAAGCTAGAGATTGACATTTGAGGTGCTAGGCTAAATAGCAAACCCAGGTAGAAACTTTATAATCACATGTAATAACATATAGATAGGTCAAACATCATCAAGATTTTTAATTGGATAAGCTTCTTTTTTCACCCCCTGCCATTTTCTGCATTATTGTTTTGCTTTATTTTTCTGCTGAAATATTAGCCTGTTACTGTGACTATATATGCAAACAAGTTTTCCTGATATCTTTTACAGGTACGTTAAGGATTAAGGGATGTGGTTTAACTATAAAAGGGCTGTTTCGATTTGATGAAAATTAAAATTTAATTTTTATATTCATGAATAACTATTTATAATTATTTTTTAGTAGTATTAGATTTAAGCTCATTTGGTTTTTTAAAAAAATCAGTGATTAACAAAAAATTAAGTATTTTTTTGGTATTAATTTAGTCTAGAAAATGATAAACTTAGTTTCGATTGATGCAAAATTAGTCTGAAAATATCCCATTATGTATATATATATATATATAATAAAACTCCTTAAAGGCTAGGTTGTTATGGTTTCAAAACCTAGTTTTATGGTTGCTCAAAATATTTGCTATCCCCTCTAGTTGTACTTATGCCATTACCTAACATGTTTAACCAAAAGAAAAACAAAACAGAAAAAGATTAATTAGTGTTTAAACTTTAAATCAGTTAATATGATATAAACTTTATATCATTGAGCTAGCTTAATGGAATAATGGCCATAGGCAGAGTGCATCAATGAGAAAAAATCTTCTCGAGGTCCTCGTTTGAACATAACATGAGAGCAAACTTACTTTGAGTCAGCCGTCACCAGAGCCAAAATTATTCTCCTTCGTAATTAGTAAATTATGTTTTAGTCCCTGTATTTGTATGTATTTGTAATTTAATCCTTATGGTTTTGCAATCAAAATCAAAAGCTAGTCCTTTCACTAAGGTAGATTGTTAATTATTTTTTAAAAGTCCAAACAACCCTGTATAATTGTCCTTTAGGTTTTCTATGTACTATGAGATTGAAAATTTTGACTAGAGATGAAGGAAATTTTAGAGAAAAGACAATCAAATAGTCATGGAAAACTAACGAAGGACCATATACAAACAGATATAAAATATAAGGATTCAATGTTGGGTTTTTAAACTAAATGGATTAACTAAATTTTTTGCTAAAAACACAGGGATTAAATATTAGTTTACTCTAATTATTTGCAGTATTAATCTTTAATTAACTGAAAGACACCGCCTAAATATCTAGGTGAGAAACAAATAGACTCGAGGAATTATGGATATGGTGGCAACAAGCTGGAGATTAACTCCACAGATTTTGCCACAATTATCACCAAAAGTCAAAAGCTTTAGGGTTTATAGCTCTTCTTCTTCGCTCTCTCCATCTCCCATAACCCAAAAAACATTATCTTCGATTCAAAATTCTGGTGTTATTGCTTGCCTTCGCGCCAATAGGTAACCTTTACTTGTATCTCTATCTCAAGTGATAAAATAAAGGTACTTTTGTAGCTAAAAGTGAACAATTCTTGCTCTTTCTTTAGTGCAGCGCTTGCGTACGAAGCTGCAACTGCTGCGGTGAAAGGTGGCATCTCAGTTGTAAGTCTGCTTATTGCTTTCTATCAGTCCTTCGCGTTTGATAAATGGGTTTCTTGTTTTTGACTAAAATTGTTAGTCTATCTGATAAATGGGTTGTTGCTGTTTTTATTATGAAAGCAAGACTGGGATCTTTAAATTCTTCTCCTTTTAGGCTGCAAGAAGGAATCTTTACGAGAACTATAAATCTATAACGTTTACAGGAATTGTTAAAATGACCATATATGGGCTAGCATTTGTGCTCTTATGTACTGTGCTTAGGTTTTTAAAATGTTCTCTTTTTATTGATTTTGTGCAGCTGGAGATAGTGATGTCCACACCGGGTGTGTTTCAGGTTGTTTTGATTTGCCATTTTCTTTTTAGAATTTCATTTACTGCGTTTTGACCACTGGGTTAGAGACTTTCTGTGCTTTTATTGTCTTGTGTTCAGGTTCTAAGGCAGTTGGTGAAGGACTATCCTACGTTGGCTTTGGGGGTAATTGTCTTACTGCTATTCGTTGATTCCCTAACTACTTATTTTCATTCTATATGTTGGCATGGTATGGTATTGGCCACATCTTGCAAGAACTCAAGTCTTGGAATGTGGAGCATGGATGCTTGCGATATCATATGGTATATAAGAGAGATATTTGGGATGTTGTATATGTTCAGAAGAATTGTATAGAGACCTTATCCTCCTCATCCTGTCCACTTTATGAGTGTTTATATTTCTGTAAATGCATCAATATTGGGTAAAACATGAAGAAGTTTTATTTCTTAATAGATTTTGCAAAAGACGGGTCAGTATACTTCCAGTTTGTCATGAGTTACATTTGGCACAGTTGAAGCAAATCCAATTAAACAGGTCTGACGTTGTTGCACGTCTGCAATCTGGATCTGGACCTTTTTTTCGCTCACCCTGTCCACTTTATGAGTCTGTATCAGCATGTTCTGTTGGCAAGTGTCCAGAATGCTATTGTCAATTAGAAGAGGTGCCACAGATAGATTTCCACGATATGTTTTTGATTGATCAAGTTTGCTTTTCAAGAGATTTGTGGTGCTGATAATATCTTACAGGTTGGTACTGTTTTAAATGCTGAGGATGCCAGAAATTCAATGAATGCTGGAGCCAAATTCCTCACGAGTCCTGCTACAGTGAAGGTACTTTTTGTGTCTGAGATCTGCACAGGTTTTCTTTCAATTAGCGCAGACCTAATAACTTGCAGAGTTTTGTACTTTCCATTCCTATTTCTTCGTCTTTTAATTTCCTTGAGCTATTTTTTTTTCTCTTCAATAAATTTTTAGTTACATTTTTTTCGTTATTTCTCAGACACTTTGATTTTACATCTGGAATGCTTTTTCTTTGTTTATTCTTACATGCTTGCTTATCGTCAGGACATTATGGATGATTTCCAAAAGGATGAAGTTCTATACATACCTGGTGTAATGACACCCACAGAAGTAAGCAACCTGTGCACTTAAACTTCATTCTTCAGCTTTAAGAGTCCTTGTATGCATATAAGAAAATGAAATGAAGTTCTACTGCTCATCTTAGTGCTGTCTACTATTGTTTTACTATGGAGAATTTGGAAGGTTTAATTACTGGAAATTTGTGTTCTCCAGTATTTTATTTAAGAGTTAGAACATCGGAACCAAATTCCCAAAGCAGACTATTATGAGAACTTGTTATTTTGCAGATATTGTCTGCATATGATGCTGGTTCCAAAATTGTCAAGGTGAGTGCTATCAGATTCCCATATTTAACAAAGTTGGTAAAGCAGCTGGTTATGAGATGGGGATGTCATGATCTGACGCCATGTGCACAACCTGCACACAAGTCTAGATTTCTGTATAAAAGTTCTTTTGGCATTGTACTTGCCTGTGTAATTGTGTTTTGGTGTATGCTCACTTTAAGTCTTCTTTATGGAACGAATATTGTTAGTACTTTCAGGCCAAAGATCACCTTATGGATTATGTTTCCATCTTATTTTGTGGATTAGGTTTATCCTGTTTCTGCATTAGGTGGTATCCAATATATATCAGCACTTACGAAGCCTTTCCATCACATACCAATGGTTGCTTCTCAGGGCATCAAGATAGGTTAGTGATATTTGGACACTGCTCCCTTTTTCTTAAAGATCAATTATACAATCATGCTTTGTGGTTAAGCTGGATAGTGTTTTTCCCTTCTAGAACAGGGATCATGACCTTTTATTTTGAATGAAAACTGTAGCTTGAAGTTGAAAACTGGTTAAAACCTTCTAGATCTGGATATCAGTTAGGTTGAGATTTAATTTGATGAATCATGTGCCATCTATATAGGATTTTAAGTATTATTGCAAAAAGAAAAAAAAAAAAAAGATAAAGAGGAAGAACATATATTATATGCTGCTCAGACCTAAGGACTATCATTTATCATAATTTTCTAAACTGAAATGTTCTTTGAACAGAAAAAACTTTACTACAACACATTCCTAATGTCTCTTTCATGTTAAAAGTCATAAAATCTTAATTTAGGTCCGGTTGTGCCATTCTCATTTCAAGCTTCTTGCTGCAGTTCTTGACTGGATGATATTTGCTTCAAATTTGATACAGACTCTATAGGGGGTATATATCTTCTGGAGCATCATCCGTTGTTTTATCAGATGCCATATTTAATCAAGAGGCAATGGCCCAGAGAAACTTCAGTGCAGTATATCAACTTGCAAGCCTGGCTGCTTTGGAGGGAAAAGAAGCTGTAGAACGGTGAGTAATAGTGCAGTCTGTTTCTGCAAATTGTGATTTGTCATTATCTTTTCCCAGTTGTTTCAACATAGATACTGTTTGTTGATCTATTTTCTCTCTTGCATCTGGAGGTTCTTTCGGGTCAACAGCCCCTCATATTAAAGCCTAGGATGTCGCCTTTAATTTTCGAAATCTCCTTGTTTGTTATAGTTCATCTATCTAGCTGTGTACATATACATTGTGCAATGGAAAGTAAGGTTTTACATGCCTTGGGCAAATATTGCATATGATTGACACTATTGCTAGCTTTTGTTCAATTTCTGACTGATACAAGCATCATGCAGAAAAAGAAGTTGCATCCCAAATTAATCGCTTCAGAGCTTAAAGATTGTATTCCACATCATCTATACTTCACTACTTCAAAAGCATCTACATGGTTTTGACAATGTTGAATTGTTGATGCATCCAACAAGGCACAGATACTGACCAAGACTGGAAGATGAAGGTAAACCCCAACCCCTAATTTCTCTAATTTGATCTTAATGTGGCCTATGCTCAACACATTGGTGTGATGGTATTATCTATGTCACTACGATCAGATTGGTTTTTTACCTATGTTCCCAGATATGTTGAATCTATAAATTTCTTTTTTATGGCTCTGTAAGTGCAGCAGATAGTATAAAATGTTCAGCATCATCAACGAACTTGCCATGTTTGTCCTAACCATTGTTGTTATTGTCCTCATAGTCATCCTTGTCTTTCTAATTTTCCTGAAAATTAAGATGGCTAGATCGTGACTGTCTTCATAACAAATCCAACATTCACTTGCACCCTTCTCATGGTTTCTGCACTTTCTTTATTGTCTCTCTTAAACTCATCCTTTTCTCTATTTTACTTGTAGGATGACAAGGCACATGCTCTTCATATAATTAAGGGTCGTCCTCAAGTTACAGTGCTACGTGCTTCCTCTACTTCCAGGTTTCTATAATCTTGTTAAAAAGTTCCATATTATGTGAATTAAAATATAAAAATAAAAAATAAAAAAATCAGAAGCTCATATAAAATTCATGCATAAAGCCAATCCATCTATAAAGCTGCAACTTGCTGTGCTGAGAGCTTCGCAGGTGACTATGTCCAACCCATAGGAGACAGAGTGGGGTACGAAATAATTCTTGAATCTTTTCGAGGCTTTCGTTTGGATATTGAGAAGGGCAAATTCTTTATGTGATCCTTGCTCATAAAATACAATATCTAGCATGAATACCTGAAACCTCCTGCCATCTTTTTATTTATTTGTTTTTTTATATAGTTTAACAATATAAAACCAGCCAATATCAACATATTTGCTTTCTGAATTGGTGAAATAAAGTAGCTAATTCTAAAGACAAGTTTTCTATTGAATTTTCCACAACTTCCATTTCCTTTTTTTTTTTTTTTTTTTATAATGTTCTTGCATTTCTTACTTTTTTTTTGGTCATACACACAGCCACCTACTGGTAGGACTTCTTTTTATTTCCTTTTGTTTTCAACTACTTTTATAATTCGTGCAAGACTTTTGACTTTGTTATACAACGTGTGCACAAATTATCTTTCTCATAAAGAAAAATGATAAAAAAAGGAAAAATCAAATATTATTATTCTTAAGTTGGTCAAGTCCCCAATTATTAATTATTAAGAGACTTAGCATGAAAATAAATCTTTATCTGATCTCTTGGCAATTTGCTTTCTCCTCCTATTTGATTTCTCTTTGGACATTGCCTAACATTCTGCGGTTAACGAACATGATTTGGTTAGCATTACAAATCATTGCAAAATAATTAATCTTTAGAGGCGTGATGACAGAAATGACAGTGCATGGGAAATTTTCTGGCCAGATCTTAGATGATTTTTTTATTCGAAGGTAATAATAAACTTGGCAATTGGCATAATGGTTTTAAAAAAGGGTAAAAATGTTCTAATGAGCTGTTCATTCGTCAAATCAAAATGTGCAATGAAAATGAGGAAAGACAACTGTAAAATTGATTGGATGTTGAAGAGGTAAAAGGGGAAGCTGATGACTGGTGAGACATCACTCAAGGCTGTTAATTCCGTTAATTATGTAATATTTTCTTATTTTCAATTATTTAGTTAAATATTTTTGTATTAGTTGTTAATTAATAAAGCCATTTACCTCCTTTTAAATTTGATTTCATTACTTGTCACAATCCTTACAGAATCATCAAAATCACAACAATACATATCCACATTTTAAAGGCAAACCGTATAAAAATGAAATGGCAGCTATAAAAAGTATAGTTGTTGTAAAATGCCACCATTTTTTCTGTCAAAAATTTCAAAATAAAAACAGTAGGTGGCAGTACGATTTTACCGGGATTCTAACACCCTATTTAGCATCCACCTTGCCTATTTTCCCGTTATATGCATACCATTAAAAAAAAAAACCCTAAAATAAAATAAAATAAATAAGCGAATAAAATGGAGAAAAAATAAAATAAAATAGATCCCTAGTATTGGAAAAAATTGGCGATGTATACACGTATGTGCACTTTGTTTTTCTAATGGTCATTTACGTACTTATTGTAACAATGACCAAAATTAGAAACTTCAATTGCATGCAAAGACAATCATATATGAATAATTGATTATTTATGAGTTTTTTTTTTAATGCTAATTTTATCAAAAATCTTTTTTCTTTTTTGAAAGAACTCCCTTTTTGAAATCTCATAAGTCAAATAATTAAATTTTTTTAAGAAGTTGTTTCCAGAAGAATCTATCCTAAAATTGGCATTAGTAATTCTCTCAATAATAATAATAATAATAATAAAATAAATAAATGAAAGCATCAGTAAAAGATTGAGTAAATTATTTAGTCCCTTTAGTTTTGAAAAATTAATTAACTAGTCCCTTTTGTTTGAGGACTTAATTATTTAGCATTTGACTAGTTTATTTCATAAACGTTCATCTTTTTTCATCAAATATTTCATTTTTTTACTTATTTTTATTTTTTTATACTTAAAATAAAAGAATAATGAAAAAATTAATATAAGAAAATTTAAAAATATAAAGACTAAATAATTAATTACTTAAATAAGAGAGACTAATTAGTTTATTCTTTAAAACTAGAGGGACTAATTCATAATTTACTCGTAAGAAATTTCTTAAAATAATAATAATAAGAAGCCAAACAGAAGTACCGGAACTGAAGTGGTTGAATTAAATACAGTTTAATTACACCTGGCGTACCAGAGAGAACTTAAAAACATAAAATCAGAGAGAGAGAGAGAGAGAGAGAGAGAGAGAGGCAGAATCCTTAAAATAAAACCAGAAAAGAGAAACCATTAAAACATTACAACAGACAGACAAGCAAAGGGAGCAGACAGCATCTAAGATACCCTTATAACCCAATAATCAAATAACAAAATCGACGATCCCTCAAGAATTTTTTCTTTTAAGGTTTGTTATCAGATCCACTCTTATTTTTTTTCCTCGTTTCCTCGTTTCCTGTTTCTTGAATTTGGTACAGACAGATCTTGAATGCATTGAGAGATCAATGTTCCTTGTGGAAGTTCGGTTTTTGTTTTATGGGTTTGGTTTTTCTTGATCTCTTTGTTTTTGGGTTTGGTTGGATTTTGAGAGATCTAATTGTATTTATCTGGGTTTTTGATTCTATGCTCATTTCTTACCTGTAATTCATTTTTGTTTATATGGAGAGGTCATGAAATAGTGGTGGGGTTTCATTTTTATGTTTTGTGGGTATTTCGAAATTTCATTTCTTTTCCATTCAAAGAAAAACATAAGATTTTATTTCTTTTGTTTTGCATTACGAATGTGGGATGGTATATGGATTCGTGTTTGAATAATCTGGTAAATGGATTTGTGTTGGAATCATTTCTGTCTCCAGTTTTTGTGATTTTTACATAATGTAAGTGGCTTAGAATTTTCTTTTTCTTGCAAATAATCTTTTATTTATCGGTTATGCAATTTGGAGAATTAAATTTATTGCATTTGATTTCGCATCTTGCCTGTAAGTTCATAATGAATATGCCTTTTGTTCTGTTTCGCGTCTTGCCTGTAGGTTCATAATGACGATGCCTTTTGTTCTGTTCTTTTGGATTTTGTTTCTTTTGTGTTAGCTCATTTAATCAGCATGTGAATTATCATGGTAGTGAATCAATGAATCGCTGAGAGTTTGTGTTATTCTCTTTTCAGTTTTTTCCCCTTAAAATTATGTCAGTTTTGAATTTGTGTGACTTAGCTTTGTAAGTTTCAAATGTGTGATAATGCCTTATGCCACCTGGGTTTTCAGTTTCTGATTCCGCTGTCTCTTTTTGTCTGTATATGTTTTTCCATTGAATAGCGGGCAATTAATGAGATACCATTGATTATCATGTAATGCAGAGCATGCTGCATGCGTTTTAGGTGATTTAATGTTGAGACTGTTACACATAACATCCATTCGGAATGGGATTTTAAATATGTTATGCATGTAGGTTATCGAGTTTTTCCTATAAGTTTAAATGAATGTTTTGAGGGAATTGCATATGGCATTCCTGTCTATAAGCATTAGATTGTGAATCAATTCTCTTTCTCACATTCTTCACAGTTGATCATGAATATGGTGTCAAGTTGGACATTGAATACGTGCTTTTATGCTATACTTTCTCTAGAAGTAAGAATTGGTTTTTATTTTTGCAGGAACATTGTCTTATAGTAATCCAGAGAGATGTCTCCTGCATCAAAATCCAAGACCAAGTCCAAGGATAAGGCCTCCGCAAAGGCTGCTAAAGAACTACAGAAGACATCTATTAAGCCTTCTGGATCAACCAATGCTGTAAGTGGGAATCCAGCAAATGCTTATAATCCAATCTCTGGGACCTTTCATGCACTAGAAATACCAGCAGCTGCTGCTTTCCCACCCTTCCATGACAATGGTCGTTTCAGAAATATAGATGACACAGATGAGCATTCTAGTAGCCCACATGGAACACTGTCTGAGTATGATTCAGTTTCCAACAATGGGAGCTGCTCTGGTGAGTCTGAAGACATAAAAGAGAAAGCCAATTCTACTCGGCAGGAAACAGTATCTGTTTTAGACAGTGACAGACGTGAGAAGATCCGTCTGAAGAATGAGAAAAAGCACCAGCGTCAGAGAGAGAGGAGGGCGCAAGAGTTGCATGAGCGTTGCAGTGGGTATCTAATGTCAAGAAAACTAGAAAGGCTTTCAGAACAGCTTCTGGCAATGGGTTTTTCTCATGAGCGGGCAACCTTGGCCCTTATGTTGAATGAGGGCAGGGTAGAAGAATCAATAAACTGGCTTTTTGAAGGAAGTGAAGAGGAAGCTCAAAAAAAGGACTCTAAGCTTGGAAGTGGTGGTAACCTAAAAATTGATATAAACGAGGAGCTCGCTCAAATCTCAGCAATGGAGAAGAGATACAAATGCTCAAAGCAGGAGGTTGAAAGAGCTGTGGTTGCTTGTGAAGGGGATCTAGTGAAGGCAGAAGAGACGTTGCATGCACAAAAGCAGGACCCACCTGCTACTCCACCAGAACCTGAAGATACTGCTGATACCAATAACCTGAGGGGCCCTGAAAAGCCTGTACCTTTACCTGCAACTTCAGTTACGGCACAACAGAGAACGAACGAACGCTGTTTCAACTACAAAACAGCAGTTCCAGTGCCTACATATTCAGAACCTGGGAGTAGAAACTTGCAATCTCTGAATCAACCCAAGTCACTAGCAGACAAGAGGTGGGGCACAACAGGATCAAGCCCTGCCTTTTCATCGCCTATGGTACCGTCCATGCAAGTAGCAACTCCATCAACAAAATTTGATGTCCGGCTTGGTTTCACTGGAAATGAGGGAAAAAATGTGCAGCAGATTGTGAGGGAACCAGTAATAATGATGCAGCGCCCTCAATCTATAAATGCCAAACAAAATACAGTCCCTAGTGCAAGTACCAGACCTTCAGCAACAGCTGGATGGTATTCAAATAATGTTCCAGGTGTTGAAAATATGCGGTCAAATCTTAATTTACTTCCAAATCACAGCACTGGAAGCCTTGGTCTTGTAAATCATGGCTCAGAGCAATTTTACCATCCTGTGCCATACAAAGAAAACCAATTCCTGTTTAGTGGCCCAGTAGATTCTGCATCAAATAGACATGGAGGTGCAAGATACCCTTCACTTTCGGTTGTATCTCAGTCACAAGGTTCGTATGGTAAAACGACAGCGTCTTTGCCTTCACTAGCACCACCATCCTCCCTTGGTTTATTCACTGGTTGGGGCCCAACAGGAACTTTAGGTTCTTCACATGTTGACTGGAATACAGGAGGCCTGATGCCAGAATTTGATTACAACAGTATCGATTGGACTTTGGATTCGAACCTGTTATCCTCCAGGTCAAATGGGTTGTGGCTGGGTCTCTCCTCATTACTTAGGAACACATCTGGCACAAGGACAAGCAGTACAAATAGTTCCTTCCTATCAGGATTACGGGATGGTGGAGTTGCAAAAGAAACACCATCCTCGGCTGGTTCGCGCGAGTGGACCTCTCCTTTTGCAGGAAAGGACATCTTTAGTTTGCCTAGGCAGTTTGTAACTTCTCCATCTCCTTAGGACTAGGTAATATGACTTTGGAAAAGGAGAAGAATGGAGGCAATGAGGCTGGCTCGGTTGGTGTTTCGATACATGTTCATGCTTGTGTCTGGTTTATCAGTGGTAAATGCATCAGTTAGTTTCTACTTCTATGACTTGTGCCTTTTCTTTCTCGTTAGTTGTTTGCTAGATGGAAAGTGTGATTCCCTTTCGGGCTACAAGACTTGCAGTGTCGGCAGTAGGTTGAGGCCCATGCCTTATGCATAAACGTGACTTTTTGTCCTACTTTTGCTCCAAAAAAAAAAGAAAAAAAAAGAAAAAAGAAAAAAAGAGGAGATAAAAGAAAAGAAAAAAAAACCAACAAACAAGGAGAGAACAATTAGAACTTCAAATTAATGGCTAATTAAGGAAAAGAGAGGAAAGTATAAAGTACCAAGATTAAATAAAAATAGGCTAAATTGTAAAAAAAAAAAACCTTTTTAAACTCTAGCCAAAAAAAAAAAAAATGCTTCTGAATATATATATTTTTTAACTCAAGGGATAGGTTTTATTTTGCCTTTTTTCATGGTTCTAATGAAAAATTGATGAAAATATGCATAACAAAACCTTTCTAATTACTTTTTTCTTGGCAACTACAATGAAAAAAAAAAAAAAATCATCATCTTCTCTCTTCTTCCCACTAATTCTAAGTTTGTAAGCCATAGAAGGAGGGAAAAAAGTTCCATTAATTTCTGCAAGAAAACCTAAATTGAAAATATCAATTAAATTTATCTTTAAAAATTCCAACTCCAAAAATTTTAAATTAAATTAAAATAAAATCCCAAAAAACACTCTAATTGGAGCAATTGTAGCATGTGATGGTTCATGGTGGTGGAGAGAGAAGGTATGTTGTTGTTAGTAGCTTATTTCATATCAATTAATTCTTTTTCTAAGTATTTACTTAGGGTGGAATAAAGTTAGGCTTAACTCATGACCGAAAGAGATCATTGTTTCCGATGATGAGGGAAAGAGAGGTTACAAGTGCTCGTCAACCACCATTGGAACTTCTACCGTAATTGTGGAATGGTGGAGAGGTTAGCCGATGCTAAAGATGATGATTTCAAGTGCGGTGTGTTGATCTTTGAAGATGGAGAGTCGTAATGATACGGTGGTTAGTTTGTTTTTCTTTATCAATTGAAGAGAAGAGAAACTAGAAATAGGAGGATTTTTTATGGTATTTTTGTCAATTTTTTCATAATCCTAGAGAAAGAGCAAAATAAAAAATAAATTATTTAGAAGGAAACATTAAGAATCTTTTTGGTTCAAGAAAGTATTTGTGTTTTCACAAAAATTAGGGATATTTTACAATTTAGCCACAAAATATAATGAAAAATTGATAAAAATACCCATAACAAAACATCCATAGCAAACCGTTTCTAATTACCTTATTCTCTATAACTACAATGGAAAAAAAAATCTCATCTTTTTTTCTCTTTTGTTCTTCCGATTCTGTGTTTATAAGCTCGTAAAAGAAAAAAAAATCATAAAAAGTCCCATGAACGCTTGCAAGAAAACTTAATTAAATTGAAAATTTCAATTAAATTTATATTTAAAAATTTAATTCTAAAAATTTCAAATTTAAAAAAAATTAAAAGACACTCTAATCGAAGTCGTTGCGATGTGTAATGGTTGATGATGGTAGATAGAGAGGAGATAAGGGGTTGTTGTATGCTCGTTGTTACTAACATTGATGGAGGAAAAGACTTAACTCACGTTGAAAAGAGATAATCGTGTTTTATGATTAAAGAAACAAGGTTGCGAGTGCCGTCAACTATTATTGGAACTACTACTATGATACAAGGCAAGGTTTGGAAGGAGATCAACATAACATCATTGAGGAAAATGAAGATTTAAGTGGCAATGTTGATGAAGGTAATAGTGCCGACAATGATGAGATGGATCGATGACGGTGTTAGCAATGATGAGCTAGACTAATAATGATGGAAAATTGATACGAGGGTTGTTACAAAGTTACTTAAAGAAGCTATTAGGAGTTAGTTAGCAAGTTGCTAGTTAGTTAGTGAAGTGCAACTATATATAAGGAGAGTACTTGTAGAAGAGAAAGGTTATCTTAAATCATTTGTGTAAAAGCATTTCTCTCTCAATTTTTCTTCTTTGATAACTTTCTCTATAAAAAAATTCTTGCATTTCTTTTTCATTCCTTGTATTACAATTTCATTGCAAGTATTTCTTGCATTGAATTTGATAATTGTATTAATTGGTAATAGAGCATTTTCTTAGCACTCGTCAATTGTGATGGCAAAAGAAAATAGAGATTTAAGGAAGGCGAAAGAATCCATCTACAATTTAACTAAGGTAATATATGATCTTATTAAGAAATAAGATGTTATGGCTTATTAACATAGTCCGAAAATAGTAGAGATTAAAGAGTTGATGAAAAATCTCTAAGTTAACAGGAATATGCAAGCTTATCCGAAACAAGATAAAGAGTTCCGGACTCAAGAAGAGTATGTTAATGTAGGAGTTCATGATGGAAACGGTGATGGTAGAAATGTGAATATTAATGGGGAAATATGAGTTTTAATGGAGGAATACAAGATTTTAATCTTGGATATCAAGTTAACATTAGATTGTCTAGGATTGAATTTTCAAGATTCAATGGAGAAGATCTAGAGGGTTGGATTTTAAAGTGTGAACGATTTTTTGATATTGAAAAAACAACAAGGGAAACTAGAGTAAATCGGCTTTAATACATTTGAAAGGCAAACCATTAGAATGGCATGGCATCAAGTTTTTGCTAGAATGAAAAGAGAAAATGTCATATTTGAATGGGGTGAATATGTGGAGACCTTGAATACAAGATTTGAAGCAATGATTTATAGTTATCCCATGGCTGAATTAATGAATTTGAAAAAAAATGGGAATGTCCGGAGTTACCTTAAGAAGTTTATATCTTAGTAAACAAACTATCTTTACCTATAAGATTATATAGCTAGTTGTTTCTTGAGTAGTTTGAAAACCGAATTGCGAGTACCAATACGTATACTTAAGCGTGGAACCCTAAAAAATGTAGTTTCCTTGGCTAAACTATAAGAAATCAACCCTAATAGCTCGAATTTTGGATCAAGATTCAGTTATAGGATCGTTAATAATCCTACTACTTATGTTAAAATAATTTTACCTATGGGCAATTAGAGAAACAATACAAACTAACCTTTTTCAAACACCTCTAAGATCTTAAACAATATGCAAACTTCTACCAGTATTATTAATAACCTTGTTACTCAAAAGGCCTATTGACATTACCTTCTCAATTCTAAAAGGGCAATTCAATATTCAAAACTAGGATACTTCCGAGCAATAAAGAATTAATGAGTGTAGATCGAGAAGTCAATGCTATTTTTGTAATGAAAAATACTTTTCCGAACATAAATGCAAAGGAAGACAATTGTTTATGTTAGAAATGGAAGATAATAAAAGAGAATGGGAGAATGTTGAACCAATAGTAGTTAAGTATACCGATGTTAATGAAGACAACTTTGGTAGGAAATTATATCAAATCTCTATGAGTAATGTACTTAGGTAAAGTAAATATAAAACCTTCAAAGTTAAAGGAATGAAACATTCGATTGATACCGGTAGTGCTCATAATTTCTTAGATATCGGGTTTGTTAAGAAGATTAAATGTGAACCGACTAAGATTCAACCACTAACTATCAAAGTGGTCGGAGGAACTAAGACTCGTATATGACTTGGTATGTGGCTTCTTTAAGTGAAAGATGCAAAAGAATGCATTTGAAACAAGGGTATTTTGTATTGCACTTAGGGAGTTTTATATGGATTGGGAGATATAGTGTGGAATTTTAAGTCATTGTGGATGAAGTTCTTCTAAAAGGAACAAATATTGATTTTGCAAGGGAAATCTGCTGAGTTTCCTAGTTTCTAAGAGGAAAAAGAAATGAATAGAGTGATTGATAGACTTGAACAACTAAATTGGTTACAACTAAACCAATTATTAGGTACCTAAGAGGATCAATTGGAGTTGTTTGAGTTATAGATTATGGAATTGGTACCTAGAGAAATACATACAATCTTAGATGAATTCTGTGATATATTTGAGAAAATAAAGGGATTATCTCCATAAAGAGCTTATGATCATAAAATTGTTCTAAATTCAGGATCTAAATCAATTAATATGAAACCATATAGATATCCTCCTCGCCCAAAAAAGATGTTATATTGTTCAATCTAGCTCTAGTCCATTTTCTTCTCTAATGGTGTTGGTTAATAAAAAAGATGGATCTTGGAAAATGTGTGTTATTGAAGAAATTTGAGAAGAATTACATGGATTTGTGGTTTTTCTAAACTAGATTTAAGAGCAAGATATTATCAAATAAGAGTTTTTGAACATGATATTTACAAAAAAACATTTAAAAGTCCCAATGGTCATTGTGAATACCTTGTGATGCCATTTGGACTTATTAATAGTCATAGTACCTTTCACGAGTCTCATGAATCATGTTTTTTTGACTTTTTTAAAAAAATCTGTTTTGGTTTTCTTTGATGATATCCTAGTTTACGAGTAAAATCTTTAACCAAACATGTAAAGCATTTAACAACAACTCTTTCAATTTTTAGAAAAAAAATGTTTTGTATGCAAAAAGATCCAAATGCATTTTTGGTACTCCAAAAGGGAAATACCTTAGCCATTTCATTTTTATTGCAGGAGTTCAAACGGATAACAAAAAGATTGCAGCAGTTCAGGCGTGGACTCAGCCTAAAAATCTCAAAACAATTGCATGGATTCTAAGGCTTAATTAGATATTATTGCAAGTTTGTTCAAAATTATTTGAAGTTGGAAAAACCTTTAACCGATTTACTTTAAAAAGATGTTTTATAATGAAGTTCATAAGCGTAAGTTGCTTTTCAACAACTAAAAAAAGCTATGGTTAATACTCTTATTTTAGCTCTAGCTAATTTGTTTGCAGAGTTTGTGGTATATATAAATGCATTTGAAACTGGAATTAGAGCCGTTTTAATGTAAAGAGGTCATCGAATCGCATATATTAACAAGGCACTTTCTCCAAAACATCAAGCTTTATTATTGTATGAGAAGGTGTTGTTTGCCATTCTGTTTGTGATTAAAAAATGACATCAATACTTAACAAATAGACATTTCATTATTAAGATGGATCATCGAGTCTTAAACATATGTTAGAGTAGAGATTACATACCGCATCCCGACTTACTTGGTTAGTCAAGTTAATGAGGGTATAATTACGTTATTGAATACAAGAAGGGTAGGGAAAATAAAGTGGCGGATGCATTATCTAGATTTCCTAGTGTAGAATTATCGATTTTGGTAGTTTCATCTATTTCTACCGATATTTTTTCAAAAGTGGTGTCTTCGGTGGTATCAAGATTCTTATCTAAAGTCCGTCGGTGATCGGTTGAAGGGTAAGACTCCACCTATTTCTAAGTATGTATGGAAAGATAACTAATTACTCAAGAGGGGTAGATTGGTTGTGGGATATGATGTAGTATTGCAATAGCATCTAATCTCATTGTTCTATGATACTCGCTATTAGAGGTCTTGTGGGGGTGGAGGAAACAAAAAAGAAATTAGCTACTATTTTTTTTTATTGGCAAGGGTTGTCAAAATTAGTACATGAGTTTGTTCGTAATTGTCCCATATATTAGCAATATAAGTATGAAACCATTACTACTCTTAGTTTATTGAATCCACTACCTATACCACAAGCAATAAACATTATCATGGATTTTAGTCATGGGTTGCCGCTATTGCATGGAAATAATTTTATTATGGTAATGGTAGATCGTTTAGCAAAATATGTATATTTTATAGCCCTTGCTCATCCTTATATAGCAAATATAGTAGCCCAAGCATTTATGGATTCTATTTTTCAAATTGCATAGGTTACCTAATAACATTGTTTTAGATAGAGATTCGATCTTTTGAGAAAATTTTAGACATAATTATTTTCATTACAAGAATTCTTTTTGCATTTTTCAACGGCTTATCACCCTCCGATAGATGGTCAATCGGAGGTGGTGAATAGATGTATGCGTACTTACCTTCGATACATGACTTCTTCAAGTCATAAAAAAGCAAATGGTTATCATTAGCAGAGTTTTGATATAATACTAACGGTAGTTCTACTATTAAAATGTCTTGTTTCATAGCCTTATATGGCTATGCTCCTCTATTGCATTTACCATATATTTTAGGAGATTCAAAAGTTAAAGTAGTGGATCATCCGTTGCAAGAGAAGAAGGTTATTTTGGAATTGCTTAAATTCCATCTCAAGCACGCTCAACAGAGATATGAAGAATATTTATGGCGGACATACATAGAAATCATAGAATTTTTCAAATCGATGATTGAGTTTATTTGAAGTTACAAGCTTACATTAAGACTTAGAAGCTCAAGCATAACAATAAGAAATCATTAATAAAGTTGAAGTTATCACTTACACTCTTGATCTTTTTAGCGTAGCTCAAATACATCCTACCTTTCGTGTGTCACAACCGAAACCTATTTATGGTGATATTATTGTTCACATTTCATTACCATCTTTTGTGAGTATCAATTTTTATCCTTTGGCTATCTTAGATAGGAAGATGGTAAAACGAGATAATGTAGCTACTATAAAACTTTAAATACACTCGGTCTCATAGTTCTTCTACCGATGCTACTTGAGAATATGCTTTTGATTTATAAGAGAAATATCTAGACTTTAACCTTGAGGATAAGGTTTTTCAACGAAGAGTATTGATATGAGGCAATTTTTGAAAGAAGATCAACGGAAGATCACTAAGGGAAATGAAGATTTAAATAGCAATGTTGATGAAGGTAATAGTGCTAGCAATGATGAAATAGACTAATGACAAGTGTTGGCAATGATGAGTTGAACTAATGATGATGGCAAGCTAGTGTGGGGGTTGGTACAAAGTTAGTTAGGGAAGTCTGTTAGGAGTTATTTAGCAAGTTGTTAGTTAGTTAGTGAAATATAACCGTATCTCGTGGAGAGTATTGTAGAAGAAAAGGGTTATCTTGGAACATTTGTGCAAAATCATTTCTCTCTTTATTTTTCTTTTCTGTTAACTTTTTCTCTGTAAAACAATTCTTGCATTTCTTTTATATTTCTTATATTACAATTTCATTGCATGTATTTCTTTCATTTACATGAGTAATACTACAAACTAGTTATCTGTGGAATGATAGTGAAATTAGTTGGCGCAAACGATGATGATTTCAAGTGTGGCTCTATTGATCTTTAAAGGTGGAGGCTCGTGATGATGCAAGCTGAGTAGCTGGTTTGTTTTTCTTTATCAATTGAAGAGAAGAGAAAGTGGAATCAGGAGGATTTTTTTTTAGGGTATTTTTGGCAATTTTTTGTAATCCTAGAGAAGGAGCAAAACAAAAAATATATATTATTTAGGAGGCAAAATCAAGATTTTTTTTTTCAAGAAAGTATTTGTGTTTTCTCTAAAGTGGGATATTTTACAATTTAGCCATAAAAATAAAATTAAAAAATTTGGCCGGTTCAGTTACAAAATTATGGGGTTTATATGATGAAACATGACCTACAGAAAGGAAAATACAGGATACAAGCTAGTACAAAGGTAATCGACAAGAATGAATCTACAGCCAATCAATGATCTTTAACCAGCTTTAATCCCCAACCCACATCCTCACAATGCTTCACATGAGGAACAATAGCACCTTCATCGATGTTGACCTTTGCCTTGCAGCCATAACGTGGAGGGAAATGGAAACAAGGCTCCATTGACATAGCTTGAACACAAGGAGGATCTGGGGTTGTTCCATTGAAAGGCCTGTAAAGAATCCATGGCTTCAGACTACCTAGACTTTGAGCCACATAACCAAAAGTTGACCAAGAGCTAGTAATCAACACATCACTCATACTCAGCAGATAAATTTCAGTCCATGCCTTCATACTGTGCATCTTATTCCCATATAGTTCATGCTCTTCATGGCTTGGCTGGAAAACACCAATCACTTCCCCACTCACAGTTGGTCTTGTCCAATACATCCCCTTTATATACTCATAGTACTCTGAGTACAGAGATGTTACTAAAACAGCTTTCAAGCTTTGGTTATTGGATAAAGATGCAACAGAATTGTGCACATCTAAGACTTCAGGCAGTAATTTATCCTTTAGAGTACAGGACAAAATCTGATCCATAACTGTTTGAAATGGAGTAGTTTTAGTATCAAAAACCCTTACTTGGATGCCAATCCTCTCATCTGCTTTGGATAAGTAAGCTTGATAAAACCTAGTGATTAGTCCCCATGCTTCATTTGAGGGTTGGAAAAGATACCGACCCACGTGGTGGAAAACAGTTTCTTGGTCAGGGAACAACTTGCTTAGTTCCTGGTGAAAAGATGGGACTAAGAAGAGAGAAGGGACAAAGTATTGGTTTGATTTTATAACCAACCAAGGGACTTTTTGAAGTTGATCTTGATTTTGATCACAATAAAAAAGCTCATCGTAACGATCAATGTTGTAAGCTAGATAAAGATAAAGAAATGCTGGTGGTGGAGACTTCATGGAAATGTTGATGATTCTTTTCTTCAGCATGTTTCCATAAGTACGAGGATATTCCTGACGGAAATTTTCAAATTGATTCCTTAAAGGAAAATCCATGGGCAACAACCATGTTGTATTTGGAAATGGCTCACAAAAGAGATCAGCAATTTCTCTTCCGAATTCCACAAGCAGGACTCGGTTAGTGAGGAAAGCATATAGAAATGCTGAAGCAACTGATAGCATCATGTTTCCTAGGCCACTCAAAGGTGTATAGACAACATAGTTACAACCTGTGGTACCAATATTACGGCCAGACTTGAGTTGTTCAAGGGTTTTGTTGTAGGATTCGGTGTAAGGCCCGCAGTGGTTATGAAGACTTTCATAGGTCCTAAGTTTGGCGATGAGGTAGAGGGAGGGCTTATGCGGTGATGGTTTTCGATATAGAATGGCTTCGTACCGGCTTAAGCAAGATCCTTTGTCAAATCCAGGAGCAAAAAGTTCGTTGAGAAGTTGCTGATAGGAAACATTTCCTGAATCTGTAAAAATCAAGAAGGAAATTAAAATATCTACAATTTACAAGCAAAGCAAAGGATGAACAACCGCACAAGGAGTGGATATCAAGAAATTGAAGATCGCAATGGTGGTTCATTAGCCATAGTAGATTAGTAGTTGCCCCAAGTGATCAAAAAATAAACCATGAAGTATGGTGCTTACCTAAAACTTCTGATATTGTATCATCAGTTTGAGCAGCTCCTCCTGCTAGGACCTTAATTTTAGCATCTCCTTCATTAACTTTGAATATTACACTCTTTTGCGGAACGATTGAGACAATTATAAGAATAGAGAAAACTATCAAACAAGCAAATGGGATTGTTGAACAATATCCATTTTTCTGCACTTTGACTTGAAAGATTTTCATGTCCCAGGAAGTATGATCTCTTGTGGTTCTGATCATCCCTGAAAGTTCCATTTGAAACCATGTTAATTTTAGAATTTTGATTTATTTCATGTCATGTTGCTACCCTTGATGCTATATATATTCAAATATCCCAAAAATAAAATAAAGAATGGAAGTCATTCTTTAGTCAGAAAAAGGTAGCTAGTTCGTGTTTAATGTATTTTCGAAGACATTTTGGATTGTCATCATAATTACTGACCATAGTTAGCAAGTTAATTTTGTGCTGCCTATCTAAATACGGAAGAAAATTTCTTGCAGTCGGACTTAGTACCTGGAATATTAGAATTCAACTTGCATAAGAGATTGAGATCTCGAAGAAGAGGAGAAATTTTGAAAATATTGTAAGACCGTATGGTTGGCCCATGTGCATGGATTGGCAATGTGGACAAAGAAGGAATTAGGAAGCAAGTTAGAGCTGCCCATAAAAACAATAAATAAATAAAGCAAATAATTTAAATTATTTTTTTGTTGCTTAGTTCCGGCCGGATTAATGCATGCAGCATCCTGAGCTTTGATGTGTAGAATCAACGTTTTTATTATTTGACAATTACTTGGTGTCAAACCTCAAACCCTAAGCTATATCTTCCGGCTAATAATTTCATAAACATTTTTTTCAGATATTTTCATCTCATATTAGATATATGACTAATTTTATTTGAAATCAGAGTCATAAAATTTATGTGAAGCTCACTTCGCATATTATTAAGTTAACAAACTATTGAATATTTCATCAAACTAGGCAATATAAATAGCATCTTCAGAGTAGCTTCTACATGGAACCCAATGCCTAAAGCTGCTATTATCTTTTACTACTAGCTATCAAGCAAACACGTAACATATTGAGACGAGAATTTTCTTTCTTGCTACTTCTCCCTAAAACATAGCATGGGGAGCAGTAAGCACTGAACCTGCATACCTAAGTCAGCACCTCAAAGAGGATATCGAGTACTGAATCTGTTGTACTTCTAGGGTTTTAAAATGGTTAGAGAAAAAAAAAGTGGGGAATTAAATTAAGGGATAAAAAATCGTTTAAAAAATTAAGATGAAAGAAGGATTAGCTAGCTAGGTTATAAAGAAAGAGAGAAATATATTGTAGAAGACGAAAGAATTGAAAAGAAAAGTAGTACCTTCAATTGTTGGCAATTTTCTCACCCGAACAAATAGTTAGGCGTTAATTCTCAATATCTTTCTGCCACAACTTATTACTAGCATAACTTGGCAGTCAGGCAGGCAGCAGGGAAGTATATCATTCTGCCAAATATTTCTCCTCTTGTATATATAATTAGAAAGCGTTGTGCTAAAGTTGGGTATCAAATATAACCACTAATTAATTACCCTATGGTGAATATATATATTTGACTGATTAATATCTGGAGGAAGTAAATGCGTTGATTCATTTCCATTTTTTTAGTGGGTTGATTATATCATACTTAAAAATAAAAAGAAAAAAACAAACAAGTTGATCATAATTTTAGGACAAAAATTAATGGGGCTAATTGCATAGAATGATTAAATATTTGAGCTGATTCGTTTTGCAAGAAAGAGATAAACTGTCAACTTCATTTTTTTTTTTTTTGCCCCTAGTTCCATTTAATAAAGTAATTAGTACCTAGCTAGAAAGCTAGGACAAAAAAAGAAAAAAAAAGAAGACAAATTGACAAAAGGTTTATTGGCATTGCAGGTCCTTATTTTGTAGAAAATAACAATTAGGTCCTTGATATTAGATAATTAACCTGTTAAATTAGTTATTCACATCGATTTCCATTCAAAATTGATGTTAAATCACCTTAGAGAGCATCTATATACGTAGCAGCCACATCAGACATGACATGTGTGACGTGTATGTTTCACGAGTAAAATTTCAAATTTTAACGATGGTTTGTATGTAAAATGAATATTATATATGATGAAAAAAAAATAAAGGTTAAGTATTCAATTGCCTTTTTTTTTAACCATAAAGTTCAATATGACATAAATATTGAACCACAAGGACCTTTCTGTCATAAAATAAAATAAATTGTTATATGTATACATTTATGAGGTAATTAGCATATAAATCAACGATGATCTTGTAATTTAAAAATCAAAAGCAAGAAAACGAAGGAAACGTTTAATATGTCGTTGAGAAATCAAATATCCTTTTTTTTTTTTTTTTTTTTTTTGTAAGGGCAGAAATATTCTTAACTTTAAATTCCTAATGACTTCTCTTGTTTGATAGAATATGTAATATTTTAATTTCCTTATGATTTGTCTCGCTACTACAATTATTTGATAGAATAGAAGCATGCATATATAATAATATTGTAAATTCTTTACAATTTTTCTTACCAATCATCTTATTTCTTGATTATCATAATGCAAATTGCATTTTATATGTTAAAATTTTCTTACTCATTTTATATGCCCTTGTCTTTTTCGTAGCTTAGTCATGATCTGAAGCTTGTTTTATTTACTGAATGTTTGTACATGGCTTGGCTTGTAGGTAGGATTCTCCTCTCTTTTTTTTTTCCTTTTTTTTTTTTTGGGTTTTTGATTGGGATTTGTTAGTTTCTAGTTACCAAGTATTTTTTAAAATATTGTCGTGCAAGCTGTTAATTAATTAATTTATTTATTTTTAAGAAAGGTCGGGATCGAGGTTCTTGAGTTGGAGCCAGTGCGCAAACTATGCTCCCGCAAGTTAGTATTTTTTTACTAACTAATACTAAACTTACATTGGGACATCAAACTTGACCAACTAGCATCTACGCATCCCCAGTACTGACTTGAAACAAAAGTTTGTACTGTTTTTCAAAAAAGATCTTAATAAAATCTCATGAGAAAAAAAAAAGAACTTTTGGGTACTTAATTTCTAATCTCAACTTGCTATTTGCAATTTTTGTTATATAATGGGTTGTTATGTATGTAATGATTTTGAAACATTTCGTTTTTGTTATTTTAGTATTATATGAAGCTGTGATATGTGATAGCGGTCAAGATTATTTTTTTAACCGTATATGAATTAAAACTATGCTTGCATCTTCATTGAAAATTTCTCAAAACAAATTATCCCGCTTGTTCTGCAAATTATTGAACAAGGTCTGGTGTTTGGTTCAGTGAACCTCATAAAAATAATCGGACTAGAACAATTTTCTAGCAACTGCAATTCATGGACATGCACATAATTCATTAGATATTAATTTAAAGAAAAGAATTACACCAAATGAGAAGGACAGGAGCAGAATTTCGCTTGGAATACCAGAAAAAAATTATCCCTATTGTGCTACAATTTTTTTGACAGAATGGGGTGTTTGGATCACAGTGAAACGGATAAGAATTGAATAATCTGATCGAATAGAAGAAATTTCTAGTAACTGTAAGTCATGAACCTATAGATGATACATTACAACATTGAATAATAAAAAAAAAAAGGTTCTCTAGAACACAGTTGCAAACCTGTATATGATGATCAAATCTATGAAGCTAAAACATGTACTTAAGCCATAGGATAGACTCTATCTACAACTTCTGATGTTCGCTAACTAGCTTCACTCCCCAATTCAGATCCTCACAGTATTTTAAATAAGGAAACAGAGACCCAACATTGATTTTGGTCTTTGTTTTGCAGTCATGATTTCGAGGAAAATGAAAACAAGGCTCCATAGATAAGTCTCTTACACAAGATGGATTTGGGGTGTGTCCCTTGTCTGCCTTGTACAGAATCCATGGTTTCCGACCCCCTAGACCTTGAGCCACATATCCAAAAGTAGACCAAGCACTTGTCACGAGCACATCACTCAAACTTAGCAGATACATTTCAGCCCATGCCTTTATGTTGTGCATATTATCTCCAAAGCGTTGAGATTCTTCATGGCTTGGCTGGTAAACCCTTATGACTTCACCCGTCACAGTTGGTTTAGCCCAGTACGTGTTACTTATGTTTTCATAGAAGGTGGTATATAAAGATGTTACTAGAATAACTTTTGATCTCCGAGTTTTGGTCGAAGTAGCTAAAGGATGTTTTGTATCCACTCGTGGCAACAAGTTTTCCTTCTGTGTGCATTTTAACAGTTGATCAAGAACAATTTCAACTGGACTTGTAGTGGTGTTGAATATTCTAATTTGGAGGCCAATCCTCTCATCTGCATCGGCTAGGTATGCCTGATAGAACCTGGTGATTAGCCCCCATACCTCGTTTGAAGGATGGAAAAGGTAGCGAGCCAAGTGATGGAAAACAGTTTCTTTTTCAGGGAACAATCTCTGCATTTCTTGCTTAAAAGTTGACGTCAAGAAGAAAGAGGGGACAAAGTATTGATCTGATATCAGAAACAACCAAGGTACCTTTCGGAGAAGAGATGGATTTTGATTGCAATGAAAACTTAGTCTATCCAGATCATACTTAGTATGATCTAGATTGAGGAACACATAGGACGGAAGTGATTCCGTGGACTCGTTTATGATGCCACTCTTTAACAGGTTTCCATAACCACGATCATGTCTCAAGTCAGCACTGTGAAACTGACCCTCAATGGGGAAGTGCTTGGGCAAAATCCAAGACGAGTTTGGAAATGGCTCGCAAAATAAACGAAGCATGTCATTTCCAAGTTCAACGAGTAGGACTCGATCAGTGAGGAGAGCATAAAGAAATGTTGAGACCAAGCTCATCATCCTGTTTCCCAGACCATTGACAGGCACCCAGACAAGGTATTTACATCCTCCGCCACTGCCATGACTTGATTTGAGCCTCTTAAAGGCTTTGCTGTAGGATTTGGTATGAGGTCCACAACGTTTATGGAGATCTTCGTACCTACGTAGTTTTGAAAGGAGATAGGAAGAGGGCTTATAGAGTGAAGTTTTGCGAAATAGGAAAGACTGATACCTACTTGAGCAAGATCTTTCATCAAATCCAGGAGCCAGAAGTCCACCAAGCAATTTATCAACAGACATTCTGGCGCTCTGAGAGGAATCATTTCTTGAACCTGATTCATTCCGAAATCCTGGAACCAAAGCTCCATTAAGCTGCTTCTCATCAGGCCCACTGGTATGCGGCAAGGAATTAGTTTTTGAACTAGTTCCATTGCCAAAGGAATCATTTCTTGAACCTGTTTCACTCCGAACTCCTAAAGCCAAAGTTCCATTAAGCTGCTTCTCATCAGGCCCGCTGGTACGCAACAAGGAATTATTTTTTGAACTTGTTTGCTCCCCAAATCCGGGAGGCAAATGTCTATTGCGCATTCTTCCATCAGGAATGACGGCAGGCGGTGAAGAATCATTTTTTAAATCTGTAAAGGATGAAAGGAAAAGGAAAGAATAAATGAATCAGAAATTAGGACAACGATAAAGAGAAGTCAGACTGTATCAGCACAGAAAACAAAGTATTGGAACTCAAGCAGGAAGGAATGGTCTTGGTGTCTTACCAACGTTCAATGTTGTAACATTTCGAGATTTCTCAGCTTTAGCTAACCCTCCGATTAGATCAAACGACTGGTTCTGATACAAAATCAATATCATGAGAGACAGAGGCAAAACAATGGAACACACAACCAATAATGTTGTGTATCTCTTGGAATCAAACCCCAATTTGCCCTTCGCTACTTCAACTATTTCCATTATTTCCCGTCGGAGCTTCACTAGTAAAACCCTCCTGCAAACCGAAGGGAAAATTATTTGTTCTTGGTAAGTACAGTAGACGAGGATGCTAAAAGGTCATACTTTCTAAGATTTAGTGCTGGAGCGATCATCATTGAAATTGGTAAAGGAAGAAGAACATAATTTTAGAAGAAAAATTAATGGGGCTAATTGCATAGAATGATTAAATATTTGAGCTGATTCGTTTTGCAAGAAAGAGATAAACTGTCAACGTCATTTGTTTTTGCCCCTAATTCCATTTAATAAACTAATTAGTACCCAGCTAGCAAGCTAGGACAAAAAAAAAAAAAAAAAAAAAAAATACAAATTGACAAAAGGTTTATTGGCATTGCAGGTCCTTATTCTGTAGAAAATAAGCAATTAGGTCCTTGACATTTGATAATTAACCTGTTAAATTAGTTATTCACATCGATTTCCATTCAAAATTGATGTTAAATCATCTTAGAGAGCATCTACGCAGCAGCCACATCAGACATCACATGTGTGATGTGTATATTTCACGAGTAAAATTTCAAATTTTAACTGTGTTCTGTACGTAAAAATGAATATTATGATGAAAAAAAAAATGTTAAGTATTCAATTGCTCTTTTTTTAACCATAAAGTTCAATATGACATAAATATTGAACCACAAGGACCTTTCTGTCATAAAATAAAATAAATTTTTATATGTATGTATTTATGAGGTAATTAGCATATAAATCAACAATGATTTTGTAATTTAAAAATCAAAAGCAAGAAAAGGAAGGAAAAGTTTAATATATCGTTGAGAAATCAAATATATATATATATATAATTTATTATTTTATTTTATTATTATTTTTTTTTTGTAATAGCAGAAATATTCTTAACTTTAAATTCCTAATGATTTTTCTTGTTTGATAGAATATGTAATGTTTTAATTTCCTTATGATTTGTCTTACTACTACAATTATTTGACAGGATACAAGCATGCATATATAATTTTGTAAATTCTTTATAATCTGTCTAACCAAATATCTTATTTCTTGATTATCATAATGCAAATTGCATTTTATATGTTAAAATTTTCTCAATCATTGTATTTGCCCTTGTCCTTTTCGTAGCTTGGTCATGATCTGAAGCTTCTTTATTCACTGAATGTTTACACGTGGCTTGGCTTGTAGGTAGGATTTTCTTTCCTTTTTTTTTATTATTTTTTTGCTTGGGACTTGTTAGTCTCTAGTTAGCAGGTATTTTTAAAAATATTTTCGTGCAAGTTGTTTATTTATTTATTTTCATGAAAGGTCGGGATCGAGGTTCTTGAGTTGGAGCCAGTGCGCAAACCATACTCCCGCAAGTTAAGTATCTTTTTACTAACTAAAACTAAACGTACATTGGGACCTCAAACTTGACCAACTAGCACCTACGCATCCCCAGTAATGACTTGACACAAAAGTTTGTAATGTTTTTAAAAAATGATCTTTAAAAAAAAAAAAAGAAGAAGAAGAAGAAGAAGAAGAAAGAGCATGTGCTTGATAGACTACGCGGAAAAGAAAGAGACTTGGATGATAATTTTAAATAATGATGATTACATTAAATAACGATTGTTATATAATGGTTTTGATGCATCTCGTTATCATTATTTTAATATTATAAAAAATTATAATATGAGATGATAATCACGATCGTTTTTTCAACCGTATGTGATTTAAAATTATGCCTAGATCTCAATTGGAAATTTCTCAAAAAAATTATCCTGCTTGTTCTGCAAATTATTGAACAAGGTCTGGTGTTTGGATCAGTGAACCTCATAAAAATAATCTGACGAGAACAATTTTCTTGTAACTGTAATTCATGGAAATGCACATAACTATTAGACATTAATTTAATGAAAAGAATTACACCAAATGAGAAGGAAAGGAGCAGAGTTTCGCTTGGAATACCAGAAAAAAATTATCCCCATTTAGCATTATGGGGTGTTTGGATCACAGTGAAACGGATAAGAATAATAATAATCTGATCGAATAGAAGAAATTTCTAGTAACTGTAATTCATGTACCTGTGGATAATAAATTACAACATTGAATAAAAAGAAAAATACACTATAACACAGTTGCAAACCTGCATACGATGATCAAATCTATGAAGCTAAAACATGTACTTAAGCCACAGTATGGACTCTATCTACAACTTCTGATGTTCGCTAACTAGCTTCACTCCCCAATTCAGATCCTCACAGTATTTCAAATAAGGAAACAGAGACCCAACATTGACTTTGGTCTTTGTTTTGCAGTCACGAGTTCGAGGAAAATGAAAACAAGGCTCCATAGATAAGTCTCTTACACAAGATGGATTTGGGGTGTGTCCCTTGTCTGCCTTGTACAGAATCCATGGTTTCCGACCCCCTAGACCTTGAGCCACATATCCAAAAGTAGACCAAGCACTTGTCACGAGCACATCACTCAAACTTAGCAGATACATTTCAGCCCATGCCTTTATGTTGTGCATATTATCTCCAAAGCGTTGAGATTCTTCATGGCTTGGCTGGTAAACCCTTATGACTTCACCCGTCACAGTTGGTTTAGCCCAGTACGTGTTACTTATGTTTTCATAGAACTTGGTATATAAAGATGTTACTAGAATAGCTTTTGATCTCCGAGTTTTGGTCGAAGTAGCTAAAGGATGTTTTGTATCCACTCGTGGCAACAAGTTTTCCTTCTGTGTGCATTTTAACAGTTGATCAAGAACAATTTCAACTGGACTTGTAGTGGTGTTGAATATTCTAATTTGGAGGCCAATCCTCTCATCTGCATCGGCTAGGTATGCCTGATAGAACCTGGTGATTAGCCCCCATACCTCGTTTGAAGGATGGAAAAGGTAGCGAGCCAAGTGATGGAAAACAGTTTCTTTTTCAGGGAACAATCTCTGCATTTCTTGCTTAAAAGTTGACGTCAAGAAGAAAGAGGGGACAAAGTATTGATCTGATATCAGAAACAACCAAGGTACCTTTCGGAGAAGAGATGGATTTTGATTGCAATGAAAACTTAGTCTATCCAGATCATACTTAGTATGATCTAGATTGAGGAACACATAGGACGGCAGTGATTCCGTCGAATTGTTTGTGATGCCGCTCTTTAGCAGGTTTCCATAACCACGATCATGTCTCAAGTCAGCACTGTTAAACTGACCCTCAATGGGGAAGTGCTTGGGCAAAATCCATGACGAGTTTGGAAATGGCTCGCAAAATAGACGAAGCATGTCATTTCCAAATTCAACGAGTAGGACTCGATCAGTGAGGAGAGCATAAAGAAATGTTGAGACCAAGCTCATCATCCTGTTTCCCAGACCATTAACAGGAACCCAAACAAGGTATTTACATCCTCCACCACTGCCATGACTTGATTTGAGCCTCTTAAAGGCTTTGCTGTAGGATTTGGTATGAGGTCCACAACGTTTATGGAGATCTTCGTACCTACGTAGTTTTGAAAGGAGATAGGAAGAGGGCTTATAGGGTGAAGTTTTGCGAAATAGGAAAGACTGATACCTACTTGAGCAAGATCTTTCATCAAATCCAGGAGCCAGAAGTCCACCAAGCAATTTATCAACAGACATTCTGGCGCTCTGAGAGGAATCATTTCTTGAACCTGATTCATTCCGAAATCCAGGAACCAAAGTTCCATTAAGCTGCTTCTCATCAGGCCCGCTGGTATGCGGCAAGGAATTATTTTTCGAACTAGTTCCATTCCCAAAGGAATCATTTCTTGAACCTGATTCACTCTGAAATCCTAAAGCCAAAGTTCCATTAAGCTGCTTCTCATCAGGCCCGCTGGTACGCAACAAGGAATTATTTTTTGAACTTGTTTGCTCCCCAAATCCGGGAGGCAAATGCCTATTGTGCCTTCTTCCATCAGGAATGACGGCAGGTGGTGAAGAATCATTTTTGAAATCTGTAAACGATGAAAGGAAAAGGAAAGAATAAATGAATCAGAAATTAGGACAACGATAAAGAGAAGTCAGACTGTATCAGCACAGAAAACAAAAGCATTGGAACTCAAGCAGGAAGGAATGGTCTTGGTGTCTTACCAACGGTCAATGTTGTAACATTTCGAGATTTCTCAGCTGTAGCTAACCCTCCGATTAGATCAAACGGCTTGTTCTGATACAAGATCAATATCATGAGGGACACGGGCAAAACAATGGAACACACAACCAATAATGTTGTGTATCTCTTGGAATCAAACCCCAATTTGTCCTTCACTACTTCAACTATTTCCATGATTTCCCGTCGGAGCTTCACTAGTAATACCCTCCTGCAAACAGAAGGGAAAATTATTTGTTCTTGGTAAGTACAGTAGACAAGGATGCTAAAAGGTCATACTTTCTAAAACTTAGTGCTGGAGCGATCATCATTCAAATTAGTACAGGAAGAAGAACATGGGTCTCTTGACACAGTTCTTCCTTGGCATACAAAATTTATGAAAACAGCAGGTTATGGAGGTGACTATTTGTAAATGACTGAGATGGAAATTAATCAAGTTCTAGATTAGGAACTTGACTTTAATTTTTTCAAAATCCTTCACATGTGATGATTCATCTACTATTAGGTAGTCTAGCCAGTGGCTAGACATAGACGATGAAGAAACGAATATTTCACATTCCTGTGTTTCTCTTATCCACAAGAAAACCGTGAAAAAAAAAATTAAATGAGAAATAAAGGAGCGTCAAGAATTGTCCGGCCGCAGTGACATTTAAAAAAAAAAAAGAAAATCCAGTATCACAAGAAGGAAAAACAAAACATAAAATTCACTCAAAATGGCCAATTTTGAGACATTTAGTAATTTATATTTGCCAACAAAGAACAAGAATTATTAAAAAACAAAAAAAAACTGCAAAACCATATAAAAAATAACATATAGAGTTGTACTTCTTCAGAGTTTGGTGGAAAAAAATCTAAAAGATAAATGAATAGAAGTTTTCCTGTAGCAGTGAGCACCAATGTACAAAAAAAACGGGAAAAGAAAACAAATTAAAATTGAAGAACACATACCAGGAAGAAGAATCAATTTTGTGACAACTGTCTGAAACTTGGATTCTGTGTAATAATTCTTCTATTCAATCATAATGCATAAACTGACAAAAACCTCTCTCTCTCTCTCTCTCTCTCTCTGAGAAAACTCAGTCTCTAACCTTTATTCTTACTCTTTGAATAATCTTTATTCCTGCTTAATTGTTTGCTTTCAAAAGTTATATAGCTATATATGATTAAAAAAAAAAAAAAAAAAAGGCTAGGGTAGGATGTTGATTGTCCAGAAATTAAAATCTGAAAAATTTAGCTATTTGGGCAACTAAAAAAAACTTCCTTAATAAAATTTCATTCCGTAAAACTATTTCTTTGTTTGGTCTGTTTAATGGGGTGAACGAATCAATTTATTTAATTCATGAAATCCCTTCTCTTAAATAGAAATTAATATACGTACCTGCTCCCGCATGTAACTCACAGAGTAAGAAGGGAACAATATTTTCCCCAAAAAAGAAAGTTATATACTCAGTTCCGTCTTACATTTATAGGTCTAGATTGTTACTAGGTAGTGATTTTAATTACAACTTATTGTATTTTATTTAAAATTAATTTAAAGTGCATTATGCTTTGAACAAATGAAGATGAGTCAAAATAATGCAATTGAATTTGGTAATGTAACCGAAGAGCTCTAAATATATGACACTATTTTTTTAGATTTAGCAGTAAAGATATTTTTAGATTAATTTTTATATATTTCTAGACGAATTATTTTTTTAGCATAGCTAAAGAACATTTTCAAAGCAAGATCATGGGTATTTTAAGAATAATTTTTTAGAAATGATGACTATAAAAATCAAATCCTGAACTTAACCTATAAATCAATATTTGCTTACTAAACAATATGGATCGAAGGGTTTAGATCTTTAGGGTGGTGTATGTGATGCACCACTTAATTTTATTTATTTTTGTTTTTTATTCAATGAGAGATATTATGATGTTGGATTACAAAATGGGAGGAGGCAGCAGATCCTTTTAATCCCGGCCACCATTTTATGGGACCTATATCTAAAACCTGAAGGGAAAATTTTAAAAGAAATTATTAAGTACTTCAAGTATATATATTAGTGAAAAGCTATAAAAAAAAGATAGAAAACAATAAAGCTTATAAGAATTATTAAGAATTCTCTTAAAAAAAGAAAAAAAAATTAAGAACCGAAGATAATAAAATATTAAAGGAGGGAAAAAGCAAGAATTACATTAAACAATGCACAGCAGGATCAACTTGTTATCTTATATTCATGTCTTATATGATCATGTCTTCGGAGATGAATGAGGAGAGTGTTATCTTATATTCATGTATGGATAAACTCTCCTCATTCATCTCCGAAGACATGATCATATAAGACATGAATATAAGATAACAAGTTGATCCTGCTATGTCTTTTTCCGAACTGGTAACTATTTTTCTTCTTTTGATACTGAACTGGGAACTACTAGGATTAAAAAAGAAAAAAGAAAAAAGGACCACAGTCAATTCAAAGGTTATGCAGAAAAGTTGTTTTTCTACTTCTCAGAAGCACATAATGCCACTCACGGGTGTCAGCTACCATAAGAGTGCTCCTTCTACATCTAGACGGGTCGATCCAGCTGGAAAAATGAGATCACTCCGACCCGGTACGTAGGTTCATTTGCGCTACATCACTAATATATAAGCTTGATGGAAAACAAAAATCATAAAAACTCACTGTTTCAGAGGATTCACGTAAAGAATGGATTCGGTTGTTTGAACCCGCAACGGCCAAAAGCTGAAACGATGGCGTTCAAGCCCAAGCTTCAATCATTGCACTACCGATGCTCCCGCACTGAATTATTGGATTGGTCCCTACGACTTTCTCGCCACGTTTTAAATTTTGATATTTCAACTTTAAAAATTATCAAAAGAAGCCTTGGATTTTAGGAATTTATATATTGCTCCCCACATAATTAGAATTACACATTTACCCTCAATTATAACTAAAGTTACTGTACTTTGCAGAAAATAATTTATCAGTCCTTATGTGATCGAAACAAAATTAAATAGTACTTTCACCATCCTTGATTTATTAGTTTTTTCCTAATCAAATCTGCCCATCTTGTCTAACTCTCTTTTCTAATTTCATTTTTTCGAATAAATAGTAAATAAATAAATTAGATGGGAAAAAAAGAATCTATAAGTACTAATTGTTTAATTTAGTTAAATGATAAGGTCTAAGTTATATTTAACTCTAAGAATTAAGAAAAACAAAACAAAAGGAAAAATTATTCGATGTCTCAATTAAAGCACACTAAATTTTGAATATGCGGCGAAATTGGAAGAACGCGTCAAGCAAAGAAGAGCATATGCATTTTTATGGCTAAAAAAACAAATACCACGGTTGGTCCCTTACTTTTCAAATTTAGTTAAATCAAACCCCATACTTGATAAACCTACCTGCAGAATTCCTTTTACCATAGACATAGGTGATTTATTTTATTTTATTTTTATAAGGTTATTTTAGAACTAATTTATACATCAATAGAAACTAAATTTCTCTCTAGACAATTTTAAGTACACGCTCTATATCAATTTGTTATATTTATTGAAATTTAATAAATTTTCTTAAATGCTGATTCTAATATTTTAATCAAAAAAATCAAGAAACAGAGCAAATTCTCCTTAACCACCACCCAATTCCTTGAAGTTTATAGATGATGTAATAAAGATGACAAATTAATTTTATTATCTCAATGTGTTAAGAACTATTTTGGTAGTGCAAGTGATCTACTTACAACGTAGAAAATTGAGGATGTGATGACTAACTATTTGGTGATGTAAGAAACGAAAAAGTGAATAAAGTTTGTTACTAATAATTACAGCTACGTACAATAGTCCATGTTCATCAACCAGTTTTACACCATTCTTCCGGTCCTGGCAATGCATAACATAAGGAACAAGAGTAGCTAGCAGCATTAACTTTGATCCTTGTCTTACAGTCCTATCTTACAGGATCATCGATAAGATTAGTACTGCAGGAACAAGAACATGGGTCTCTTGACACAATTCATTGTCTTGGCAAACAAAATGCATGATCTATCAGCAGGTTATGGTGGTTTTTATGTGCAATGATTGACTTAAAAATTAATTTATCAAGTTCCAGATTAGGAACTTGACTTGATTAAGATTTTTCAAAATCCTTCGCAATGTATATGTTTTTAGGTGCCCAGAAAGAATAGCATGCATACCAGGATCGAACAAATTGTTTTCTAGTAGTATGATCAACAAAATGCTACCAACTTAACCATAGGAAACGACCAAGTTCGAGATAAATGGAACGTTGCATGAAAAGAGAAGAAGAAACGATAAGACAAAAGACTGACAATTTATATATTGTGTTTAAAGAAGTCAAATTACATACCTCGCTCCAAATTGGAAATTATGATACAACAAGAAATTGAAGGATATGAGCTCAGGTCTGCATGCGGCTCTTAATTTCAAACGATTGAGTTGTTTTAATTTTTTTGTAGATGATTTCCTTTGATCTCTTAGCTGGTGAGACGGTATCTCCACCTCTGATGTTGCTTTCTATGTCGTATTAATGGTCCTACTCATGGACTGGAACTTTGTTCTGCTTCTCTCTCGTTTCAAATGCTTCCGTTAGCTTCCTAGCTAGGTAAGAAGTACTTATCAGTTATCACTCTGTCATAATATTAATGATATTTTTAATTAGTTGTTCGCTTCACGAACAATATTGAAGGTAATAACAATAAGATTAAGTAAGGTTAATAACTTTCAAAAGGTTTAACTGATACGTGTTTGTTTGACGTAGTTTTTATTTTTCTTCGATTTTTTGTTCATTTTCTTGGGGATAGTATTAATAACATGGAAAATTATAAGATGCTAATCACCATTAATTAAAATCTGAGTCATGAGTGAGATTTTTTCAATTAGAAATTAAGACCGTTCGATCTGTTTCTTAATTCTGGCCCAGAGCCCCAAATCCAATTGTGGTAATTAAGAACTTTAAAAAAGGGGTTTGAATTCAAGGTTAATCTAGCAAGTTTATTCCCAGGTGTGAAATGTCGATGCAAGAGATGCACTCAAGAAGAAGTCAATAAAGGTGATGGTGATGATGGTAGTAGTGATGGTGGTTGTGATTGTGATAATGATAGTAGTGGTGGCGGTGATGGTGATTATAATGATAGTAGTAGTGGTGATGGTTGTGATAGTGATAATGGTGGTGGTTGTGGTTGCGCTGGTGGTGATTATGGTGGTTGTGATGATGGTGGTGGTGGTAGTAGTGACGGTAGTGATGGTGATGATTATAGTAATAATGGTAAAATTAATTAATAGATAATAAATAAATAAAATATATTATTATTTTGAAAAAAAATCATTTTCATTCCTTATTTTTATTCCCATATCTTTTGTGGAAATAAAGTTGTGTATAAATTTTCATTCCCACTTCATTCTTTTTAACCAAACAGCTACTAATATGAAAATAAAATTTTCATTCTCATTCTCACCACTTTATTTCTGATTACCAAATAACACCTTAGTGTTTTACACCATTTTTATGGCCCTGGAAATGCATAACATAATGAACAAGAGTAGCTAGCAGCATTAACTTTGATACCTGTCTTACAGTCATAACTTATAGGAAAATGACAACATGGCTTCATAGAGATGGCTTGCCAACAAGCAGGATGTTTATCCTCGGTTTCCGCAAAATCCATGGCTTCAAACCTGCTAAACCATGAGCAAGATAGCCAAAGGCAAGCAGACCAAGTACTAGTCACTAATTCCGTCAATAATTAAACAGTTTTTGTGATGGAATATTATTGTCGCTGATTTTCTTTACATCACCAATGAAAAATTCCGTCAATAATTTAACAGTTTCTGGTAGTACAATTGTGAAGAGGCTAACCCGTCGTAATGAATAATAATTCTTTGTTTTAAAATCTGTAGCTCCCTTCTCATATCCATGGATAGCCCAACAGTTTTCTTTTTATAGATAGTTAAGACAAGCTATCAAAAAAATAAAGCTTGCAATAACAATTAAGTACTCCATTAAAAGAAAAAAAAATTCAAGAACAGAGAATATATAGTAAAACAACATGAGGAAAAGGACATGAGTTAAGGTGTAATTAACTTCTGTTGACAATCATCAATCGCGGATTAAGAGCACTCAAGAAAGCAAACATTGAAAATGGGGAAAGAAAACCCAAGTGGTTTTAAATGCTATCAACTTAACAATAGGAAATGACCAAGTTTGAGATAAATGAACAACGGTTGAAAAGAGAAGAAGAAACGTAAGACAAATTAAAGACTGTTGCAATATACATATTATTGTGTTTAGAGAAGTCAAATTACACACCTCCTAGTTGAAGATTGACAAGAAAATGAAGGATGTGACCAGCTCTGTCCAGCTACCTAGCTAGATAGTGGGTGACTGGTGCTTGAGGATTTCCATTTTAAGCGTGCATCTACAAGGGCAATCCATGGTGCTAGCTGTAGGCTGCTTTTGTTCAACAACACTATTGAGGGTAGAATCACCTCCTCACTTAAGATATGGCAAATGAATTCTGCATTCATACGCCCTTATTCTAATGATGAGCGTTAGCTGACACCTCTAGTTTACCTAACTTGCATCCATTTGTACCATAGTTTTCTTTTCTCTGTAATCCTTTTTACCCAATTTTTGGTTAAAGCTTCCACATCGTTGTGTTATATATATATATATATATATATATATATATATTGGCTGTCAGTGGGAAAGGTAAAATGCAATATGATTATCTTGAATTTATTCCTTTTTTTGAACCTGGATCCAAACAGTATTAGAATCACTATTGTTATCATTTCCTGATGTTCCAGAGGAACAAGCTTATTAAAACCTGCACCATCCTTTTCAACCAAAAGTATGAAAAGTTGGAAACACAACAACAACACTGTCTTGCAGAAAAGCAAGCTTATTGCAGCTTAGCAAAGCACAAGAAAGAAAGCAAATGGAAATCAAGCATCAGACCAGGTAATATCCATCGATCCCCACTCCTTGTCCTTTTCATTTACACCTAATGCTTTCCAAACCGCTTTTGAGGCGTCAACAATATTATTTGCACAAGGCGGCTGGTAATCATGTTCACCATCACATCCCTTAGTAGAGTCACATTCATCGACCACCAACGCCTTCACCCTTTTTCCATTCCCGTTAATGGTGATCTGGTGGTGGCACCTCTTCTTGTTGCTGAACCATCCCGTTGACAATGCCACCACAGGTGTGTCATCGTTGTGGTACTTACCATCGCATTCTGATGGTCCACCGCCATCTCTACCTTTCTCAAAACTGTTTACTGTTAAAATTCCCTTTGTATGCGTGGACACATGGGGTGAACACTTATAGGTGGTGTAAAATTTTCCTTCTTCACAGCAATCTGAGCCATTGCCCTGGTTACATTCATTTTTCGGAGGGTTCTTTCCTTCAACTTTGCCACTTGGCTTGCACTTTTGTGCTTCAACCAATACACCAGCTGTGACAAGAAGCACAAAGAAGACTAGGAGATAAGTAATAGTTGGGCAAACTCGCTTCATTTTTTCAGAAGTATGTCTTCTTGTAGTGATGCTGATTAGTTAGTGGTTTAGTGCACAGAAAATTATATATAATCTGAGAGAATATATAGAAAGAGTGGGGCTAAAAGCACAAAGAAACTTCGAAAGACTGCCTCTTGGCTGTGATTAAGGTTTAGGAGGTCTTTACAATTTACGTAAACAATGTTACTGCCGTGGTGGAAAACAAAAAACAACTGTATTGATTGGAGATCATCATTGTGGTATCTTGTAAATATTCAACGTCTTTTGTCATAAGGTTCTATCATTTGAGATTCTTTTGTTGTTTATGATGATTCCTAGGGAGATTAACTTGGGTTCAAATCTCCTTTGGACACCAGAGTTTTTTAACAAGAAACTCACAGCTGTAACATGTTCATTGTTATATTTAACTAGCATCGTATCCGTGCATTGCGGCAGGTAATTTTATTTAATTTATTTTAACATTTTAAATAATTAAAAAAATATAAACTTAAAACAAAAATTAATTAATATTAATTGTGAGTATTTTTTTAATTTTATATATATATTGAGTTTAAATATATTTTAGAAATATTTTTTATTAATAAAAAAATGCATTTAATTATTTATTTTTTAAGAAATAAAATTAGAAGAAGATGCTAAATCAATTCATTGAAACCCTTAATTATGGAGAAAATTTTATTTTGATTAAATAATAAAAATATAAAAGAAGGGAAAAAAAGAGATTGGGCTGTTGCTCACACTAGGCCCTTCTGTATGGGCCTAGAGACAACCATGCCCATGTTCCTGGGCCAGAAGCACAATCTAATTATAAAAAATACCTTGTCGTAATACAAAATATATTTAGGAATCATTTTGTATAAAACTATAACTCAAAAAACTAGAATGTAAAAAAGTATACAAAATATCCATTAAAAAAACACCTTTTTCATAAAACGAGATCGTTTCAAGTGTGTATTTATATATATACATACCTCAGTTGTACAATAACGAAGTTGTCACTTTGTCATAAACATTCTTAATGACTGTTAATTATTTGTTTCACCTATAATATTGAAGGTAATAACAATAAGATTGAGTATGAATAATTAATGAAGCTAAAACATTTTTTTGCCTATTGTTAAGGCTCCATTTGTTTGGAGGAAAACAAATTCCATAAGAAAATCAATTCTTGAGAAAGCTATTTTTCTGGAAATTATTTTTCAAGAAAATATTTTCTGCTGTTTGATAATTATATGAAAAAGCTACTTGGAAAATATATTCCAACATTTGTTTGATACAGAAAATTAAAATACAAAAACTTATATGATTGTTATATCAACAAGTTTTGAGAAAATTTTAAAAAGACATTCATAATTTCATAATATAAGATACATTTAAAAAATTTTAATAAATTTTCATCAATACTAACTCTAAAATTTTAATTTAAAAAATAAAATGTACTTTTTAACAATCAAACCAAATCATCAAAATTACTTAAGACAAAATTAAGTCAATATTCATATTTGGTAAAAAAAGATTCTAAGTAATCTTAACATTATTATTTTAGTAACTTAATTAAGAATTTTTTTTTAAGAAATTGAACTGATAATTTAATCTAAAAAATAATTTTATAAGTTATTTGTTATCATCTAGAGATAATTATTTATTTGATCTCAAAAGATTAATGTTAGAATAATTTGTAACTAATTATTCATTACAATTACCAACAAAATTTTACAATTGATTAAAATAATAAATTATTGATTTAATTACAAATGAATAGTGTTGAAAAAATAATGTATTTATTGATGAATTAATTAATTTTAATTTCTTTTTACAAAAAAAATTACAGTCTTGTAATAATCATTTTCAATCATTTAACTATAGCTTAGGTAGTGATCGAGACAATAGTAAAAAAAAAAGAGATAAGTTATTGAAATATTTATTATAAAAATAATTTTAAAGTGTAAAAATGGTTTTTAAGAATATTTAATGTATCTATAAATCAAAAAAATTAAATATTAGTAAAGATAGAGAAAAAATAATTAAATAATTAATAATAATTGATAAGAAATAATTAAAAATTAATATGATATATTTTCAATAGAAAGAAGATAGAGAAAAAAATTGTTAAAATATATCGAGAAAGAGTTATGTAACGAAAGAGCAAGAGAGCTCGTGAGAAGGAAAATGTTTTCCTCTTTTGAAACTGGTAAAACATTTTTTCAAAATTACTTTATCATTTTTTGTTGATTGAAAATCATTTTCCATTGACTTTTTTCCTGAATGTGAAACAAACACTGAAAAATGAGGAAAACAAGTCTCTCCCAAACAAACGCAGCCTAAAGCTACATTTCATCAAGATCATTAACCAGCCTCATTTCCTACTACTTCTGACCTTTACATAAGGAATAACGGCACCAGGACCATATTTCTCCTTTACCTCAGAGTCATTACTGGGAGAAAGATGGAAAAGGCTCCAGCCATGGCTTTGCCGAATTGGATCTAGAATCTTTTTCATGCCCTGGCTCACACACAAAATCCATGGCTTCAATACTCCGACCTTACGCCACACAGCCAAAGGTAGGCAAAGCGCTAGTCATCAACATGTCATTCAAACTTGGGATTTTTATTTCAGCCCATACCTTTACATCGTGCACAGCATCCCCATTCATTATACGCATCACACAAGAATTTCAAAACTCCATGAGTGATGGAACTGATTAATTTGACTGACACACTATTTAACAGAAAATTGGCATGCAAAAAAACAGGAAGCTTTATATGTGCCACTAGCAAACTACATTCTATGATGATCATGATCATGAAGCACACCTTGACAGCCTATTCCTCGGGCATGCATCACTTGCTAAGATACAAAATAGCAATAATTTGGTATACTCTCATCTCCTAGAACTACATATATGAAAAGATACCTGAGATGGAAAGAGCAAAATGTAGATCACAAGCCTGAGTTTCTTGAAGAGAGTTTGTCACCATTCATTGTGATCTTCCAGCAATCAATTTGAAATATAAATACGGACAACTTTTTGGGCACAACTGCAAATGTAATAAGAAAAGGAGAATTTAGCATTATAGTTTAAACATTGCAATCAGATAATGAGACTTGAATCACAGTAAATTTTGTCAGCCTTCAGTTACTTTTATGTTTTATACTTCCTGTGGTTAACAGATATGCTTAGAATTTCACAAGAAACTTGGTCGGTTCTATTTGACAGTGGGCACTACCCCACTTTTCACTTAAATTATCAGCAATCTGTTATTACAGCCAATACAAGTTCAAGTAGCTGGACATCTCAATTAGATGTAAGGTGGAAACCAAACAAGAAAATATTTCACACCAAAAATACTACTTTGTAGCTATAATCATCTATACCAAAAAGTATATTATAGGCCATCATAACACGTGTATATAAAACGAAAGGTATCATCTCATATATATATGCACTATTCACCTATCAAAGTCAGTAAATTATTTTGAGATGTGGAGTAATAAATAGATCACCTTGAAATTTGTTGTCTTGTGTGATTATCCCAAATGTTTCGACAGTTTCACGAATCATAATACCAGTAATTCCAGTAAATGATTTTATCTTACAGTCAGCAACTGCCAGAAAACAGTTAGAGAGGTTAGTAGCAGAGCAAATATAAGAACCTGAGCAAGGAGCACAGCTCCCAATATATGGTAGGGAGAGCAGAAGAATCAGAACAGTGGACTGATCAAATTAGCTGAACATTAATATGCAAAAGAATTGCTCTTTCAATCTATGGCCTCTAAAGTTCTATGGAAACACTGTGTCCATAAAGACACTTTAGAAGAGATTATGAGTATCACCTAGAATAGCAGCACCATGTAGATCTGCACTCAGAAGATATTTAGGCAACTCATTCCTCCTGCAAGATGGAATCAAGTATGGTCAAAGGATCCCCAAACCTAACAACCTGTGAAAGAGTTGTGTGATTGCTCAATTACAAAGTTAATAAGAATGGTTATCTTACCCAGTTTTCTTGAGAAGCTGCATCATGTAGTCTTTCCATATCTCATGCATTGGCTTATAAATGTCAAATCTGTAATGCAGAACAAATTAGAAAGGAAAGGATGATTCAATGTAGAGTTATTGTAAAAAGTTATTTTTTTAATCAATTAATTATGTCATGTGTCTCCTGTATTTTGTAAAAATTAATAGAGTAAAACTAAAAACTTTACAAAAATTGAAAAATGTCAATGCGATGGGTTCAGCAACAAGCCAGTGAAGCTAAAAATATGGGTGTAGCGATTAGCAGATGTGAAACTGAAATTGACTGTCATGCTTGAACAAGGCACAACAAAAACTGCTTGCACTATGAAGTAATGTGATTTTTTTTTTGAAGAGTTTAGTCACTAATTTGAAATTGAAATTGTCAAAATCAGCATCTTTTCTCAGATTTAAACAGAGGATAGAATTGAGAGCATTTACTATCAAGTATTTTTCTTTCTTCACAGTAGTGGATGGGGAATTATTTCAAACAGACAATAGACATTAAGTTCTTCAAATAGATGAGCAACGTGCCACAAGCAAATGCACGAATATGACATTTAACCAAAATGCAAATGAAGATTTTAAAAAAAGTGAATGCAAATGGAAACAAAATACACTGGGAAAATCAAACTCACTTTTGGAGATCTTGAGGCAGATTAAACGTCCCAAGTTTTTTGTGTTGCTTCATAGACATGGGCCTTCTCGAACACTTTGAGTTGGATCGTGAAGCTCTAGTATGAGAACCAGTAGATTTGCTTGGTACATAATTGTCAAGAAGGATCCAATTATCAATTTTTATGTTTCTGGATCCTTGCATGTACTTCTGAGAAGCATCACCGTGCTGAAAAAGGTCATGCAAAATCTTGTCCACCGCACTCTCCTTTTTACTCTTAAACTGCACACAATGCCACAGAAATATTAAACCCAATAAGCTCATTGTAAACAATTTGCTTAAGCAAGCTTCAACAGTAGTCATAGTTCAGACAGAAGTAAAGCAAGCACCTTCACATCAGTCTTCAGCAGGTTCTCGTGTACAGCTTGGGGGAGCTGTGAATATGCTAAACCATTTTCATCTGGATCTATTCATAAAGATTAAATAACAATAGTTAGAGTCTGACCAAATTGCAAGGACTACAGATTTTCTATCTAACCAAATAGAAATTACATAAACAAGGTACAATGTAGTACTAACTAAACATAAAATCAAAACCAATAAGGCATACTTTACCTTGAGATGGAGCGTAACCAAAGAAAAACGAACTCCCTACAAACAAACAAAAAATAAATAAAAATGAAGCGTCAACTAATTAGCACAAATCAAAACCGTTAACCCAAAATCTGGGAGCAAAAGCACTAAAAAGAAAATAACCTTTCTTTGACGATCTACTCAAGGAAGGAACCTTGGGTGCATCTGCTCGAAGCGATGGAGTAGAGGCTACATCGTTATTTACTCTCCTATGTTCCTCATGATGTGTTAATCTGTGTTTCTTTTGCTGTTGTTGAAGTAACTCAGCTTTTGCAACAGCAAACCTTCTCTCCAACGCATCCATTGTCCGTTTCCTTTGATCCGCTGCCATAGCTTTTGGTAAACAAAGAAGATGAAATCTGAATTTGCTTGAGCAAGTTTGTTGCTCTGAAAACATGAGTAGCAAGTTTCAGCAAGACTATGTGTTTAACATCATGACAATCATCTAAAAAAATCAACCCAACTGAGTACAATTAAAAAGAACTACAAACAGATTCTGAACATTAGCAAGCACATATCCATAAGCAAGTAGATTAGAAATTTAACTACGAGAGCCAAGCAAAAGAAAAACCCACAAAGAAATTCCATAAATAAAAGTACAAACCCCGAAATCTCGAAGCCTAAACTTAATTTATTAAAATTTAGAGTGGTTATTAGGATTATGCTGGCAACCCCAATCACTCAAGACGAAATTTAAGCTCTTATATTTGAAAAAGAGAGATGAAAGAAATTTACCTCAAACCCACGGTGGCGGCGTCGGCGGAGGTGTCTGCGCTTTTCCTCCGGCTTGAACTGCGACAGGCAGTAGAGGGAGGGAGAGAGAAACGATGGTGGAAGGGGAAAGAGTATCGAGTTCTATTATTTCTATGGGGCCAATTCGGTCTTTTCCCAATTTCATCAACGGTTAATTAGCACTGACATCCCTGTACTTTCTTTTTTTAGGTACAGTCCCTCTTCATTTAATTTTGTTTACTTCGGTCCCTCTACGTCAGCCAAGGGCGATGATCATGGAAGGGCAAGTCCCTCCGATTGCCAAAGATACTCTCCCTTCTCCTTTTGTGAACCAACCCGCAACCCATATTAAATTTCTTCCTAAACAATTTTAAAAACATATCCTTCGCATCAGCCACGAAAAAGATGAGACAATCTTCAACTTCCATACATGATGAAATCAGGTGCAGAGGATCGATTTCCGTAGCCACCTATTCAAAATTTTGCAATGAATATTCTTTGTACAGACTGTCCTTTTATGAATACATGTATGAATGGATATTACAAAATGTTTATACGAGTAAATGCAGCAGCAGAAATATGCACAAAGATCAATGAAGTTACAACTCATCGTTACAAGTAGTTGTAGCTAAGATAGTTTACGATCATTAAAAAGCTTCACTCCTGTATGCCGATCCGCACAATGCCTTACATAAGGAACAAGAGTGCCAAAATCAGTTTTGTTCTTTGCCTTACATTCGTAACTGGGAGGAAAATGGAAACAAGGGTCCATAGATTTGTCTCGCAGACAAGATGGGTCGGGAACCTTATTATGATGTGGTCCGATCAAAATCCATGGCTTCAAACCTCCTAGAGCTTGTGCCACATAGCCAAAGGTTGACTCGGCACTAGTGATTAGAACATCACACAAGCTCAATAGATAAATTTCATCCCAGGCTTTCATGTTGTGCTTGTTGTCCGATTTGTGTTGATATTCTTCGTGGCTTGGCTGGTAAACCCTGATCACTTCGCCCGTCACAGTTGGTTTTGACTGATACATAGCACTCATGTTCTTATAGTACTCTGAAAACAAGGAGGTTATTAGAATAGTTTTAGAAGAATGATTTCCAGGAGGAGAACGTGCAGAGCTCTGTGTGTCTACTTCTGGAAGAAGCTTGTTCTTCAGCATACAGGATAATATTGAATCCATGATCACTTCAACTGGACTACTTTCGCGGTGGAATACTCTTATTTGGAGGCCAATCCTCTGTTCTGTCTTCGCTAGATTATCCTGATAGAACTTTGTAATTCTTCCCCATACCAGATTTGAGGGCTGGAAAAGATAGCGACCCAAATGATGGAAAATGGTATCTTTTTCTGGGAACAGCTTGCTTACCTCTTGCCTGAAAGCTGGGCTCAGGAAGAAAGTAGGGGCAAAATATTGATCAGAAGATAGAATAAACCAAGGAATTTTTTGAGAAGAGCTCTGCTCTGGTCACAGAGGAAAAGCTCATCAAAATCATAATTACCATAAGGTATTTTAAAATATACAAACGATGGAGGGGACTTCTCTGATATATCACTGAAACGATCCTGTCTCCGATTCAAGGAATGAAAGTGTTTTCTCACGGGAAAGTCCATGGGCAATATCCATGATGTGTTGGGAAATGGCTCGCAAAAGAGATGAGACATGTCAGCTCCATGATCCACAAGTAGGACTCGATTTGTGAGGAGACCATAAAGAAATGCTGAGGCCATGCTTATTATCCTGTTTCCCATCCCATTAGCACCCAACCAGACAATGTAATTACACCCCCTGGTACGACGTGTATGGCTAGACTGGAGTCTCTTTATATTTTCATTGTAAGATCTGGTGTGTGGTCCACAGCGTCTGTGAAGATCTTCGTACTTACGTAACTTCAAAAGAAGGTAGGGAGAGGGCTTATATTGAGAAGCTTTGCGGTACAGGAAAGAACGGTATCTACTCAAGCAGGATCTATCATCAAAACCAGGGGATAGAAGTCCATCAAGCAATTTATCAATTGCCACTTTGGTAGGTTGCGAGGAATCAGTTTTTGAACCCGATCCTTCAACAAATCCAGGAGCCAATGGTGGACTGAGCAGCTTATTATCTGGCTTGTCGGTAGGCTTAGAGGAAAGAGGTTTATCATCAGGCTTGCCTGAAGGCTGAACGGAATAATTTTTTGAACTTGATCCATCGCCAGATCCAGGAGCCACAATTCCGTTAATCACAGTGTCATCAGGTATGCTGGTAGGCTGAGAGGACTTGTTTTTTGAACTTGATCCATCACCAGATTGAGGAGCCAAAATTCCATTAATCACTGTGTCCTCAGGTATGCTGGTAGGCTGAGAGGACTTGTTTTTTGAACTTGATCCATCACCAGATCCAGGAGCCAAAAGTCCATTAACCACTGTGTCATCAGGTACGATGGCAGGCTGAGAGGAATTGTTTTTTGAAGTTGATCCATTGTCAAATCTGGGAGGCAGCTGTTCATTAAGCACCTTCTGATCAGGCATGCTAGATGGTTGAGAGGAATCATTTTTAGAGTCTGTAAATTAAGGGGGAAAACGGAGACAGATTAGAGATCAACTACAAATTTTGGAGGACAGTAGGTATAAATATTTACTTGAACATTTACACGAATAAATCATTTATCTGAACAACTATGGAAACAAGTTTCAAATCACTTGTTATCAAACTGACAAAATTAGTAGACAATAGACATAAAAAAGAACATTGAAACATTTCTATTTGGGGAAAAAAAACAAGAAGAGGCAAACAGAAACTGTAGTCGTTTAATGATTCAAGAGATAAAGATAACCGTAATCTAAAACTCCTTTAAAACAGGAAAAATGGATTTAGCCATATGAAAGTTGAGATTAAGCAACCGTCTTACCAGAACCTAATGCTGCAACATCTGGAGAAACCTTAGCTTTACCTAACCCCGCAATTAGATCAAAAGCTGAGTCTTGATACGAGACAAAGACCCTGACCAGCACAGGCAAAGCAATGAAAGACAAAACCAAGATTATCGTGCACCTCCTGCTGAAATTAAATCCCAATCTTTCCTTTGCGAGTTCAAAGATTTCCATGATTTATACACTGAGCATTGATTTCAGTAATCACCATGTAAACTTTAAGATGCAAGCGAACATCTTCAGGAAGTTTGAGGTTAAAGTTCAAGAAGCATCATTTTTCTCCCTGCAATATAGTCCTGACATCTCATACGCAAGTGGTAAGAAAGGATTACAAGCTGTCAGTAGAAGGTAGTTCAAGATTTTCTTGTGGCTTCTCATACGCAAACAAACTCGTGACAAATAAGCTCTGATTTAGGAGGCCAATCAATCTTTATCCAACTTGCGACCATGATCCCTCCCAAGTACCAAGAGGAAACAATATCATGCATGCTATGCAATTTGCTGCACCCTTAATCTGAACTGGAAACTAACTCCTTCCCTGAAAGGTAAATCCTACAAAATAAATCACAATCTATTATTGTACAAGTATGGAGAGATGTAATTCATATAATTTTAAATCAATAGAATAATTCAATTCTCAATAAATCCTAGTTGACATTTCCTTTTGGTTTTAAGAGGTTAGGCAATCCTTGAACTAGTTTCCTACACCGAGACTAATTCCGTTCCTGATCAAGTTTCACGGAAGCCATCGATGTGCGTTCACAAGATATTTCTTTCTCTCACAACCTAAAACGTTTATATGCTACAATTATTAGATCAAACCAATCTTCACAAATCAAAAACTCTTAAATTTTCTCTCCGAACAATTATTATGGTGGTCTTTACGTGCAATGATTGACTTGAAAATTAATTTATCGAGTTCCAGATTAGGAACTTGACTTAATTAAGATTTTTCAACATCCTTCACAATATATATACTATTAGGTGCTCAAAAAGCGAAGCACGCATACCAGGATCGAAAAAATTGCTATCTAGTAATATGATCAACAAAAGGCTACCAAGTACCAACTTAGCCATAGGAAACGACCAAGGTTGAGATATACGGAGCAGCGCATGAAAAGAGAAGAAGAAACGATAAGACAAAAGACTCTGACAATTTACATATTGTGTTTAAAGAAGTCAAATTACATACCTCGCCCCAAATTGGAAATTATGATACAACAAGAAAATGAAGGATATGAGCTCAGGTCTGCATGCGGCTCTTTCAAATGATTGAGTTGTTTTAATTTCTTTTGCATATGATTTCCTTTGATCTCTTAGCTGGTGAGACGGCATCTCCACATCTAATGTCGCTTTCTATGTCGTATTAATGGTCCTACTCATGGGCTGGAACTTTGTTCTGCTTTTCTCTCGTTATAAATGCTTCCTTTAGCTTCCTAGCTAGGTAAGAAGTACTTATCACTTTGTCATAAATTAAGCTTTCTTAATGATATTTTTAATTAGTTGTTCTCGCTTCACCCACGATATTGATGGTAATAACAATAAGATTAAGTAAGGTTAATAACTTTCAAAAGGTTTAACTGATACGTGTTTGTTTGAAGTAGTTTTTATTTTTCTCTATTTTTTGTTCATTTTCTTGGGGATAGTTTAATAACATGGAAAAATATAAACATGCTAATCACCATTAATTAAAATCTGAGTCATGAGTGAGATTTTTTCAATTTGAAATTAAGACCGTTCGATCTGTTTCTTAATTCTGGCCCAGAGTCCCAAATCCAATTGTAGTAATTAGAACGTTAAAAAAAAGGGTTTGAATTCAAGATTAATCTAGCAAGCTTATTCCCAGGTGTGAAATGTGGATACAATCGATGCCCTCAAGAAGAAGTGAATATTTCAGGGTTTTTGACTTCCCTTTTTTTTGCCAGAAAATTATTTAAACAACTTATTAAAATTAGCATCAGAAGACCTCAGCCAGGCCCATGTTCATTTTCCAATACGCCGACACCCGGATGGGACCAACGAACAAAGTGGGTCTCGTCCTAGGTTACCCCACCTGTTCTGTTGAGTTCCAATCAACTCATATGGGACCCTATGATGGTACGACGAAGTCATAAGAAATCGAATGCCTCCAAAAAACAGTCAGGCCAGCCTTGTCATTCTTTCTCTTTCAACATTTTATCATTCCCCCACTCACTCACTCTCTCTCTCTCTCTCTCTCTCTCTCTGTCGGTCACCACACAGTGAAATACAGAATATCTCTCTCATCAATTATCAAAACGTGTGAAAGGAGCCCTTTTTGCAAAATCATTCTCTTCAACATTTGGGAATGTATGAGGTCTTGATTTGAAGAATGATTAGTACTGCATGTGCTGGTCTCTTTAGTTTAACATGTTTTAATCCAAGATAAGAACTTCATTAAATGAAAATAAAAGTTAATTAACAAGTTGTTAATTATTTGTTTCACCTATAATATTGAAGGTAACAACAATAAGATTAAGTTAGATAGTAACAGTGAAAAGGTTTTACTGATAGGTATTTGTTTGACAAAGTTTTACTTTTCATTGATTTCATATTTATTTTCTTGGAAGTAGTATTAATAACATGGAAATTGTAAACTTGTAACCGAACAAACATTAATATCTTAAAACCTAGGATCTCTTTTGATTATTCCTTCCTTCCATTTTCTCTCTTTTAAAGGCCAGGACTTCAACCTTGACGTGAATGCAAGAACAGATGCCCGCAAGAAGAAGCTAATATTTCTAGGCTTCTGCAACATTTTTTTGCCCCCCTTGAAAATGATTGAAACAGTATATAAATTTTGTTTCAGAAGATCTCAAGCCATGCCCATGTTTTGCCCCATAAGCCGATGCTCATACGGGACCAACAAGCCATTCAACCGGTCCTGACTTAGGTTAGCCCACTTGTTCTGATGAGTTCAAATAAACTCATTTGGGACCATTACATTTGTTGTAATATGATGGAGTTGTGAAAAACTGAATGCCTCTCTCTCTCTCTCTCTCTCTCTCACCACGCAATGAATACAGAATATCTCTCTCTTCAATATCAAAACGTGTAAAAGAAGCCTTTTTTTGAAGTCTGACCAAATTGCAAAAACTACAGATTTTCTATCTAACCTACTAGAAATTACATAAACATGGTACAACGTAGTACTAACCAAACATAAAATCAAAACTAGTAAGGCGTACTTTACCTTGAGATCGAGTGTAACCAAAGAAAAACGAGCTCCCTCCAAACAAACCAAAAAAAAAAAATGAAGCGTCAACTAATTGGCAAAAATCAAAACCATTAACACAAAATCTGGGAGCACAAGCACATAACCATTAACTAAACATATCCATAAGCAAATTGAATAGAAATTTAACTACGAGAGCCAAGAAAAAGAAAAACCCACAAAGAAATTAAAAAAGAAGAGTATAAACCCCGAAATCTCAAAGCCCAATCTTAATTTCTTATAATCTTGGTTATTAGGATTATGTTGGCAACCCAATCACTCGATGATTTTACACCATTACACTCTTGTGTTTCAGAAAGAGAGAGAAATAAATTTACTTCAAACACACGCCGGCAGCATCGACTGAGGCTGTGGCGTAGGCGATGGCAGCTGAGGCTGGTGGCGAAGGTGTCTGCGCTTTCCTCCGGCTTGAACTGTTCTGGTATTAATATGGGGCCAATTCGGTCTTTTCCTAATTTCATTAACCGGTAATTAGTTCTGGCATCCCTGCACTTTCAAGAGTTTGTTGATATGGTCCCTCATCAGTTAATTTTGTTTAATTCGGCCCCTCTAAATAAACCAAGGGCGATGATTATTGAAAGGTAAGTCCCTCCAATTGCCAAAATACTTTTCCTTCTCCTTTTGCGAACCAAACATCATCTCAAACTGGCTTCTCTCTCAACCAAAATTAAATTTCTTCCAAGAAATTTTAAAGCCACATCCTTCGTCCTTCGTATCTGCCGTATCAGCCCGGTCCATTCAGACAAAAAGAATATATACTTCTTTAACCATCAGCTCAATCTCTTAAAAGTTTATTTTCTAATAGCTACATGGCAATGAAAAATATGAGACTAACTTTCAACTTCCATGACTTGTGAAATCAGGAGTAGACCATTGATTTCCGTAACCACCAATTCAAATTTCGCAAAGAACATTCTGTGTACAGATTGTCCTTCTATCAATACGTGTATTACAAAATGTTTATACAAGTAAATGCAACAGCAGAAATATGCTCAAAAATCAATCAAGTTGCAACTCATCGTTACTAGCTGTAGCTAAGATCGTTTAGGATCATTAAAAAGCTTCACTCCTGTCTGCCGATCCGCACAATGCCTTATGTAAGGAACAAGAGTGCCGAAATCAGTTTTGTGCTTTGCCTTACATTCATACTTGGGAGCATAATGGAAACAAGGGTCCATAGATTTGTCTCGTCGACAAGGTGGGTCTGGAACCATCTTATTCTTTGGTCTAATCAAAATCCATGGCTTCAAACCTCCTAGACCTTGCGCCACATAGCCAAAGGTTGACCCGGCACTAGTGATTAGAACATCACTCAAGCTCAAGAGATAAATTTCAGCCCAGGCTTTCATGTTGTGCATGTTGTCCGATTTGTGTTGATATTCTTCGTGGCTTGGCTGGTAAACCCTGATCACTTCACCAGTCACAGTTGGTTTTGACTGATACAAAGCACTCATGTTCTCATAGTACTCCGAAAACAAGGAAGTTATTAGAATAGCTTTCGAAGGACGATTTTCAGGAGGAGAACGTACAGAGTTCTGTGTATCTACTTCTGGAAGAAGCTTGTTCTTCAGCATACAGGATAATATTTGATCCATGACCACTTCGAATGGACTAGTTCTGCGGCTGAATATTCTTATTTGGAGGCCAATCCTCTGTTCTGCCTTCGCTAGATTAGCCTGATAGAACTTTGTAATTACTCCCCATGCCTGATTTGAGGGGTGGAAAAGATACCGACCCAAATGATGGAAAATGGTTTCTTTTTCTGGGAACAGCTTGCTTACCTCTTGCTTGAAAGTTGGGCTGAGGAAGAAAGCAGGGGCCAAATATTGATCAGATGATAGAAGAAACCAAGGAACTTTTTCAAGAAGAGCTCTGCTATTGTCACAGAGGAAAAGCTCATCAAAATCATAAGTACCATGAGGTATATTAAAATACACAAACGATGGAGGGGACTTCTCTGATATATCTCTGAAACGATCATGTCTCAGTTTCAAGGCATGGAATTGTTTTTTCATGGGAAAGTCCATGGGCAATACCCATGATGTGTTGGGAAATGGCTCACAAAAGAGATGAGTCATGTCAGTACCATGATCAACAAGTAGGACTCGATTTGTGAGGAGAGCATAAAGAAATGCTGAAGCCATGCTTATTATCCTGTTCCCCATCCCGTTAGAACCCAACCAGACAATGTAATTACACCCACTGCTACTACTTGTATGGTTAGACTTGAGTCTCTTTAGGGTTTTATCGTAAGATCTAGTGTATGGTCCACAGCGTTTATGAAGATCTTCGTACTTACGTAACTTCAAAAGGAGGTAGGAAGAGGGCTTATGTTGAGAAGCTTTGCGGTATAGGAAAGAACGGTATCTGCTCAAGCAGGATCTATCATCAAAACCAGGGAATAGAAGTCCATCAAGCAATTTATCATTAGCCGTTTTGGTAGGTTGCGAGGAATCAGTTTTTGAACCCAATACTTCAACAAATCCAGGAGCCAACAGTGGACCGAGCAGCTTATCATCTGGCATGTCAGTAGGCTTTGTGGAAAGAGGTTTATCATCAGGCTTTCCGGAAGGCTGAAAGGAATAATTTTTTGAACTTGATTCATCACCAGATCCAGGAGCCAAAAGTCCATTAACCACTGTGTCATCAGGTATGCTGGTAGGCTGAGAGGACTTGTTTTTTGAACTTGATCCATCACCAGATCCAGGAGCCAAAAGTCCATTAACCACTGCGTCATCAGGTATGCTGGTAGGCTGAGAGGACTTGTTTTTTGAAATTGATCCATTGCCAAATCTGGAAGGCAGCTGTTCATTAAGCACCTTTTGATCAGGCATGCTAGATGGTTGAGAGGAATCGTTTTTAGAATCTGTAAATTAAGGGGGGAAAGGAGAGCGATTATAGATCAATAACAGATTAGCAAATAAAGAAACCACAACACTGAACCGGGCATTCGAAACTTTATAGAAGACACTCAGATAACAATACGGTGAATCAGTACATCGTTTCTCCAATTGCTAAAAGGCACAGGAAAACAAAAGGAGGGCATGCCTAACCAAAAGGATTCTACGGTAACATTTAATATTCACTTTGGGATATACTTTGGAACTCAACAAACAAAATATATATATATATATATATATATATAGAAACACACACACACACACATACATATAGAAATATAAACTATACTGACAACTGAATCAACCATCCAACCCTCCCGGAAGCAGGTAGCTTAAACAGGAAAATGGATTAGAATTACATCAATTGTGCTGCTATGAATAGCAAAACCTATATTTTGTTGACTGAAAACAAATTCAGTCATTCTTTCCTATAATGGACGCATTACAAGGAGCTAAGAGCAAGATGAAGTACCTAGCATAGCTATTATAAAAATATGGACACTCAAATTTTGGAGGACGATAGCGATAGATATTTACTTGAACATTTACACAAATAAATCATTTACTTGAACAACTATAGAAACATGTTTCAAATCACTTGTTATCAAATAGATAAAATTAGTAAACAATAGACATAAAAAGAAAATTCAAAGATTGCTATTTGGGGGAAAAGAACCAAGAAGAAGCAAACAACAACAGAAGTAGTTTAATGATTCAAGAGAAAAAGATAACGGTAATCTAAAACGCCTTTAAAACAGGAAAAATGGAATTAGAAATATGAAAGTTGAGATTAAGCAACACTCCTACCAAAACCTAATGCTGCAACATCTTGAGTATTTGCTGGAGAAACCTTAGCTTTAGCTAACCCCGCAATTAGATCAAATGCTGAGTCTTGATACGAGACAAAGACCCTGACCAGCACAGGCAAAGCAATGAAAGACAAAACCAAGATTGTCGTGCACCTCCTGCAATTAAATCCCAATCTTTCCTTTACGAATTCAAAGATTTCCATGATTTATACACCGAGCATTGATTTCAATAATCACCAAGTAACCTTTAAGATGCAAGCAAACATCTTCATGAAGTTTGAGTTAAAGTTCAAAAAGCATCATTTCTCCCCGCAATATAGTCCTGACATCTCATATGCAAATGGCAAGGAAGGATAACAAGCTGTCAGTAGAAGGTAGTTCAAGATTTTCTTGTGGCTTCTCGTGCGCAAAAAACTCATGAAAAATGAGCTCTGACTTACGAAGCCAATCAATCTTTATCCGACTTGCGATCATGATCCAAGCCCCAAGAGGAAACAATAACATGCATGCTATACGATTTGCTGCATTCATGAAAGAATGTATGACCTGATGGTCAAAAAATAATCGGCTGTCCAACGAAACAGATGTTCAGCTGACTGGTACAAAATGTCTAGCTATAGCTACTAGCATGCACCCTTAATCTGAACTGGGAACTAACTCCTTCCCTGAAAGGTAAATTGTACAAAATAAATCACAGTCTATTATTGCACAAGTATGGAGACATGTAATTCATGTAATTTTTAAATTAATGGAATAATTCAATTATCCATAAATTCAGAATCCTAGTTGACATTTCCTTTTTTTCTTCTGGTTTTAAGAGGTTAGGCAATCCTTGAACTAGTTTCCTGCACCGAGACTAATTCCCTTCCTGATGAAGTTTTACGGAAGCCATCCATGTGCATTCACCTGATATTTCTTCCTCTCGCAACCTAAAACGCTTATATCCTACAATTATTAGATTAAACCAGTTATCATATATCAAAAACTCTACGTTACAAATCATTAGGACCACGAGAATATGAAACTTTGCCTTCTCCGAAATGGTATTTTCTCTAAACAAGCAGAGGTTAAAAAGTAAATTTCATAAGACACACAGTAATGCCACACACGTGTGCCAGCATCAGCAATCATACCAGCCCTCCTTCTACATCCATTCGGGTCGACCCGACTGAAAAACTCGGGTCACTCTGACCCGGTAAAAAATTAGTCCATTTTCGCTCAGATTTTCTCGAAACCACCACGATTACGCTCCATATCTAACTCAAATTAGCTAACAATATTCACCATCTAAGCTTAAATGGAAAACAAAAATCATACAACTCACCTTTTCACTGAAGAATGAATTTGGTTTTGATGAACCAGCAATGACCAAAAGCTTAAACAATGGCGTTTCAAGCCCAAGCTTCAATCTTTCCACTTCTACAGCACCGACACTCCCACACTTGTCTTTTTACTATTGCTAAATTTAGAAACTCTTGCAAATTACGATACAAGTCCCTAATAATTGGGTACAGGCATCTGATTTCCTTGCCAATTTCTGAATTTTGATATTTCAACTTTGAAATATTATCAAAAGAAGCCTTTGGCTTTTAGGAATTTATATACTGCCCCCACACAATTAGAATTACAGTTAATATAATTTAGTCCCTATAGTTTATAGAAACTAATTGATTAGTCCTTTTATTCTCAAAAAAAAAAATTGTCCCTTGATCATCCTTGATTTAGTAGTTTTTTTCTGTCTTACCTAACTCTATTTTCTTATTTCTTTTTTTCAAAAAAAAATAATAATAAATAATTTAGAAGTGGACATGGAATCTATAAGGACTAAATATAAAGCTTCTACAAATAAAAATAATTTCTGAAACTATAACAGAAAAAATTATTCAATATTTGGATTAAAACACAGTACATTGTTGAATATCGGGTTGAATTGGAAGACCGCACCAAGCAAACAAGAGCGGATGCATTTTTATGGCTAAAATACCACGATTGGTTCCCTACTTTTCAAATTTAATTCAAACCCCGTACTTTGTAAATCAACCTGTAGAATCCTTTAACTATAAATGTACGTGATGTAATTTTTTTTTTAATTATAATTATTCAATTGTACGGTTATTCTCTGGTTAGCTTACGCGTCCAGTAAGATCAAGTTTTTTGACAATCTCAAGGATGTACATTCTACATCGACTTCGACTTAGTGTATTTAGTCACCTTTTCTGGGAGCAAAGTGATTTAGTCTCCTTTTCTAGGAACAATTTGCTTACCTCTTGATTGAAAGATGGGATCAGGAACAGAGAAGCGACAAGATATTGATCTGATAGAAGTATCAACCAAGGAATTTTTCGTAGCAGGGCTTGGCTTTGATCACAGAATGCTAACTGGTGAAGATCATAATCTCTGTGAGCTAGATTAAGATAGAGAAAGGATTCTGCTGACCCCTTTGAAGCGTTGGCAATGTTTTTCTTTAGCATGCTTCCAAGACTGTTGGCATATCTCACCTCAGGATACCATTCCTGAGGGGAAAGTCCATGGGCAACAACCATGATGCATTTGGAAATGGCTGGCAAAAGAGATCGGTCATGTCAGTGTTATGATTAACTAGAGGAATAAAGAAATGTCGCAGTCAAGCTTAGCATCCAGACAATGTATTTACTGTTGGTGCGTCCGATGTGAATAGACTTGAGTCTCTTTATGGTTCTATTGAAGGATATGGTATAAAGTCCACAGCATTTGTGAAGCTGTTCATAATTACGTTATTTCTTAAGGAGATACCGATATAGGGAGAGGGCTTATGGTGTGACTGGTACCTGCTTAAGCATTTTAGAATTATACTAAAATTCTATTTAGTATAATTCCTATCCTGTATCTGTATAAGAAATATTTTGCTTTCATTTCTACCCTGCATCTGTGTAATTCTTTGATATAACTTGCAAGTTAATGCTTACAAAAATATGCATAAAGAATGCTGTAACATCATTCCTGAGCCAGACAGAACAAGCGACAAAATACTATATAGTACAAAGTTGATAGTACACATGGATAAAGAAATTTGTGCTTAGAGAAGTTTGCATACCTGCCGCAAATCCAAAAATATGAAAAAATTTAGCTTCTTTGTTGCCCCTTCTTTTCTTTCTTCTGGAAACAAAGTGAATGCCTCAGTACTGTATCAGTTTGCTAACCATATCTTTCGACTTTCCTCGTGTTATTACAGAAGTTTTAGTCATTAATTAGTTTATCTTTTCTTAATATTTTTTTCTCCTTGGGGTTAGGAATTAATCACATGGTCCCATAAATGCCAAAAAAGGTTATTAAATTCTATAGCTTGTTAATTTCCCTTAGAGTTCTGGGTTTCAAAACGCTACCCCTACTTTGCCTAACAATCCGCCAAAAAAGCAGCAGCCCACCAATATTTTGATTATCAGATTTGACTCTTGCATTTAAGAATAAGGAGAGCATAATATGATGCAGAAGTTAGTAATTATCTGTCAAAGGAAAAATGTTGCAGAGGAATCACAACCAAATGGAGAGGTAAGGGTAAAGAGGCAGAAAGTACATGTGCAATATCGAACTTTGATAGCAAAATATTGACAGTGATCAGGTTATTACAAAATGAATAACTAATTACGGCAGTCACTAAAACTTCTTATCATTAACCAGCTTTATTCCGTTACTTGTATCCTCACACTGCATGATATGAGGAACAAGGGAAACAGAGTCAAGTCGCCGTCTGGTCCTTGCATTTTTGTAATAATTAGGAGGAAAATGAAAACATGGCTCCATAGACGTGGCTCGTGGACACGGTCGATCGGTCGTTTTGTCACCGGTAGGCACGTAGAGCATCCATGGCTTCAATCCTCCTAGTCCTTGAGCTACATAGCCAAAAGTAGACCAAGAACTAGTCACCAAAACATCACTCAAACTTAGGATGTATATTTCAGCCCATGCCTTGATATTGTGTATATTGTTCCCAAAATGTTGAAACTCTTCATGACTTGGCTGATAAACCCCGATAACATCACCATTTACGGTCGGTTTCATCCAATACATGTTCTTTATGCTTTCATAGTATTCTGGGTATAATGATGCTATGGTAATAGCTCTTGAGGTCTTGTTTTTGGATGGAGAAGCTATATGTTTTTTCTCATCTACTTGAGGCAGCAGCTTTTCCTTTTGAATGCAGCTCAGTATCTGCTCCAGAACAACTTTAATTGGACTTGCTTTTCTATTAAATACTCTTACTTGAAGACCGATTCTCTGATCTGCACTGGCCAAGTAAGCCTGATGAAATCTGGTGATCAGTCCCCAGGCTTGATTTGAAGGGTGAAAAAGATAGCGAACCAAGTGGTGGAAAACAGTCTCCTTATCGGGAAACAGATTGCCTAGTTCTTGCTGGAAAGATGGGATCAAGAAGAGGTAAGGCACAAAGTATTGGTCTGACTTCAGAATCAACCAAGGGATTTTTTGGAGAAAACCTTGGTTTTGATCCTGGTAAAAAAGCTTATCATAGTTATCATAGTTGTAAGCCAGATATAGATACAGAAATGATGGTGACTGCGTCACGGCTGAGATGTTCATGCTGTTAGCCCATAGCAGGTGCCCGTAACTATGAACATTTCCTGGTTGCAAGCCATAGAATTGATTGCTGAGTGGAAAATCCTTGGGCAATACCCATGATGCATCTGGAAAAGGCTCACAAAAGAGATCAGTCATGTCGGGTCCATGATCGACAAGTAGAACTCTGTCTGTGAGGACAGCATACAGAAACGATGAAGCCATGCTGATTATCCTATTCCCCAATCCATTAGAAGGCGTCCAAACAATGTAATTGCAGTCTACAGTACCATTTATGTGGCTAGAACTCAATTCTTTCAGGGTTCTATTGTAGGATTCGGTGTAAGGTCCGCAACGCTTATGAAGATCTTCATATTTACGCAGTTTCGAAACAAGATAAGCAGAGGGCTTATGAGGAGAAATTTTGCGATACAAGTTAGACTGGTACCTGCTTATGCAAGATTCTTCATCAAATCCTGGAGCCAGAAGTCCACCAAGCAATTTATCAACAACCACGCTTTCAGGTTGAGAGGAAAGATTATCTTCCTTCACTGATACCCAGAAAAGGGGGAAGATTAGGAAAAATCAAGAAACATAGAATCTATAAAGATGTTGAAAAGTAAATGTAAGCAGTGGACTTATCTGTACCTGAAGGTAAGGTAACATTTTCGGCCGTTTCTCCTGTAACATCAGCTTTGGCGAATTCCCCAATTAGATCAAAACTTGAGCTTCTGTAAACCATGGAGGCCATGTATAACAGACAGAAAGCCAGCAAAAATGAAACCACCATTTTTGGAAACTTTTTTGAACCAAATCCTAATCTTTCCATTTGAAAAATTTCCATGATTTCAATACGCGTAATCGTAATCTCTGGTGCTAACAATCTCCCCTCTATAAAACAATCAACTGCATCATCAAGTGCATGCTACATTAGGCTGACTACTCATCATTTCAAGAATGTTAACATATATGGCACTGAAAAGAGATTAATAAAGAAGAAGAAAATTTAACATGGAAAAGAAGACAAGCAGAGAGAGATGTACCTCTGAGGAAACAAGAAGACTAGAAGTGAATTGCCCCTGGTTTTGCAACCCAATTTCTCCTCTGAACAAAATGGAAGGCGAGCCTCCTTTGGACTATTTCAAAGTTCAACCAAGCAAGCCTCCCTCGAGTCTATTTGAAATTTTGTCCATTAAGGTGGCGTCACCTCTACTAGACGAGACCTTTGACATTGCCAGGATGCTGTTGCCATCTATAAATAATTGAAATAACCATTTGCAGTTTTTTTTTTTTTTTCCTCTAAGTAGGAGCCACGTAGCCTTTATAGAATCTGGCAAACATAAAAAAACAGTAGAGTTTTTTAAGTTTGGAGGGAAATGGGCTGATTAATGCGTAATGCTTATAGAAATGATTAGGTAAAACAGGTTTATCATCACACCGTTGGCTGAGGATTATATTCTAATAACAACAACATGACATGCCAAAATGTCACAAGATATTCTCAAATTATTAGATTCGTTGGGTACCACCGGAAACCGATGGATCCTAGAAGAGGCGGCGAGGACAGCAGTGCTAATTGGGTTGCATTTTCAAAAGATACGATTTGATTCGTATTCTTAATGAAGTTCTATACACATCTCAAGATGTGTAAATAAATTGATCGTATATTATAAAAGAAATATATTCTATTCTAATTTTTTTCATTTATATAGGATTAAACCGTGAGATGCAAAGTAATAAAAAATCAAAACTAATTGTCAAATTGGCAACCAAATAATAAAATTCCCCATGTATGCATGTTTAATCCTTAAAATACCCTTAAATAATAATGCATTTTCTTCGAAGTATGAAAGAACGTTCCTTTTCATTTGTTTTGTTCTTTTATTATTATTATTATTTTATTTTTATTTTTTTGCGCAAAAAAAGAACTCAATAAAATCCTTTGTCTCTCTCTCTCTTTCCTGTTTCCATCAAGGCAGAAAAATTTCTCTTCTTAATAAATAGCCCGGCCCCACATCATCGAAAAAGGGCAATGAAATAATTAGAATAAATTATAAATTAATTTTTTTAGTTTTGAAAAATGAATTAATTAGTTTTTTTAAAATTAATTATTCAATTCCTACATTTTTAAATTTTTTTGTAAATTAATATTTTTTAAATTAAAAATATAAAAAATTAATGATAAAATATAATATTTTATAAAATAAAATAATATTAAATTAAACATGATTAGTATTGATCAATTGACTAAATAATTAGTTTTTGAAATAAAAGATATATAATAATTTGTTTCTAAAAATAAAGAGAATAATTCATAATTTAGTCAAAATAATTATCACTTTATTTATTTTTTATTTTTTTTAGAAGACTTGTAAAATTTCTTGAATTAATTAATTCAATTCGTTTGCTTGCTATGCGTCAAATGGTTGCTTAATAGAAAGGGCATGTACTTCCCAATGCACACTTCCATGCCCGGTCCATGAATCTCAACCCGACTTGTCGCCGCCAATTCTGGTAAATCGAATCATAAAAATAATGTCCAACTCGTGAGACCTGTTATTCGATTCTGATTTTTAAAAAACTTTTTTATATAGATTTAATTTTCATTAATATAAAATTTATTTAAAAATATTTCAACTATCTATAAATAATAATAATAATAATTTTAAAAAGCAGTAGCTTGAAAGTATATAATGTTGGTATATTTTTTTAATAAAACATTATATTAATGGTTAATAAAAAATAATTAAAGCATCTATTACTTACCATTTTAAAACTGTTATAGAAATAATTTTAAAGCAGCATTTAAAAAGAAAAACTGTTGCTTGTCCTTTTGTTTTTTATTGCAATAAACTCTTTCAAACGGCTAAAAATAGCAGCAGGTATCTTTTGGCTAAAGATAAACCGTTACTGTTTTGTTTTTCTTGACTAAAGTGACCAGCTTTTTTTTTTTTTTTTTTTCTTGGCTAAAGATAACGACAATTCATTTTGCTCTTCATAGCAAAAAAGAAAAATATACATCCTCTTTTTTTTTTTTTTAATCTCCCATTGAAAAAGATATATTGTTTTAATTGTTCTTCTTTTTATATATTCAAGTAAGAGTTATATTATTATATTTTAAATTTTATCTTTTATAAATAGCACAAACTTATTAAAAACATAATAAAATAGTTGAGATTGTTTTATTTCCGAGACGGCGAATAATATATTCTTAATCCGTTATATTATATAAATTATGCGGATGGCGCATATCGCTTTAAGAAAGCAATCCGCTTGTGTCTCAACATAATTATTTAAAAATTTTATTAAAATTATTTTAATAGTTTGATCATTTTTATATCATAAAATGAAGTAATATGCTTTTAATCTTGATGTTTTTTAATAATCAAAATAAAAAAATTTAATTCTTTTTCGTCTTGATTTACAATAAATTTATTTATTTATTGTGTAAATTTTTATTATTTAATAATTTTTTTATGATCTAGAAACCACACATAAAACACGTTTTTTTTTTCATAAAATTAAGAAATTGCAATTTGGTGCTATATATAATCTCTGCTAGAAATTATCTCATCACCATCAATGACAGTATCACATTCTCCTATCATCACAAGGGGCAGAGATTAAGAAAACTTTCAATTTTTAAATCATGAGATGAAGACCAAAATAACTTGAAAAGAGATGAACAATTCATATTCATACCAAATTATAAAATTCCCCATCTATGCATGATTAATCCTTAAAATACCCTTAAATAGTAATGTCTTTTCTTTAAAGTATGAAAGGAGGTTTCTTTTCTTTTGTTCTTTGAAAAAAAAAAAAAAAAAAAATCCTTTGTCTTGTCTCTTCCCTGTTTCGATCAAGGCAGAAAATTTTCTCTTCTTTTAATAAATAGCCTGGCGCCACATGATCAAAACAAGAAAATGAAATAATTAGAATAAATTATAAATTAATTCTTTTAGTTTTGAGATTTTTAATTAATTAGTCTCTTTATTTTTAAATTTTCTTATAATTTTTTTAATTTATTTTGCTTCTTTGTTATAAATATTAAAAAAATATTTTATGAAATAAAATAATGTTACATTAGTTAATACTCATTGATAGATTAAATAATTAGTTTTTGAAACAAGCCATATATAATAATTTAAAAAATAAAAATAAAAAGAATAATTTATAATTTGCTCGAAATAATTATCACTTTATTTTATTTTTTATTGTTCTAGAAGACCTTTGAAATTTCTTAAATTAATATTGTAATTCAATTCGATTGCTTGTTATGCGTCGAATGGTAGCTTAATGGAATGGGAATGTAGTTCCCCATGCACACTTCCATGTTACTTCCAAGTTATGAGTGTCAACACGAATTTTTATGCTCCATCCAAATTTTATATCAGAAGTTGGCCTTCTGACATCAATCAAGGCCAACTTTTTTACTTCAGAATAAAATTGAAAAGATAGCTTCAGGTACTAAAACAAGTGGGATAGAGCAGAGTGGAAGGTTGACATCAATTAGCACATAGGATCATAAGACGCGATCAAAGATATATCCATGAAAAGTTAACCTTCGTGACTAAGTTAAGGATTAGTCATCCTGGTCATGTATCAGTTGAATGGGATAATTTATTAATTATTGTCAAAGGTTTTCATCTAAACCACCTATTGATTGAGAATATAGTTCGTAGTTGATAGAAAAACAGAGTACGAAAACCAAGCAGAAAACAGAGTAGATTCAAGAAAGAAAAAAACCATGATTTCCATATATATATATTGGATGTTATATTCAAAACATCCAACATAAAAATTATATTAAATTATTTAAAAAAAGAAAAAAAAAGTCACATTCTAAAATTTTATTTAAAAATTCATACAAAAAAAAATCATATTTTCTTAAAAAAAATAAAATTATATAAAAATAAATTAAAAAATTAATTGAATGTTTTCATAAAAAATCATCTTAAATTGTGAAAGCAAAAAAATTAAAAAAAAATTAAATAAAATTATATTTCTTCATTATCAGGCTGCAGGAAAAAAAATATTTTTTCATAAGTCTTGTTCAAAATCAATAATAAAAAGAATTGTTGGAAAAAAAATACAAAAGAAAGAGAGAAAAAAGACAAACAAAAATAAACAAAAAACAAAAAACAAAACAAAGCAAGGCCTAGGTGTTTGGGCCTGAAGATGCAGGCTTGATCTTCTAGGCCTACAGAAGTAGGCCCGATTGGCCTGACCTGACAACATAAAAAAAAAAAAAATCCAATTGAAGTAAATAAATAGAAAAAATTCAAATCTTTTAATGTTTAATTTAATTTAATTTAAATTCCTTATTTCTTTAATTGATTAGATTTTTTTTAATGAAATTTATATTGATTAGATTAATCTTTTATCGGTATAAATTTAACTCCAACCTCCTTCCAATAATAAAGAAACTCTATGTTTAGTGAAGAGAAAGAAAGAACTCATATTTGAAATAAATATTTTAAAAAGACTTGACAGAGCGAATCATCCTCTTGTTTCTCTTTCAACTTTGTAAATGCAAGAATTGATTGAGAAAAAGACACAAAGAGAATCTAGCAAATGCATTTGAGATTTGAATTTTAACTAGCTCCTAACATTTATTTGGGATTGAGTTTGTTTGCATTCAATATAAAAATTGGTTAAATAGAAAAGAGGATTGGTTTAAACTAAATAGACTCTGGTTATTTAAATAAATAATTTCAATTTCAAATTTTTATGTACATAAATTTTTTTTTATATAATTATATTTGTAGTATGTACCTAATCAAACAATCAAGGATATATATATATATATATATATATATATATATATATATATATATATATATATATATATATATGAAGTTTAATTTAATATTTTAATATTTTTCTTTAATTTAGATTAAAATTTGAAGTTCGTGATATAATTGATTTCATCATTTTTATTTAATAATTTAATTTGAACCAATACAATTTTTTTTTAAGAAAAAAAAAAGCAAATTTTTTTGAAACCATAAAAACAAAAGATGAGAAACACCTAGAATGTAAAGAAAAATCATCACACTCACATCCCAGGCCCACGGATTGGGTTGATTTTCACACTTCAAACTTTTGCCCAAGAAACTTCCACTCGTCCAACAAGAGAGAGGGAACTAATCTCGTAAAAACACACGGAAACTTCTCCTCTAAGCAAAAGCACCCTTTCCTCGAGCAAACTCTCTGTTCCTCCATCATCATCGCTACCTTTCCTCTTTCTCTCCAAAACCCTAAAATCAATTCGATGGTTCCTCCCCCACTACCACCATCAAACCACCAAGCTATCCAACAATTCCTCTCCTCTGTCCTCTCTCAACGCGGCCCTTCCGCCCTTCCTTACACCGAAGACACCAAATGGCTCATTCGTCAACACCTCGTTTCCCTCATCTCAGCTTTCCCTTCTCTCGAACCCAAAACAGCTACCTTCACTCACAACGATGGCCGCACCGTCAATCTTCTCCAAGCAGACGGCACCGTTCCAATCACTTTCGATTCCGTCACTTATAACATCCCCGTTATCATCTGGCTTATCGAATCTTACCCTCGTCACCCTCCTTGTGTTTACGTGAATCCCACGCGCGATATGATCATCAAAAGATCTCATTCTTTTGTTAATCCATCAGGTCTCGTTTCGGTCCCTTACTTGCAGAATTGGATCTACCCGAGTTCTAATTTGGTTGATTTGGCTCGGGAATTGAGCTTGATTTTTGGGAGGGATCCTCCTTTGTTTTCTCAACGTCCTCGCCCTAGCCCTAGCCCGAGCCCTAGCCCTAGCTCTATCACTAATCCCAGTTATCATCCGAATCTATCGAGTTTGACGAATTCGTCGAGTTTTGGATCAGTAGGTTCCACGGGAGGGAGTGGGTATCCGAGACCGATTAGGCCACCACAGTATCCACCACCGTCTCCGTACGGTGGTGGGGTTGGTGTGGTGGGGAAGGTGGGGACGGATGATGCGGCGGAGGTTTATAAAAGGAACGTGATTAATAAGCTTGTCGAGAATGTTCATGGGGATATGTTGCAGTTGAGGAAAACGAGGGAGGCGGAGATGGAAAGCTTGTTTACCGCTCAAGCTGTGTTGAGGAGGAGAGAGGAGGATGTTAATAAAGGGTTAAAAGAATTGAGAGATGGAATGGAAGTGTTGGAGTCGCAATTGCAAGTTGTTTTGATGAATACTGATGTTTTGGAAGCATGGGTTAGGCAAAATGAGGGGAAGGTGAAAGGGGTTACGAAGGATATTGATGTGGATAATGCTTTTGAGTGTGTGGATGTTTTGTCACAGCAGATGTTGGAGTGTACGTCAGTGGATATGGCGATTGAGGATGTGGTTTATTCGTTGGACAAAGCGGTGCAAGAAGGGGCAATGCCATTTGATCAATATTTGAGGAATGTGAGGTTGTTGTCTAGAGAGCAGTTTTTTAACAGAGCTACTGCAGCGAAAGTTAGGGCTGCACAAATGCAGGCTCAGGTTGCTAGTATGGCTGCTAGGGCACCTCATTATGCTGCCTGAATGATTGTTTTGATGGTGATTTTAATACGGGGTTGTGGCATTTATGGAGATGTTGTAAGGGTCATTATAGTTTGAGGTTAGATTCTTGTGAAGAACTATACCATTTTAGTTTTGCTCTTTTTTCTTTTGTGGTGATAGGGAAATAATAATATTCTTGTGAATTATTATATGCTTTCCTTTAGTAATTGATGTAGTATATAATTGAAACTCGCTTTTCAAGCTATAGCATTGCCCATTCCAATTATGAATTTTGGTCATAGAAACAGATGTTTTGGTTCTTATGATTGTTTACTTCTGGCTGGAAAACAATGTATGCCCGTATCACTTGATACATATTGCATTAATAACTAATAATTACTTTCATGCAAGTCGCTAACGACTACATTTTCAAATATATTATGTCTTCCAAATCTTGTGGCATCCTTTTGCCTATCATTAAAGAATCCAGTGCATTCGCATGTTTTAGCATTGTGTCAATGTTTCCATATTTGTGGTCATTTATGTATTTTGCTCTTAATGCAATAATGTTGTTGATGTCCAGATTCTTTTTTCATTCTCAACACATATGTGCACATGTTCATGAATGTGCGTTGATGTAATGGTATTAAGCAGGCACATATGAGGACAAATGAAATTAGCTTACTGTATTCGTAACAGGAGTTCCTGTTAAGTTGAATAGGAAACAATGATAGAATCGGAAACAATGATAAAAAAGAAAAGAAAAAAAGGGGAGAGGATTTATAATGTACGTTGCATTGGTTTTCCACTTGCTTTTGCATCAAACTCAAACAAGAAAGCTGAAGTCTGGATGGCTTGTGCTTTTGTTCTTCAGTAAACAAGCTTTCCGTGTCTATATGAGGGATGAAAGTAATTGTCATATTGTAGATAGCCAGATTCTTGGTTTTGGTTCCACATGCACATGCCCATGCCCATGTGTGTGCATGTTCATGTGATCCATGTCAAGCAGGCAGGCATAGAAATTTATGAATGTTAGGTGTAATAGTTGATTGAAAAGAGGAAAAAATGATGGAAGGGTGGGTAGAAGATAAGGTCTATAGACTATATATGTATATGCGTGTGTTGTATTTGTTTCACTTGCTTTTTCTATGTGCTTGGACTAGAAAGTTATGGGAGCATGGTGTTTTTGTGATGAGGATGTAGTAGCAAAATTAGTTGAAGGAGAATTGAGGCTTGAAAAGGTACATGTCTTTGTTTATCAAAGAGGAAAATTCTTGACTTTATCTGTCTTTGCTGTTTTTGGGCCGTTCTGAGAGTAGCATAATAGGAGTTCTTTCAAGGGAGAGAAGTTACCTCTTTGCTGTTTTAGATGGTTTAGAACTCCTCTCCTTTGTTGTACAGAGCTGCACTTTATTGATGGATGTTCTTGTTGTTATAGGACATAGGCTTTCCAGATTCCCTATCTTATAGACGAGCTTTTTGTTTTTTTGATTGGGTTGCTCCTCCTATATGATCTTTAAGTGAAGCTTTTGCTTTTGGGAAAAGAGATAAAATGAAGTGTGCTGCACTGGTGGATTAATCATTGCTCATTTTATTGGTGTATTGGCTTGCAGTGGATCTCAGATTTTATAATGCAAATCCTTAATTGGCTAGTGTTTTGTTTTATGTAGAGACAATAGCTGGTATCTGTTCATGCATATTTCTACACTGCTATTAGTTTGATATGCTTGATGTGTATCTTTGTTGGTGTTTACAAAGTGCTAAACTCTCTTGCTCTGTCATGTATAGATAAATGCCTGTAAAACTGTGAAAAAGTCTAATTGAAGGCAACAAAGTAGCCATGGGATTTTATTGTTCTCCAACAAGAGAGGCTCGCACCCAAGACCTGTTGGGGAAAGGGGCACATGGGTGCAATTGATGCACAAGGCGCATTGACTCAGATTTGTTGTTTCTGTTTTCAATAATGGGCATGTCACATTTGCATTTTGGCCGTGCACGATCTAGGCTGTTTTGAGTAAAATTGTCAAAGCTCCATGAATATTCACATTTGATGGAAGAACCTAGGAAATCGTTTTGCTTCAGTGCTGATGTTATGGCAATCAGCCTCAATTACAGACTTTCAAGAAATTATTTAGTATGTCACTCTGAACATTAAGATATTTTTAGAAGAGTCTATTCTGCTGCTATGTCCTTGAAATATTTGCTATTTTCATTTTTTGAGAGATCTAAAAATGCATGAATTCATTTGTATAATCATGAGCATTTAACTGCTAGGTCCACTGTTTTAGACGATACTCAAAAGATCAGGCTTCAAGATCTCTATTCTCCAATGGAAGTGTTACGCATTCTGTTCTTCCATATACAGTCTTTGCATGTCTATTTGAAAGATGGATAGGAATGAATGAATTTATTTCTGGGTTCCTTTTCTGTAGTCATTCCTGCTTAATTGAAATGTTTTTGCAAATAGAACTGGATTTGAAACTCGAATGTAAGCCTGTTCCACTGTTATCCCCTACGAATCTCCGGTGCCACAGCAATTTGGGATGTGATCAACTCGACAGGCTGGAGCTGAGTCACGTGATGGATTTTTCTTACTGATAGACATTGTGGGTGTTAGAAAGAGGGATGATGACAGTATTCTATGATGTTCTGTTGTTTGCTGTTAGTTTGAAGTTTGGGGAATCTGCAAATTTTGAGGGACTCGTTTGAATTAAATTCTCAATCAAATGTTGCCCCCCTCACTTATGACCTTCTCTACTTGGCTCAATCGCTTGCGGATTTGCCTTCTCTTATATGATGTTCCTGCAGGGATGTATCACTCTGATTTAATCTATGCTTTTTTTCGATTTCAGCTGTTAGTGTTTATGACTGGAAGTTATCTGTGCCCATCTGTGACATAGACGAGTGACAATGAAGCCAAGCAATACGAACTGGCAGTAGGCGCAGTACTTACAAAGCTTACTTCTGTTGGGAACTTGTTTTGCCTGCTATTTTCTTGCGATTTAGGTTCACTGTTTGTGTGCCCCTAATTACGTGCATGTTTCTTTGATATAAAAAGATGCACTCATTACAGAGTTGGGAGCACAAAGTTGAATTTCTTTATCTCTATATTAAAAAAAAAGAAAACAATTGATTTTACTCATCGATGTTTTTCCAAAAACTAATAATAATAATAATAATAAAACTATTATTCCAAAAAAATTGAGATTTTTTTGTGAACAGCTGTCTATATGTCAGATGGATTTATTCAAGAGAAAGGAACAGCTTTCTTGCATTCTTCTTCCAAATTGAGGGTTAAAGAGGACCATGTGGAGTGGATAGCAATTATGGAAGAATTGACACCTCAACATTAGATAACCAAAAAATGAACCTCAAGCTTCGAAGTATTTTTCATTTTTCAGTTAAAAAAAAAAAAAAAACAAAGTTGATAATTCTAAATTCATAATTCAAAAACTTGGGACAAACACTGAAACGAGCAAGAATGAGACTTTGATGAGAAACTGAGAGAAATGAACTTGCACCTATTGCCCATGACTGCAAAAGCACCACCACCACCACAAATTCCCTCCAAAGCACGCCCACTTGCTCAACACACACTCTCTCAAAGAACCTATATCCCATCTCACATATACAACCACCCAGCCGCCATTCTATTAGAACTCTGCACTTCAGGTAAAGAACTTCACCAAATCCTCCCTCAAATCATCAAAAACGGGCTCTACAATGAAACCCTTTTTCAAACCAAGCTCATTAGTCTTTTTTGCAAGTATGGTAATTTAACTGAAGCTTCGCGTGTTTTTGAACCAATTGAGGATAAATTTGATGCTCTTTATCATACTATGCTTAAAGGGTATGCAAAGAATTCTTCTTTGGATAATGCTTTTTCGTTTTTTTCTCGAATGAAGCGTGATGATGTTAGGCCTGTTGTATATAATTATACTTATTTGTTGAAACTTTGCGGAGATAATTCGGATCTTAAGAGGGGTAGGGAGATTCATGGGAATGTAGTAACAAGTGGGTTTTCGGGGAATGTGTTTGCTATGACAGGGGCGGTGAATATGTATGCCAAATGTAGACAAATTGATGATGCATATAAGATGTTTGATAGAATGCTCGAGAGGGATTTGGTTTGTTGGAATACGATTATTTCTGGGTATTCGCAAAATGGGTTTGCTAAGGTTGCTTTAGAGTTGGCCTTGAGAATGTTTGGAGAAGGGCATAGACCGGATTCGATTACGATGGTTTCTATTTTGCCTGCAATTGCGGATATAGGGTCGTTGAGAATTGGCAAGGCAGTTCATGGGTATGTTTTGAGAGCTGGGTTTGAGTCAGTTGTGAATGTTTCGACAGCTCTTGTGGATATGTATTCGAAATGTGGGTCAGTGGGGATTGCTAGAGTAATCTTTGATGGGATGGATCATAGGACTGTTGTTTCGTGGAATTCAATGATTGACGGGTATGTGCAAAGTGGAGATGCTGAGGGAGCAATGGTAATGTTTCAGAAGATGTTGGATGAAGGGGTTCAACCAACTAATGTTACAGTTATGGGAGCTTTGCATGCTTGTGCTGATCTAGGTGATCTTGAGAGGGGAAAATTTGTTCACAAATTAGTGGACCAATTGAAACTTGATTCTGATGTTTCGGTGACAAATTCTTTGATTTCCATGTATTCCAAGTGTAAGAGGGCTGATTTTGCTGCTGATATATTTGGAAAATTGCAAAATAAAACACTTGTATCCTGGAATGCCATGATATTAGGCTATGCCCAAAACGGGTGTGTGAGTGAGGCCTTAGATGCTTTCTGTGAGATGCAATCACGAAATATAAAGCCAGACTCGTTTACAATGGTGAGTGTGATTCCTGCTCTTGCAGAGTTGTCGATTCCACTTCAGGCAAAGTGGATTCATGGACTTGTTATTAGGAGGTTTTTAGACAAGAATGTTTTTGTTATGACTGCTCTTCTTGACATGTATGCAAAATGTGGGGCCATTCACACGGCAAGAAAGCTCTTTGACGTGATGGATGAAAAGCATGTGATCACATGGAATGCTATGATAGATGGATATGGAACTCATGGACTTGGAAAAACTGCCGTAGAACTGTTCAAGGAAATGCAGAAGGGGACCAACAAGCCAAATGATATTACATTTCTCTGCGTCCTCTCTGCTTGCAGTCACTCAGGTTTGGTAGAAGAGGGGCTCTGTTTCTTTGATAGCATGAAGAAAGATTACGGTATAGAGCCTGTGATGGATCACTATGGAGCCATGGTTGACCTTCTTGGTCGAGCTGGTCGACTCAACCAGGCTTGGGATTTCATTCAAAAGATGCCTATTAAACCAGGAATTACTGTTTACGGTGCTATGCTGGGTGCTTGCAAAATTCACAAGAATGTTGACTTCGGGGAGAAGGCAGCATTCGAAATCTTCAAGTTAAACCCAGATGATGGTGGATACCATGTATTGCTTGCCAACATATACGCCACAGCTTCAATGTGGGACAAACTGGCCAAAGTAAGAACCATAATGGAGAAGTCAGGGCTTAAAAAACTCCAGGCTGCAGTTTAGTGGATATAGGAAATGAGGTTCACAGTTTCTACTCCGGAACTACAAGCCACCCCCAATCCCAAAAGATCTACGCTTATCTCGAGACACTCGTAGATGAGATCAAAGCTGCTGGTTATGTTCCTGACACCAATTCAATCCACGATGTGGAAGATGATGTTAAAGTGCAGTTGCTGAATACTCATAGTGAGAAGTTGGCTATTGCCTTTGGACTGCTAAATACGAGCACAGGCACTCCCATACACATTAGGAAAAATCTACGAGTTTGCGGTGACTGTCATAATGCAACAAAGTACATTTCCCTTGTCACTGGGAGGGAAATTATAGTTCGTGATATGCATAGATTTCACCATTTCAAGAATGGAGTCTGTTCTTGTGGAGATTATTGGTAAATTTGAGCTGCCGTACAAGTAGTTTTTTGAGACCACAATGGTTTCTTATAGGAGTGCACACTGCAAAATGCAAATGGGTCAGGCGAGGGAAGGGCCGCAATGGGTCTCGCCAGGCCATTATTTCTTGAAAAAACTAAGAATTAGGGCTCTTAGCCAATTCATGACCCTAGAAATGAACCTCCTGAATTTGAAGTTCAACCCATTGGTTGTAGAGCTGGGTGTGGACTAACCTGTCTTTGATTATTCCTTTCGAAGTTCTTGTTTTAGTCATGATAATACAATAATCTTTATGACATCAAAAAATAAATATATTGAATTAATACTTCATTTTCTAGCGCCAACTTGCAAGTTCTTTTCCCGCTCCACTCTATTGATGATGAATGACCAAGTAGTAGAACACAGGCGTTTTCTAAGGTTACTTCCCATCATTATGCCACCACTCAGCAATGGCTGCAATTTGTTGTCTCCTGCAAATATTTGTTTTATTTTTCTTCTAATCATGAGATTACCACATCGGTAGTCAATTATATACTCCTACAATATGATTTAACTTGAAAGAAGCTGCTTCATCTCGACTCCTCCAGTTGCACAGGACCAAGTACCCAAAATAAATTCAAGCTCCATAGAAAATCGGCAAACAGTGCGTAAAAATGATCGAAATGCCTTGCCGTTGATGTCTTTAGCATAATAGTTATTGCAAAGAAAAAAAAACTGAGATTGCAAGTTTAATATATTTTGTGGCAACCGATTCCACGTTTGGGACAAAGTTGAGTACTACAACAGCAGTATTCAAAACTGAAAGCACAAATTGCAGCACCTGATCTCTCAAGAAAGGTAAAGGAGGAAGTGACGATTTTACATCTACTGCTCTAGCTTCATTCCAAAAGGGGACAACAAAGAGACTGGTCAGTGTCTCTACAGTACCAGCTTCTAGCTCTGAATTTCCACCCTGAGATCATCTAGTATCTGTACATTCACCTCCGAACATCAATTAAGGTTTAATGTGTAAACATCCATCAATCTACAACTTTGTAAATATATACCCAAAGTAAAGAGTCCTGAGGTTGGGTGGCCACAGTCACTTCCACCACCAAAACTGCCGAAATAGATATATCTTTCTCATTCGGGTATTGTATGTCATAAAGGCTCTGGCTTTAATGGGGTCTGCATTCAAATACTCAAAAGCATACATTTGTTTGGCCTCATCCAAGCCATCAATCTCCATCACAGCCTGTAGCAGTTCTGAGGCATTGATAGTAGTTTTGCTTAGCTCCATTGCATCGGCTAAACGCCGAACACTTGATGCCACGGCTAACATTGCATCCTGAAGGGTCTCTGAGCCATGAGCCTTTGAGAGTGGTCTGACAGGCTGGATCAGAGGATCTTGGTTGCCATCTGGCAGATATTCTGGTTGTTCGGAACATGAATCTGTTCCATCAGTCTCACTTGCATCTTCAGAACTTGGCGAGAGGAATGAAGCAGAATCTTCAGCAAAGTTCCTTGTTGGATGGCCTCCATCCTTTACCTTAGCCCAACGACTAGGGGCTTGGTAATTTCCACAAACAATTTTTAGTTCATCATACATGTCAATCTGCTTTCCTCGAATTCCTTTTGCATCAGGATGGGCCTATTCAACACATTTGAAAATTTTCAATCCAAATATTGTCAAGGAGAGCATGACAAATCCAAAAGAAGAAAAAATATACCTCAGAATATTATGCAAGACTTACCGCAATGTATCTCTTCCAAAGGTCATCACTTTCACACTCAATCATCTTTGTGCTAGGATTCCACCTGAAACCATCTTGACTTAGCATATCCCTAATAACCTTGTACCTTTTCTTAATGGTCTTAAGACGATTAATGACCTTCTGATTGTTCAAGTTTAAATTAAAGCGGGAGTTCACAGCAATGCAAGCAGCAGTGTATGCATTCTCATTAAAGCATTTGTCTATTTTGTTTCCATTTCTAGCCTGAATAGCAAGAGCTTCAATTAGACATTTGTCCATTGCGATCGACCAAACAACATTTCTTCCTTTATGCTTCATTTCCCTTCTGTGAGCATGCAAGTCATAGTGGTCCATTTCCTAATACAATAAAAAAGGAACCATATGAAGCAGAGTTAAACATTGTTCAAAGGAAAAAAAAACAACATATCATACAGAGTGAATGGTAATTTACAATGCACTTAAATTTTTCATCCAACATCCACTGCCTAAATGATTAAGGGAGCAGGTGACCAAAATTATAGCAGAATTTGCTGTCAAAGTCAACAGCAACATCCGTTACATATCTCAGTGACGGCACAATACCCATCAATTTGGCTACACGAACAATCAATGGTCACAAAAGGATGTCAACATCAATCATAACATTTCACACTTTACGAATGTTAAAGAACATCCTATGGAGAGCACCTAATGACCTGTAAGATATTCTCATAACTTTAAAATTTTAAAACAATAAAATTAAGATTGACAGAACAAAAGTTTAACTGCCTAAGCAATTATATTTTATATTACAAATTGGTAAAGAAATCTTTGATGCAAGTAAACTTCCCGAGTCACCACATTAGAGAGGCTAGGGAAAGTGCACAAAACAGTACATGCCATCCTATATGATCTGTATGGTTCTCCTGCAGGTTTCCTGCTGGAAGCATGTTCTTAGGAAATTTCCCAGATGAATGCCATGAGATCCAGGTGGCCCCCATTATCATGCATGCACCAGAATAATGGCTGGAATTGGAACTGATCTCTCCCTAGATTATCATGCATGTGCCAGATCAATGGTTGCCATATATTTCCAGCTATGTCCTCTCACCAATGCATCCACATCTTGGTGAGGCCATGCAGAGGAAGAGGCCATGGACAAGGTGGCGAGGTATGAGGTAGCAACAACTTGAGCAACAAGTTCAATTAAAAGCACTGTTTTGAGTCTGTGATGCCATGCATCTAAATCTTAGTGGCTTGAACCAAACATCCAAAAACTGAACCTGATCAGGCAATGACATTAAGTGCCAAGTACAATATCCAGCAGATAAAGGAGGAAAGCAACAACCAAACTGTCTGCTGTCTATGGCCTCAAACATAAAATACAATCTCTAAGAAAAGTGCTTGGGATTTTTCAGTTATCAACATCTTAGAAATGTTTGAACAGAACAAGTTTAAGCTCATATGTTGATTCAAATTGAATCAAACATATGGTTTGAACATAACCCTAGTCAACAACTTAGCGCTCAACAAGAGTTGTGAAACCAATGAAGTTCTGATCATCTTTCCATTTTCTAGTTTGAACCAATCAAATAAAACTTTGACCAGCAAAAAATAGAAAGATTTCAAAATAGAGCTCACTGATTTCATCTCATATCCAAAATATCGAAAACTGAGCCTTCTACTTGCCAATTAACTTAACGCATACTTTACATAAACATACTTTGAGAATTCACTTCTCCAAAAATTTCAACAATTACATATGTGGAATCCACTAGCAGGGCCCACTCATTCAATGGATGAGATCTTTTGGAAAGTAAAGAATTTCCAGTCAAATTGGCACCATTCATTAGCTTAAGTAAAACAAATGTTCATTGAAAAAAAAATCAATCTCAACACATATTCCCGATTCCCATTTCCGTTCCTCTGGAAATCTCATGCTTTAAGAGATTCCAAAGTAAATACAATCATTGCCTCACCCCACTTAGTTAATCATCTCAGTCCCACTCCTCCACAAAATTATCAACAAAACCCACTAGATGACCACTCTCAAGCTTTAATAAACAACTGCATAAACTCTTTGCATGCATAAGGTAAGTTACTTGTAGATACATACATAAATATCTCTGTCAAGATGCAAATTCAGCCACTTTCAATTTGCAACTACTTTAAAGACAAGACAAATAATGCAATCATTCGCGTAAACAATATTGAATCAGCTCCCAAAATTAAGCTTCAAAAGTTTGATTTTAGTAGCTACTTAGTCAAATTTACCAATCATTAACTTAAATAAGAGCTTTAGATACATATATACATACATATACATACATATATATATATATAGAGAGAGAGAGAGAGAGAGAGAGAGAGAGAGATACCGGTGATCTGTCAGCCGATCAGGAGGTATAGCCGGAAGAGGAACCGAAGAAGCTATCAAGACGATGAAAGAGGAGGAGCTCTTACGGCTCCATTTTTGGAAGATTTGAAGTTAGGGTTAGGGTTTCGTTTTCTCGAGAAAAAACAAAAAGAAAATAAAAAAAATTTTCCCGAGCTGTGGCACTTTCTCGCAAGCCAAACGCGTGGAGAGAAAAAGTTCAAACTTTGTCAGGAATGATTACATTACAGGTAGGTGTTGGGAAATCATGTGAAGGTCTTATACTTTGTTGCCACGTATTCCTGAGAGAAGAGAAAAACGAAGGTTGCTTGATGATGTTGTATCAACGTTCAGCATTTTTTTTAAAAAAAAATTGGATTGTTTGTCGTCTCTGTTGCATCATTGGTGGTTTTTGCTGTTTTTAAATTGGGAATCCTTTGACAAAAATAGAAAATTGGGAATCATGTGGCAAAACTGTCTTTTACTTTTTTATTTTCTGCTGAATGAAAGGGTTCAATTATTATCCACATCATTATTCAGTTAGATTCATATCTAATATTTATCCAGACTTATGCATGGTTGTATTTTCATCATTTTGGAGTTTTTTTAAGCATTTATATTCAAATTTAATATTATGTTATATTTTAATCCTTAATATTTTCAAAATATATTTTTGACCCCCATATGGACCAAGTATGCATGCTTCATTTTTTTTTAGCAATTTTTTTTATAATTGAATTGGTGGTAAAAATTATGAAAAACCTATTGTTATTTTTTTTAATTTTTCATACGTGATATATATATATATATATATATATATATATATATATATATATATATATATATATATATATATATATATATATATATATATATGTTTTTAGATTTTAAAATGAATATATATCGAATTACATCATTCTTATTATCTAAAATTAATATTTTCAATTTATCACTTCTTATAGAAACTCTCATCAAATTAATTTTTTATTTTTTAAGTAATTTTATTTGTTAAGAAATTAATTTATTTTTCTCTATATATGGATTTTAAAATAAATTTTAAATAATCAACTAAAAAATGAAATTCAATAAAATAATATTTTAGAAGAACCACCTAATATTTTAAAAACAATTTTTATACTAATATTATTAGTATTTTCTAAGTATATATATATCAAACTTACATATTTTCAAAAAGTTTATCTTTTCATCGGCATTGAATAAGAATAAAAAAATTATTTATTAATTTTTATGTAAGTTATTATATTAATTGTTACTTTATTTTTTTCGATGCAATATTTTGAAAAAAATAACAAGATATTTTTTAAATTTTATATTTAGATTATTATAGGTTTTTATTTAAGAATGAGTGCATAAAAAAGAACAAATTGTGTTTTTTAACTACAAAATTCATGAAAAAAATAATTAAATACAAATATTTGATTATAAATTATGAAATTAATTTATAATATTAAAAAATTAATAGTAAATAGTTGGTGCTATGTATATAGATGCATAGTTATTTTTTAACAAAATCAATTATCTCAATTATTTTTTTCTATACTATAATTATATTTTGTGGGTCAAAGTGTACATCGTAAATAAAAAAGATTAAAAAAATTAAGTTGTAAAGAATATATTGAAATTGGTAGACTGCACAAAAAAAAAAAATACTACTACAAAATTGATTTGATATATTTTAATTATATAAAAAATAAACAAATAAAACACATGAATTTTATTTTTTTAATTGATTATTTATTTAAAAAAACTTATTCAAAAATCCACACATAAAGAAAAATAATTTATATTTATTAACAAACAAAATTATATAAAAAATATTAATAAATTAATTTGATGAGGGTTTTCATAAGAAACAACAAATTGAATAGATCAATTTTAAACAATTAGAGTCATGCTTTTTGAATTACAAAATTTATGAAAAACATAAAAAAATAATAATAATAAATAAATAAAAATTTTTTGATTAAAAATTATGAAATTAGATTGTTTTTGTTTTACCCTTAATTTTATATATTTTAGTTGACTAATAACATATTTTAAGCTATCAAACTGAAATAAACATATTTTGTTCGACCAACAGCAGTACCGCCAAAAGCCAACTAGTTGATTCTAAACTACTTTTTTTCTCCTAATTTTTATGTTTTGTGTGTTAGTCAAATTATTTTTTTTTTTAAATCATGTCATTTCCAAGCTTATGTGAGAAAAGTTATAAAATACTCTTTATAGAAAAATGAAGTAAACTATAAATTAGTTTTTCTAGTTTTGAAAAACAAATTAATTAATTTCTATTATTTTAAAACTAATTATTTATTTATTTTTACTAATGTTGATCACATTTAACTTATTATTACTTTATTCTAAAATGTATTTTAATTTTATCTATTTATTTTTTTCTATTTTCTAAAACAAAACAAAAAAAAGAAGGAAAGAATGAAAGAGGAACAAAAATAAATACCGAATAATTAATTTTTAAGATAAAAGAGATTAATTAATCTGGTTATCAAGATTTAAAAAATTAATTTATAATTTACTTTAAAAAAGCAACAATCAATGTCATAGGAGCAATCTAGAGGAAAGGATGCAAAAGTGATGGGGAAAAAAACCCATCTATTTATCAACAACTTGTTTGGAATCAATTTTTAAGAACCAAAAAAAAGAGGGAGGGTGGGGTTGGTATAAAAAGGGAGAGCAACCCCGTTCCAAAAATTTCTTCTCTTTTCTTATTCTCTCTTGCACGCATTCTTCTCCCAAAATTTCTCTCAATTTCTTCCTTCAAATTCTAAGCTAAATCATTGTTAAATTAGCTTAGGAAGACTATAAACAAGTAGATTCAAGTAGAGCTTAGCTAGATTGGAGCTTGGGAAGCTTAGTGAACTAGAAAGAACTTGAGAGTTGAAGAGCATAGTGTCAAATGTAAGATTTTTGATCCTTTGATCTTTGAATTGTGAAGTTTATATGAGATCAATGATAATATTGAAATGCAATTGTTTTGGGTTGTTGATTGCTTGGAGAATTGACTAGATTAAGGTTTGGGTTTTGAGACTCGTTTGGGAAAAAAATTGATTACCTCTTGCCTTCCACACTCGATATCAATCGATCTCTTATGGTCCCTAACATAAGAAGCCCTAAGTCATTGTTTCTTCTTATTCTCTTTTGTTTATACCTAAACCTTAAGCCATTATTTCTTCTAATTCTCCTTTGTTTATACCTAAACTCGATTCCTATTTTCCTTTTCTCCTTTGTATCTAATCTATTACGTTCTCGGCTTTGCTTTCCTCTTTTTTTTTTTATTTTGCATGGTCTTATCCGGGTCTTCTAATCTCGGGTATATTTGTTTGACAAAATGATGGATTAGTGATAGGTGAGTTGGGCGAGTGGTTAGAATTTGTTATCTTTGGTTAGGAGCTCTAAAAATGACATTGTTCAAGTTGAAACAAAGAGAGTGAAGAGAGTTTACTTGGTGAGGTGAATCGCATAAGAAAAGAATGGAACGTTTTGAGTTCTAACCATAGTCATGAAGATTAGAGGGTTCGTCTTTAGGATTTCCTTGCCTTTCTTTGAAATTGGTCTTTTCCAAGACCCAAATATGATTTTGTTATTTCCCAAAAGTTCTATAAACTTAGAAACAATCTAATTTCAAAAATCTAATTTCTCCAAAACAATTGAAAACCCTAATTCTCTCCCAATTCCTTCAATTACTCTTGTTGTATCTCTTTCTCCCTTTTTTTCTTTCTATTTTTCTCTTTCTTCCCCTTCGAAATTTCCCATGGTTCTTTCTCTTTTTTTTTTTTTCCAAATTCCTCCCTCTTTCTCTCTCTCAAATCCGAAGCTAGACAACCTATTCCTTTGAAAATTGAAAAACGAATTATCGTAAAACATCGACACCCACTACCCCTTAATCTCATTCCCCTCCAATATTATTGAAGCTCTCTTCCTTAAACCATCTCCTTCTTACCCTTATACGAATTGAACCCTCAACAAATTTTCCCTAATTTCTTTTTTTCTTTTAAAAATTATACCGACTAAACCTAGAATCCAACCTTTTCAAGCCATCAAAACCCTTCTTTCATCTTCCACTCACAAACTTAAACATAACATAAAGGGGAATTGAAGGGGAATGGGTTTATGTGCAATGGCAATGATGAAATCATTTTCATTGTTCGTTTTAGAATGGTTAGTAACTCGAATCGATACAATTAGAGTTACAAATCAAATAAAGAGAACAAAGAATCTTACACAGTGTCCGATTGAGGGAACCGGGGTTAAGGATGAGTGGTTGGTAGTGATGGTTGCGGCTTTGATATGTAAGAAAGTGTCCTCATAACAAAAACTCAAAAGTAAGATTGAAATGAGTTTGCCCTTACGCTCTTGTTTCTTATAATTTTTCTATCTCTTCTCTATTGTCCCTCTCTTTCTTAAAACCCTAATTCAACCCATATTTATACCTAAATGTCTTCCGCTCACTCCCGGGATCAACTCCCTTAAATCAAAGTTCCCTCATAATAAATAGCTTGCTATCTATTTTAGCTACGTATGAACAAAGCCAAAACTTGTGCTTAATGTTTATGTATTGCGTTTTGTGTGTGTAAGTATGGAGTAATGTGACAAAAGAAAGGGCACACTGCAATTCTTGACTGGGAATTACAATACAAATAGTAGTTGGCATGTTTGTTCCTTTGACTTGTTGTCTTCATTAATGAAGATGGATAGGGCTATAGGATACTAAAGTACAATAGCTCATGTTGCTCATGTTTCATGTCAATTTAGGTCCCCGTAGGTTTAGTTTTGTTTCAATTATACCATATGAACTTGTCATTGTAGTCACTATACTTTTAATTCTTTCAATTAAGTCCTTGTATTTTTTAATTTCATTTTTAGGGTTCTCAATTGCTCCAACTATATCTTTAATTTCTTCGATTTAGTTCTATTTTTATTCAATCATGTAATTAATTTTTTTTTTGTATTTTATATCTTTATATTTTTTTATTCCTTTTCTTTTTTTTTAATAAAATAAAAATAAAATGAATAAAATTGGGAAAAAATATATAACTCAAAATTTAGGTTATGACAAGGAATTCTGGATAAAGCATCTGCTATTATATTTTTCTTGCCTTTCTTGTACACAATCTCATAATCAAAAGGTATCAATTTAGCAAGCCACATTTGCCAAAGTGAGGTGTTCACATGTTGATCCATAAAATACTTTAGAGGTTTGAGGCCATTTCGATTTTGAAATGCTTTCCCAAAAGATAATACCGTCGCAAACAATATTGAACCATCTCTCTCTCTCTCTCTCTCTCATGTACCGAAAGTATCTTATGTTTAAAAGAAAAGGTTTTACTTACATAAGCCAAAGAATGGCCACCTTGTAAAAGCATTGCTCCCTTACTAGTGTTTGATGCATCGGTCTCTACAATGACTTTGTGGGAAAAGTTCGAGTAAAGCCAAACTAGTGCCGTAGTAAGGGCTTGCTTCAATTGATTAAAGGCTTAGTCTATAGCAGGAGACCAAGTAAACCCTTCCTTCACGATGCACTACACCAAAATAAGACCGTAGCGGCAAAATGTTTAGGGCGGTCAAGAAAACCGCCCTAAAATTTAATAGTTTTTAAACTACTTCGTTATAACATAAAAAAATATGTGAGGTGGTTGATAAAACCGCCCCACCCCACGTTTTAAGCTAGGGCGCTCGCACTTCTTTTATTCATCTTTCTATTTTAAGTTTCGAAAAGAAACGAAGCGAGAAAGCCACCGCACCGGCCTTTCACAAACTTCATCGACATCATCAACTAACAATTCTTCCTCCTTACCTTCTTCTTTTAAAAAACCACCCATTATTGTCTTCAATTTCCCAAACACCAAAAATGAACCCGGATCTACCCACCCTCACAAATCTACCATCGTTACTCTCTCTACCCCTTCTCGCCCACCTCAATCTTCATCTCTTCCCGGTAATGTTCCTAAAAATTCTTCCTCCTTACCTTCTTCTTTTAAAAAACCACTCATTATTCTCTCCAATTTCGAAACACCAAAAACGAACCTAGATCACCCACACTCACAAATCTACCGTCGTTCTTCTTCCTACCCTTCTCGCCCACCTCAATCTTCATCTCTTCCCGGTAATGTTCCTTTCATTTCAGCATATAGGGTTTTCGATTTATTTTCATTTTTATCAATCAATTAATTACACCTATAAATAATGACAAGTCTTTATTGGGTTTTTACTCCTTTTTGGTCTACTATGTGTTGGTGTGATTTTAGATTTATGGGTTTTTGTTATTTTATTAACTTTAGCCCATGAATGATGTTGTCCTCTCGTTGGGTTCTTACCCTTTTGTTTATATATGGTTGTTGGGTATTTAAATTTTATTTGATTCTTGCTAAAACTAATGTGAGTTTCTCTACTTGAGATTAGCTATGTGTATCAATTTATTTCTTTCATGGATTTCTTTGTCTTTAATCTTTAATCTCTACAATGTGGGTTTATTGAGCATTTAGTGTATATAATATTGAAAATTGAGGTGGAAACATCCTTTTTTTGCTTGAATTAGATATGTTCGCCGGATTCAATATTGTTTTCTTAGATGCACTTGTAAGCTTTCTTGGATGTGTAGACTCGTAGACCTCCAATATTATTTGATGGTAAGGTGAATCAAACCCAATTTACCAAATTCAAGTTGTTCGGTTTTCGATCAAAGCCAACACCAAGTTCATCTTTCTCTAGAATTCACAAGAAAACACCTTCGAAATCCAAGCTTTTCACAACTCGTATCATCATCACCATTCTCTCGCTTCGACAGAGTCCACGGAACCAATCTGAACCGAGAAAATGAAGGAGAGAAGTTTGACTGGTATGCGAGTGGTATCCGAGTCATGCCAATTTGTGATTTGGACAAGAGGGTGCCACATGCAAAAAGGGTGATGGGTCTTGATATTGTGGTGTGGTGGGATATAAATGAGACTACATGGAAAGTCTTTAATGATTCTTGTCCCGATGGGTCGACTCCATTATCCGAGGGAAGAATTGATCAATGGGGAAGGTTGCGGTGTGTATACCATGGTTGGTGCTTCAATGGTTTGGTGATTGCAAATTCATCCTTCAAGTACCACCGGATGGTCCTCGGGTAATAGTCCAAAATGTTAGTCGCTATTGAACTTAGATTAAAATTTTCCATTATGCCTCGTGTTTTCTTATTTCCCTTTTGCTATATTTATCATCTTATTCCCAATGTGTTTAATTATGTCACTCGCTATCCTTGGCTCCTCCATTGTTACTCCTCCGACGAGCCCCTCCTTCACTCCTCACCACCACCAACACTCACCAAAACCCAAAACCCATCACCCCACACTCTCTATGCTTCCTCCAAACTAACCCCCGCTGTCCATTCCTCGCTCTTCTCCTCTCCTCTCCACCATCCCATTTTGCCAAAACCAAAACTCCTCCTTCGTCCTCAATTACTATGCCAACCTTGCTTCAAAGCCGGCCGAGGATGGCCGTCTCCAAGACTTTGTGATGATTGCGAGTCGGTGATTGCTTCGAGTGTTGAGGCTTCAAGTTTTGTTCGTCGCATTAAGTGCGAGTCCTGTGACAAAGGGTATTTCAAAGAATCTTTAACAAGGAAATGTAGATCGTGTTGTTCAATTTTTGAAGAAAGCCGAGAATCCGGGAGTTTCCACTTTTAACTTTCTTGATGGCGTTGCTATTGATTTGCTTAAAAAGAGTGTCTCGGGATTGTGAATTTTGGTGATGTGGAGCAAGTTGTAGGCACAATGGAGACTCTTACTCGGTAAATTTCTTCAATTACCAATATCGATAAGAAACTTTAAATTTTCTTTGATGGGCAGTTTATATTTTAAGATTGATTTCATAATTCAGCTTTAGTTAATAGTTACGGTGTTATAATTAAGAAGCTTTGCATTGTATATGTAACTAATATTTTGTGGTCGGTCGTGGTTTTGCTTCTCCTTCAAAGAACTAGTGGACCCATCCTACATTATTAAAATCTGTGTTGACAAACATAATCCGAAGATGGCAGGTGCGGTATGACCACTCTTTGCAAAATTTTATTGGTTTGATTTTTATTACAAATCGATAAAACACGTTTGTTGCATTGAATCTTTGTACATTTTTTATTTATGTTATAATATATCATCGATGCTATAAACACGGGTGTTACACAATGCGAGTATGCAGCCATGTTTCCGAGTGAAGAATGCATATTCTTTTGCAACATTATAAGTGAATTTGGAAGAAAAAGGGACTCGGATTCTGCTTTGGTTGCATATAATGAAGCTAAGCATAAATTGAATGTTCCTAATATGTATTTACATCGTACCATAATCGATGTCTATGGTCTCTGTGGTGACTACATGAAATCTAGGTATATTTATGAGGTAATTGATTTGACTACCTTCACCTGCTAAAGTTCTTTGGATTTGCTTATGAGCTTCATTTATTTTATATGTCTCACTTCGGTTTAATATGCATATCGACATTAAATAGTCTATCTATTCCATGATCATGTTTTTGTGGCAATACCTAGCTACTTTGTTTGCATCTATTTCTTCCTTTCAATTGAATTGAGTGTTGAGCCCTAGATTATTTAGCTAGGGTTGCAAGAAAACAAAGAAAAAAATGAGTTGGCGAAATATGACCCATTTCTATCGGAAGAATTAGTATCAAACTATTCAAGTGTGTACAAGAATATGCAAGTAACTCTCACTCACTCCCCCTTCCTCTCTCTCTCAAACACATACACACACATACAATGCATGCATGCATACCCACACATACAAAAATTTTCTAGGGTAATCTTTTTGAGAAGCTTCGTATGGGTAATCCGGAGTGCAAAGATGAGGTTATAGTGGATTTATTTACCTGGAATAAGATATTTCACATTGCCATTTCTTGTCGGGTATTGTGTGATTTATCTTATTCTACTTACACTTTCAATTGTGTTAGGATCTCTCTCTAATAAAAATTTCGATTGTTTCAAATTCAATTGTTCTTTTACTTTCAATTGTTCTTTTACTTTTCAATGTCCGGAGACAATCGAATGACGACTCCTAAGGTAAATTTTGATCCGGTCATTAGTAATGTTTTACCCGTAAATCTTTTTATGTGTTGAAGCATGCACCCAACTTTCGGGTCACTCGGCTTGATTCGTTAATGTGTTGGCGGCTATCCCATGTGTTTCCATAACGGACATCCTACCATGATAAGATGAGCATCGGTTACAAGGATGTTGTACTATTACTTATTCATCAATTGCTTTGTTGCGGGGAATTGCTAATCGAGTTTGTCTTGGTCTTCTTCCAACAAGTGAAGGCGGTTAGGCTACTGCTTATTAGGGCATTAAAGTTTAGTTCAAGTCTACTCGAATCGCTTAGATCACTTTTAATTGTTTCACTTTTATTTGTATCCGATTTTGAGTTTTAATGATGTGTTGAGCGGGGCTAAAGCGAAACCGGTTTATACTTGTGAATGGAATCCCTATGTCTGTTGAGGCACCGAGACATAATCTTGAAGCAAATTCCGTCAACATTAGCCATTTATTTTAAAACATATTGGGAAATTTTTTTATGTATTTCGAACAACTCGTTTAATCCTTTTTTTTCCCTCCTTGTGGATGCTTGAAGATTTTTTATGTATTTAGAATTTGATAATTACAAATTTAATAATATTGGATAATCTATATAATTTTTCTTTTATTTGCATTATATTTTTAAACTTTGGGGCGGTTACAACCGCCCCAAACATTTCAAAATTGGCAAAATTGTAGAGGCGGTTTTGAACCGCCTCAAATTACACCCAAACAGACCGAGAGAGGCATTGTAGAGGCGGTTTGAAACCGCCTCTACAAATTCTTTGAGGCGGTTGTAACTACCGCAAGGAACCGCCCCAAAATTCCGCGGCGGTTGGCAAAACCGCCTTTACACCCTAGAGACAGCGGCATTGTAGGCGGTTTTGAGGCGGTCCTTAAAACCGCCTCTACAATCTGTAGAGGCGGTTATAACCGCCTCTAGAGGACAAAAAACCGCTTGCAATGCCTTTTTTTGGTGTAGTGGTGAGTGGTTGATTGAGATAAGTAAAACCCTTGACAAATCTTCTTTAGTAACTAGCTAACCCCAAGAACCCTTTGAGCTACTTAATGTTAATAGGAACAGGCCAGTTAAAAACTCCCTTAACCTCTTTGGATAAATAGAAACTCCCTCACTCAAAATAAAATGACCCAAGTATTCTACCTTGGTAGCAGCAAATACACACTTGCATGCTTGGCATACGTTATGCTGATGATGTCCCATTCGACATTATTACAAAGCATCTTATAGCATCTCGTACACTTGCTTATAAGCAAATTATACGGATCATTGAAAAACATTACAAGATTTTATTTAAGGTATTCCATGACCACACAGTAGTATGCATCGCAACTGAGTTGAAAATCCGAGAACCCAGCAGTCTGGCCTAGCGCTTTGAACTCTCTTTCTGTCCTCTGCTTTTCTCCAAACAAAATATACAAATGTCCACGTTAGCAACAAACTTCGAGGCAATGCTTGTCTCTGGAGCTTCCAGTGCAATCAAGCTTAACACGATCACCTTTCCATTTTTGGGCAGAGCGTTGCAGCAATTTGTAAGGAGCTTTAAACAATGTTCATCATCCCAGTTATGAAGTATGTTCTGTTAGTATATACAAATACAAAAAATATAAGTGCATGTCGTGCAAAATTTTAACTTGTTCAAAGGAGATCTAATAATGGATTTTATAACATATAAATTTATTCAACATGAAAAATGTTATATTTGATTTTTGAGAACAGAAAAGATATTGAAAGAAGGAAAAAACTTGAAAACATTAAGTCTTTTAATCCTAAAGTAATCAAAAGATGAATTTTAAAAAAGACTCTTAATCCTGAAGTAATCAAAAGAAGGAAAAACTAGAAAACATTAAAAGACTCTTAATCCTAAAGTGAAATCAAATAAAAATTCAATGAATTTTGTACCAAAATAAAATCAAATGAAATTACAAATAATAAAAAAAGTGATTAGAACTAATAGTAATTTGGTGGGTGGTTCATTTTGACTCGACATATACCCACCGCTTCTTTGATTTAACACTTTTTGTAAAACACTTCCTCAATAAAAATAAAAATATCTACGTCAATTTTTTTTTTTTAACTACTTCTAACATTTAAGAAAAAAAAAGCAAAAAAAGAAAAGAAAAAGATAACTAGTATTATATATTTTTAGAAAATTTTTAAATTACAACTAATTCTATATTATTTAAATAATTTGTTTATTCTTAAATTATCTGAAAAAACCATTAATTAAGTAGAAATCAAGAGTAGTAAAGATTTTTTTTTTTATTATTTCTTGAATGCAAACACTAAGTTCTTTATTTTTACAATAAATGAATAATTATGCATTGCACTAGTATTTTATGCAAAAGAATAAAAAAGAAGCATTTAAATTTTTCAAATAATATGAGATTGGTTGTAATTTTAATTTTTTTTTAAAAAAACATGTAACATCAATTACCTTTTGATTGTTAATTTTTTACTTAGATGTTTGAGATAGTTAAAAAAGTTTGAAACATACAATTTTATTAAGCAAATATTTAAAAGAAAGTATTGCTAGCATCTTTCATATATATATATATATATACACACACACAAAACTAACATCTATAATAGATTGATTTTAAAACTCAGCTAACTCAAGATAAAAAGTCCAATTAATAAAAAGAGATTGATTGATCTACCCTTTTTGCTGATTAATTTCAAGAAAAAAGGACACGGTCAAATATCGAACTCTTGACAATTTTATCAAAAAAAATGTTGAATACAATATAAAAAACCATCCAAACTAAAAATTTTGATGGTCATCATGAAAATGAAAATCGGTTTTCCATTCATTTAGTTATTCTCTTATTGAGCCTAAAATATCGAAAACAAAGAGACTATATATTGCAGCCTTTCGTATTTATTCAAATTAATATGCAAACCTTCATCATAATGCATCGGCATTTGGTATGGTTAAGAACATATCTCCTTCGATGTTATTAATTCCTGCATAAAATTCAACTCAATCATTAAAAAGCAAACAAATTTGCCATATTTAGTGCCGCCTTTCCATTAATTAACAGAAGAAAGCAAGGATATTGTAAATTCAACTAGAGAATTGATAAATAACATGTTGCTCATCAGTACCGGAATAGATTGGTGCATTTTGTATGACAAGAGGTAAATCAAAGTTAAGGATATTTGGAAACGATCATGTTCAGGCTAGCACCAGTCCCACCTCCAACATCAACCAAAGATGTCGATCCCTCAAATCCTTTGTAGGTATGAAGCACTTTTTTCATGGTGGTTCTGGAAGTATTAGCCATTGCCTTGTCAAATTCCATGCTTAGTGCTCGATTTTTGTTCAAGTACTCATAAAAATGCATCCCGAACTATGTGTTTCAAATCAAACCTGTGAAGAACTATGTGTTTCAAATCAAACCTGTGAAGAATGATGGAGGAAGTTTGTGAAAATGATCAGAGGATGCCGCATAAAAGAGAATCTTAAAACAATTTCGTTTTGAAGTTGAGTTTGCATACTGGACCGCCTGCCTAAAGACACCTATGACTTAAGACAATGAAGCGTGGATCGATCTGCCATCTCCTTTGGCATTGCTAACAAAATATAAGCCAAGTTGCACAGAAGCTACCAAGACATCGTGTAATGAGGTACTTGAGTGTAATAAGAGGCATGAGCAAATGCTTCCTCCTCTTGGTTGATGGAGGGTGTATTCTTCTGCTTTGAAATTGAACTCATTTATGTTCTTTTTCTTGAGCTCGTTATAGTTAGTTTGCCTCATGCTCTGAACGTGGGTGCTTTCTCGCTTGCTGAGTGATGCATATATATATATATATATATAGAGAGAGAGAGAGAGAGAGATAGACGCATGCCGAAAAATTTTATAATACTTAAAAGAAGTAATTAGTGGTATATACAATAGTTATTTCATAGATTTACCTAAAAGAGAGAGATAGACATTAAAAAAAAAAAAAAGAAATAAGAGAGAAAATTTAAAAAATTGAGTCAACGTGGAAATCTTCTTATCATTTTTTATAAGTATAGATATATTGTTATATATCTATCTCTCTCCTCTAAGTAGATTTATAAAATAACTATTATACATGTAATTAGTTACTTTTTGAGTATTATAAAAAAAATTTATATATGCCAACTCACACATATTCAAACGTGTGACGTTACGAGTCAACTTATATTAATGTTTTTTTTTCTTAAAAAAAAAAGAATTAATAGAACTATTTTTTATATAAAAAAAATTAACGAAAACCATTTATCGGATCCCTTTTAAATTAACTTTTACAGTATTCACAGTATTCAAAGAACTAGCAAAATAATATAAGAATAAGATTCTTAATTAATAAATATATATGGAATTAGAATATTCTTCAAAGTTAATAATAATAATAATAATTAAAATAAAGATAAAAATTTTATTTTTTTATTCTTTTTTATTTTCCATTTATGATCCCCGATTTTTTATTAATTTTTATCTTTTTAAAAGAAGATGAGAGACACATGTCTTCAATTTGTTACAGTTTAAGATTTCAACAAAAAGAATTCAAGATTGAAATGCAATTTCTAAAATTAATAATTTCAAAGATTACAATTGATTTTTAGAAATTAAGTTTAAAAGAATTGCAAATCTACGAATTTGTATTAAGAAAACAGAATTATAAGAATTATTCAACAGAGATAAATTACAAAGAAGAAACTAGAAAAGAACCAGAGATAAATGTCAGTTTTTGCTATAATGCCCTCAATAACGTTCATCACGTACCATTCATGCTCTTCATTTTATTTTCCCCACGTGCCTTCTCTCTAAACGGGCGAGCCACAGTTCAATTTAGTCCTCCAATCCTAGAGATCCCTGCAACGTCTCCAATTCCAGCAACTGCATCATAGTTTTCTATTTGTTCCAATTTCAAGAGAAAAGAAAAATTATTAAAAATTATGAAAATGATAAAAAATTTTGCAAAATTTTTATTTAATTAACGATTGAAATTATTTTCAAGTTTTTTTAATGGTAATTTTTTTACTTTATTTTAAATATAAAAAATTTAGTTAATTTTTTTTTATTAATTTATGCTGGATTTTTTATTTTTTCTTATTTTTCCTAGTTTATTTTTTATTTTATTTTCAAAATCCAAAGAAAAATGTTAAGAAATAAATTAATCATATGTAAAAATTATAAAATCTTGAACAGAAAATCAAAACTTTGATGAAAAATTAAATTGGAAAATCATGCCTATGAAAAAATACACAAACTGAATCAAGTGCCTTTCATCAATAAATTCATTATTTTATCCTTAATCAATGAAGTAAAAAATAAAAATAAAAATAACTTGTCACTTTAAAAAAAAAAATTAATATTTTTCTTTATTAAATAAATAAACAACTAGTTCAAATTTTTTGAAAACTTTAAAAAAATAATAACAAATTCAGCTTAAATTAACGAAAACTATAAAAATAAAATAAAAAATAACAAACTGTGGTGATGAAGTTTTTGACTGCCAATGTTTGTCCGATGATATAGACGAGGAGTTACAAGAAGTAAGAAATCAAGTTAGAAAAGCATGGGACATAAATAATGGTTTAAATTTGGAGGGAATTGAGATTGAAATTTTGGATGGAAATGAGGGTGAAAATTTAGAAAAAAAATCAGGATGTTGATTTGAAGGGAGATGAGGGTCAAAATTTGGATATGCTAACCACTTTATATTTTATGTTAATTTTTTTTTAAAAAAGGCCTAGTACTTGAGGTTACCTACTAAAGTTTGTGTTTTAGGTGCAATTAAATGCTAGCTGTTATGTGCGAACCATTTTATATTTTATGTTTAGGCAATCTAGCTACATATTCAAATTTCTGCTCCTGATTCATTGATCTACTAGGCTAACAATTAATTAACTGTAACTTTTTTTTTTTTGATAATTTAGGGTGTTCGAATCAACTTGCGCGCACCTCGATTAATTTCTCGGACTTACCGAATACCCCGCAAGCCCAGGTGAGCGGATAAGACACCGCGGAGGTGACGGGCGTGCGTATAGGAATCGAACCCGAGTGTCATCGGTGAGCAACCCCGAACCTCATCACCGGATTACGACCTCAAGCGCTTAATTAGCTGTATTTTACTATGCTTGCATTTTGCCTCCCTATAATATTTTGTTTTGTCGAACTAATTCAAAATAAATAAATCCTAGGTTTTATAGCCTATGGGCTGTAAAAGATAGAGCTAATGAAAGAAGGAGAAGTGCAATGAATGTATATATGGAGATCTGTGAAATTCGGAACATAAAGTCAGCGATAGGCCATGAAGTTTTGTTTCACTGAAGAGTTTAGCACCCCGTTATTTATTTATTTGTTTGTTTGTTTGAATTAGCTCACACTAATTTGTTGCTCGTGATACGTTGTGGATTACATCAGATAGAATCAAATTATTTCAATTTTATATCTTATAATATATTATAGATCTATTAAAATATATCAAATTAAAGATAAAATTTTTTTAAAATAAAATCTAATAACTTTTCAATCAAAATCTTACATTTAATGAATTATTTCTAATATTTTCCATAAATTTCACCTGAAAATTTTTTATACATATTGATTCTTAAATAAGAACCTATAATACTTTAAATAGAAGATTGAATAAAAAAAAATGTTAATATATCTTTTTCATAAGATTGTATAAAAAACATAAAAAAAAATTTAATATAAAAAATTATGTAAATATTTTTTTATTCTTATTTAATACTGATGAAAAGATTATATTTTTTTAAACACGTATTTTTAATTTATAGATACTTTAAATCACAAAATAATCAATAATATAGCATTAAAAATTATATTTCAATCATTGGTTAGTTCTTTTGAAATATTATTTTATTCAAAAGAAACTAAGGGGGTGTTTGATAAAACTTAAAATTAAGCGTTGAATCCGTTAAGTATTGAATTTTAAGTACCTGTATAATTAAGTACCGAATATATGCTTGACAAGTTATTTGTTGTTTACTGAAAATTAAGTCTTGAATATAATAATTTTATTGGATAAGTACTCGTTACTCGAACATTTTAAGATTATATACACAACAATTTTAACATTATAATTATAACATGATATTTTTTTAATACAAATAAAAATATATACGTAGATGTGTTTATGTGTACAAATAAATAAATAAAAATTTAATAAAAAAATAAAAACGGTATAACATAATATTAATTGATGTTTTAGATTCCAAATGATAGCATCAATAATGAAAAAGGTTTCCTCTATTTTTGCAAATGGGCTAGGAACGGAAAAAAGACAGGTGGCAAGCCTGACTCTCCAGCACAGGATGGTTCCACTTACAAGCCTGCTGCTACTGCTAATGGTTTTGCTGCAGACAAGCTACTCATGCAGAATAACAAAGTGGCTCTTACATTATAAGGGCACTCATGGAAAGATATTATTTATCTACGCCTCGCCCCAGCATATAATCCAGAAGACTGGAGCTGTATTCAGAAGCTATGATGGGTCTGCTGAAATCCACCTGTGGTGACTTGAGCTTTAATGATATGAGGGCTTGGGGATGCTACGTAAGAACAATTTTATTTTCTGTTTACGCAGACTGGTGGGTAATTATTGAGGTTTCTACTTATCTGCCTCATTCAATATGTCCCATTGGGTAACAATGTTGTGGCATTTTATGTTTTATTTGGAGTGATTTGATTTTCTTGTGTGTAAAAAAGAAAAAAAAGTTTTAAAAACATATAAGAGTCATATAATCATATTTGAAAAGTTTTAAAAATCTTTCAATTACGTATTAATAAAAAAATAATAAGTTAAAAACTTTAACTTATCCGATTAAGTAGATTTTGACTTAATTTAAATTTTTAATATGAGATTGTTTAGATTATCAAACAAACTTTTTATATTAAGTACTACAACTTAATTTTTTAAGCTACTCAAATATGTTATCAAACACCTCCTAAATTTAAAATATACAAAAGAAAAAATAGTAAATATTTGTTTTATGTTTGTAGATGCATAGTTAATTTCTAACAAAACTAATGATCTAATTTTTTTTAATTCATCATGACTATACTCAATAGGTTCAAAATGTGCAGTATATATATATATAAGAAATACATTAAATGAATTTGAAGTTAATAGACTGAAATAAAAATTGTTATAAAATTGACTTAAATCATTTTCATTGCCTAAAGAGGAAGCAAATAACACAATAAAATCAATTTTTAAATTGATTATTTTAAAAAACTTGATTTAAGACAAAGTATTTGAAGTGTGTATATATATATCATGTAACAATCATAGATTATAAATTGTTAAAAACAATGAATTAATGAAAATTGTGAATGATGAATTGACAATTAAAATAAAATGTAAATGGATTGAAAAGTAAGAAAACAAAGTAATTAAAACATAAAACGAGCAGTAGAGCTGACTACAATTAAAGCAATGTAAATGAAATTAAAACGGAAAGCAGAGTCGGCCAAAGATTAATGTAAACATAAACTATAAAATAACAAATTTAAAACATATGAGCGGCGGAACTAGCTAAGAATTAATGTAAATAAAAGTTTATCGTACATGTAAAACAATAAAGCTTATCTGAAATACTTACATAAAAATTGTATATACTTTGATCATAATGAGAGCTATAAGCTTTGGTTTTGTAAGATGGTTGGGCGGTTGCTCAACACATGAGCTTTCAATAGATCTAAAAGAAAAGAGGAATATCCAGAGAGCATTTAGCTTTCTATCATCTTGCATGCTGAAAGCCTAAACTTGATAGTAGTGGACTTTAATGGCATAAAGGCTCCGGCTTTAATGGGGTCAGCATTCGAATACTCAAAAGCCTACATTTGTTTGGCCTCTTCCAAGCCATCAATCTCCATCACAGCCGGTAGTTATTCCGGGGCATTGATAGTAGTTTTGCTTAGCTCCATTGCATCCGCTAAACGCCGAACTCTCGATGCCACAGCTAACCTTGCATGCATCCTGAAGGGTCTCTGAGCCATGAGCTTTTGGGAGTGGTCGGACAGGCTGGATCAGAGGGTCTTGATTTCGATTGCCGTCTGGCATATATTCTGGTTGTTCCGAACATGAATCTTTTCCATCAGTTTCCCTTACATCTTCTGAACTTGGCGAGAGGAATGTAGCAGAATCATCAGCAATGACTTTCTGATTGTTCAAGTTTAAATCTAAAAAATATATTTTTATTTTATCAATCTTTCCGTAATATTTTTTTTTCTTTTTTCTAAAACAAAACAAAAAAAAATGCAAATTAGGAAAGAATGAAAAATGAACAAAAAAAAATAAAATTACTGAATAATTATTTTTTAAAAATTCACGAAATTAATTAATTTGTTTATCAAAATAAAAAAAATTAATTTATAATTAACAAAACAACTAAAAAAAGTGAGGAAAATCAGCAGTGGTTTTCATTGATGTAAAGTATCCTTAAATAGATAAAAACTTTCAAATGAAAACTAAAAAATCTTCTAAACTTTAAGAACATGCAGCATGGCTACTAAATTTTAGAAACATGGAACCTGACTAACAGCTCCTGAGAAATGACATTCAACACTCCCCCTTGGTTTTGAAGCGGCAAACTCCAAACCTCTACCGCAAAAACTATATTAACCCGTCCTATGATATTTAAGTTAGTAATTGAAAAAAACAATTCCGGCAGCATATTAAACCGAGACAGCTTGTTGTCCCTTGTATTTTTCTTTCTTCTTCCCCTCTCCTTCTCACGCAACTCTCCCTAATTTCCTCCGACTAGATTTTCTGTTTGATATTGTTATGTTTTGATGTGTTTTAATATTAGCAAAAATATTGTTTAATAATTGGATATATTTTATTTTTTAAATTTATATTTTTATGTTATTAGGATCGCAATACACAACAAAAAGGAAAAAAAATTCCACAAAATAGTAGTGGGCTTGATTGATTTTTTATTTTTTAAGAATGATGTTTAATTACATCTATTTAAAAAATAATTATAATTCTTAATTTTTTAATAATGATGTTTAATTAAATACGAACATTCATTATAAAAATAAATAAGATAATTCAATTTTTAATGTTTGTTGGTATATTTAATTCAAATAAAATAAAAATTTTATCTTAAATTTTAAGATTCAATTTCTAATAATATTCTTCTTTATAAATATTTTAAACTCTTAATTCAAATTAAAAAAATAAACCTTACCTAATTTAACCTTCTACTATTACTTTTAACAAAACTTTAACTCAAACAAATATTACAGTAAAATATCTTTTGTTATAATCAAATTAATTTGGATTTGAAAGCATAACAATAACAAACAAATACCTACTCAGGTTTTGTTTTGGATGCAAGTTCCGGATTCAATTTCCAAGATGAAGAGAATTTCATGTTTTATGCACGAAATTTCTGTGTAGTTCTTTTTCACTACAGAGTTGTCATAATCCACTTCTAATCCCTTTGAAAATTACGAAAAAAAAAAAAGCTTTTGCATGGTGCATAGTTTTCTGATTTTTGCATGATTATTTTTTCAGTGTTTTTTTCAATTTTTTTGGATTTATTGCATGATGTGTATTTTTCCTGAATTTTGAAAATCACATTAAGAGTGATATGGTTGATTTTCCCTGATTTTTGACGTAATTCCACATTTATTAGTTTCGTTTTTATTAAAAAAAAGATTAATTAATTTAGATCTAATTGAATTAAACTAAAAAGAAAGAGGATAGAAATTGAGGAAACTACGATGTAATTGAATGCAGATGTTGGACAGCGTGTCAGTATAATTGAAGCAAAAACCAAAGAAAGTCTGCTTGCAACAATTTTAACAACAATGTTATCTTCGAAGCGAACCTCACGTGCATGGAAATTCTATATCCACAAATTAATTTCAACCAAGTCGAAATTGATAAGATACATTACATGTTCAGAAATTTTAATTATTATTTTAAACAGAATTTTTTATATAATTATTAACATCTTTTTAGGATTAGAAATATCAAAGGATCCTAAATTAAAAAGAAGGATATGTATTTTTAAAAAAATTGATAATATTAAAAAAAAATCAACATCTTTGCGATTAGAAATCATGGAATAAATACTTAATCAAACACTAATGAAATGCACAACTTAGTTAGCATCTTTTGAATTAAAAACCATTAATCTGATTTTTGATAAAATACTAATATTAATTTTTATAATCTTTATATTATCAATTGAAAAAAAAATGTCTAAATATTTCAGAAAAAAACCTAGAGATTATAAATAAAAAAAAGGATTTAATAATATATATGATATATTGCACTATAAGTACTTTAAATTTTAATTTTTTTCTGGATCGAGTATATGAATTTTAAGTTTTTATTTTTTTTAGTATGTCTTTTTAAAATTATCAATCAAGCATTTCTAATAAATTTTTTGCTAACTGATGACATTACCCTAGTAATACCAAATTAAAAATTTGCCTTTTTTTCTCAATTGAGTACACGAATTATAAATTTTTTTTTTTTTTTGTATGAGTATATCAACTTGTTCAAAGCTGTAAAGCAAGTAAACAAGTCAATGTCTTTGTTAACATGATGTGTTCGGATGTCAAATTATATTTTTTCTCTTTTTGTTGCAAGAAATTTTTCTCTCAAATTATTATACTATTTTTAAATTTGAAAAAGAATTAAAAAAGGTTATTTAATTTTTTAATTATAAAATCTCAAACTAAACTTAGTTAAACATGCTATTAACAAAAAAACTCAATTAAGTTTTGGATGTGAAAATTGAAGAAAACACAAATGTGAGATTTTTTTATAAAGAAAATTCATTTGTGCTTTTTTAGGTTAGGAGGAAAACACAAACTTTCAATCAAATACTTGAAATCTTGGGGGATCCTTTTTTTTTTTTTATGCTTTGTGGTTGCTGTCATTGTGAATAGTTTCTTAAATTCTTGGGGGACTTACTAATTAATGGATTACGAAACGACAAGAACTATTAAATTATTTCTCATATGCGAGGGCCTGATTAACTAATGAAGAATCACTGGAAGGACTAATTAGTTAATGAAATAGGAATCTAAAAAGACTATTAAATGATTTATAAAGCACTGTTGAATAATAATTTATCCTTTTTCTATGGTTTATATCGATTTTCAATCAATTATATTTTTATTTCAAACGACTATAATTTTTAGACATGTCACAGAATCTAATTCTTTCTTTTTTTCCATTAGTTTAAGTACATCATTGTTGCTTACTAATTTTGTAAACAGACCTGCAACAATGCATAGATTCGTTAACTAGTGATCTCCATTCATCTTCTCGTATTTAATTATACAAAAAAATATTTATTTAGTGACTATTGTCAAGCCAACAATTATTGAAGTCTACTGATAGCATTGGCAACCTATTTAGTATCTAGCGTTGATTAAAGACTTAAATTCTACTGATTTAACTCTTAATTATTCTACATATCTTGAACTCTAGTATACCTTGCAATTAAAACCCTAGTTATACTATATTTTGTGAAATTTTTGTTATTTTTTTTAAATGAAAGTCGATGATTTATTGAGAAGAGAGTGCCAGTAGAGAGATGGCCCTCGAGAAAACAACATCACGATGAAAAAAAAAAAATAAAATAAAAATTAAGGCCATGCAATCAACTCTTTGTATCTAGTTAGACTCATCTCAACAAGACTATTCGATATCGATTTCCCTTCTTTTTTTTATATGCATAAAATTGACACGGCCTAACTTATGCATTAAAACAAAAATACAATAAAAAATACTGCAACCTCTAGAAACTTGAATTTGCTTTTGGATTGTAAAAGTAGATCGAAACTCAAGAACATAAATGAGTTTTTTTGAATTTGATTTGGTTTTTTTGAGTAATTTTGGTTGATAAAACGTGTTTTTAAAGTTGGAAATGGGTCTTTATGAATTTTGAAATTATTTTTGAGGAATTTAATGTGAAAAATAACGAATAAAATGGTCTTAGAGGTCAAAATCAGCATTCTCGAGTAATTACAATGGACAACGCATTGTACTATGTTTCTTTTTTAAAGACACCTTTTCCTCGCCTTAATGCCTACTGTTAAGCCAACAATTATTAATGCCTATTGATAGCACAGTGTTAATCAAACAATTTAATACTATTGATTTGACTTTTTAACTATCGTACGTATCTTGAAGTTTAGATTACCTTGCAATTAAAACCATAGTCATCTGGATCATGACTATATTTTGTAAAATTTTTGTGATGTAATTGCACATATTAATGTTATTGGTTGTTTTTATTTTATGAAAATAGATGATTTATTAAGGATTTATCTTATATTTGGACCATGTATTTAAAAATTTTTTTTAAAAATTTTTTTTATTATTTTTGAAAATTTTTTATTTTATATTTGTTCATGTAACGTCATTAGTCAATGATTAAAATGTAACATTATAAAATAAGAGATTTCGATGTGTCGATCGTTGATTAATGACGTTATAATAAAAAATTTAAAATAAGAAATCTCAAAAAATAAAGATTTCAATCAAATAATAATAATAAAAAAAGGTTTCAATAAAGGAAAACTCAAAAAATACAAAACCGAAATATGGGGAAAAGCTGATTTATTAAGAAGAGAGTGCCACCATGGATATAACCCATAGGAAAACAACATCGCGGTGGATAAAAAATTAAAGCCAAGCAATTAGTTTTTTCTATGTAGTTAAACTCATCTTAACAAGACTATTTGCTTTCGATTATCCTTTCTTTTTGACATGCATAAAACTAACGCTGTCTAACTTATACATTAAAACATAAATACAATTGAAAATATGGTGTAATCTCCATATCTTGAATTTGCATTTGGATTGTAAAAATAGATTAGAACTCCAGAAAATAAATAACTTCTCTGAATTTGATTCAGTTATTTGAGTAATTTTGATTGACTAAAACGCATTTTGAAGTTAGAAATGGGTCTTTATGCGTTTTTGGAATCATCTTTCAAACATTTAATGTTAAAAAATGACGAATAAAATGGGTTTTAAGAGTCAAAATTGGCGTCTTCGAGTTATCACAGGGGACGACGCGTTGTACCATGTTTCTTCTTTATAAAAGCACCTTTCCCTCGTCTAAGGGGCACACGCGTGGGAGAAGTGTCCCACTGCATGACCTCCCTAGCCATTCTTTTTTTCTGGTTTTTAGTACATTTCTAGTTTTTTTCTTCAATTCTCTAAATTAATTTCTATGTTTACACGATCTTACAATATATCTTTTTTGATATTTTGCATGATGTACATCCTTATATTTATTAATGATTTTTGAAGTATTTATGATAACAAATTTTGAAAAGTTTAATATAACACCAAAATTTATTGTGCAAAGAAGTTTGTGTACAAAATATTCTGGGTCTAAAATTTTTCTTCATAAATGAAATATTTTCCTAGAATTAGGACACTTGAATTTCATTAAAATTCAACTATATAAAAAAATTATAGGATGTTAAAGTGAATATCAGGATTGAGACAAATGTAATTAAATCTTGCAATTTTTTCGTGATTTTTTAATCAAAATAAATAAATTAAAAACAGAAGCTTGAATAAATAGTATAATTGTTATCTAATTTGATTTTTAAATCAAGTAAAAAATATCAAGGTAAATAAAGAAAGAATAGAGGTTATAAATATTTTATTTAATCAAAAAAATCATCAATAGAAAAAAAGATTTCATTGCTTTTATCCATGATTTTAGCAATGAAAATTAAAGATTTTTTTTTTCACCAAAATGAGGCGAGAATCATTTAAGGTTTTTTTCTCCGAGTGCATTTTATTTTATTTAATAGAACTTGATTTATCTAAATTATGATTAATTTTACTTCAAGAACTTTAAAAGTTTTCTTATTGGGCTTTACTACTTATCCAACTAGTTAATTCCTATATGGCATATACAAACATATGAAAGTAAAGGAGAAATTTTATGATACACAATGAGTAACCAATGACATGTACAGTAGTTACTCTTTGAATCCATTTTGAGGAGAGAGATAGATACACTAGAAGAGAGAGAAGACAATAGGAGAGAGAAAATAAAAAAATTTAAGCTAACGTGGAAATCTTCTTATCACTTTTGGTGGGTATGGATGTAATTTTCTTATTTTTTTCATGTGTCTATCTCTCTTATCAAAGTGAGTTTAAGGAGTAACTACCGTACATGCCACTATTTACTCCTTGTATATTATAAAATTTTCTAAAGTAAAGAGAGAGACTCAAAAAGAAAAACTCAAATATTGTATGACATTGAATACGTGTCAATATATGATGTGATTGCGAGACGATTGATTAACAATTCTAATTCTGGATTGGATGACAATTTTGAAAGTATATATATATTATTTGACGATAAAAATATTTTCAGATCAATTTGTATATCAATCTAAATTAAATATTTTTTTAAATTATTTTAAAGACATATCTATTTGATCGATATCTTATATTTAAAGAATATTAATAAATTTTTTTAGATAATGAATCAAACATTTAAATTCACAAAGTCGAGAAAAGAAATAAACCGTCTCTTTAACTTGCTTATAACTTATATTAATATAATTTCTAAAACTTATTTTAATGTAGTTTTTAACATATGTTGTTGGGGTTAATTGTCGTGTGTGTCAACTTGTCCATGGACCGAGTTAGGCCGGGTTCAAGCCTACTCTCCCATCAATACTTTCCAAAACATACGTTGTCACGATTAAAGAATTGCCTGGGTTAATGTTTGTAATACCTGTTCAAGAGTCAGGTCGAATCTAAGTCAGGCTTAATGTGTTTTTTTCTTGACCCGAACCTTGGCCAACTTAGCCATTTGGGTCGACATGTGAGTGCGAGCTCTGCTCGAGATGGGCTTTCGACTTTGCTACGTAAAAAAAATAAAGGGTAAAAATTGCGAGGAAGTTTTGTTGACGTTAGTTGTCCAAAATTGTTTTTCTTAACAAACACAACTTTCGCAAGTTCCTCCCCCTTAACTTCTAAGTTTCACCTTTCCTGCAACAAAATAAACTGAAAACACTGTTTAATACATACCGGTATTCAGGGTAAATTTATCATTATTAGTGGTAAAATTAAAATGCCATTTGATATATTTTATTGACTTCATCTCATTTGGATATTTTTTACTTGGCAGTAAATAAAAAATATTTTTAGATTAATTTACATGCCAATCAAAATTAAATTATTTTTAAAAAATAATTTTAAAAATATATTTAGTGAAATACCTGAGTATCCGAACAACATTGCTGTTGACATGGGCTCATGGGCCTATTAATTTAATAAATAAACTAAAAATTAAATGAAGTTTTACAATAGCTAAGTTCTTTTTTAGACTTTTTGTGATATTTTTGTTTTGTTTTCATCATGTGTGATTTTTCTCTCTTTATAGTGCAAAGTTTTTTTTTCCTTGATCTTTATATTGTATTTTTATTTCGATCATTCAAAATTCAAAATTATTCTTATATGTGTTTATTTTTTTTTGTTATATTTAAATTTTTTCTTAAAATATTTTATTGAATTATTAAAAATAAACTCTTTGATTTAAGGTAAATACATTATTTGAATAAATTAGTATGTCTATTTATTTGAATAATTTTTTGATCTTACAAATTTTTTATTCAAACTCTTCTAGTAAAAAGTATTTTTTATTTTTCATTCCTATGAACTAGATTTATTTATAAATTTTGAAATGATCCATTCCTATATATTTTAAACCGTTATATTATCATTATTACCTGAATGAATGGTTAGAATTCTTTATTTTATATAATTAAACATATGAAAAGTTGTGTAATTCACCCAACAAAAAGGCGCAGGAAGCATGCTAGTCACCATTATGAAAAAAAAAAAAAAAAAAAGTTTCGCTCGTACGCAAATCACAATTTTGAGCAGAATCAGCAATAAAGGATTAAAGAAAACCTTAAACGTATGTTAATAAAAGAAAGAAAGGAAAGAAAAAAAGGTTATGTAAATAAAAGCATTTAATGCACATCTCTTCTTTTGATCATAGAAGTGATGTTTGTCACTATCAAAAACACCGAAAACTGCATGCTGATTGCACTCACGCCTCTCTGGCTACGCTGCCATTAATACGCACCAATTTGCCTTGGCTTCAAGCTATTCGTACCGAGAATTCTCAAATGTCTATTCTACCCTCTCAGTTTAACCCAAATTACCACCTATACCCACCCTCAAATCCCTCTCCTCCCACCTGCCATGATCTTGCCACATCATCATCTTACCCACTACCTAAATCCGGATCCCACGTGGCACAATCAGAAACACAGTTACAGGATCATACCCCACAGAAAAGAACAAGGGGTCCCTCCATCTCTCCCTCGTGGCATTTCGTAAATAAACACAAATACACTGTTCCTTTTCAAAAACTGCACCTTCTCCACCTTCCTTCCGAAAGCTAATGCAGTCTCTATTTTGGCACTCTGTCTTTCACACTGTCATTTGCCGCCATTGTAAAGGCTTCAGAATCGAAAGAAAGAAAACCAATTTGGGTGCTTTTAGGGTCAGATAAGACAATGAAGAAGGCAAAGAGAAAACTGGCATACACTTTAATCGATGAAGATGACGATGGTTCACTTTTTTTCTTTCTTTCATTTCTCTCTTCTTTTTTAAAAATGGTTAATGGTTGTTTGTTTTTGGTTTGCAGAGGAAGAAGTGGTAGTGAAGGATAAAAGAACACAAAATGTCAGTGTAGACGACGAAGATGAAGATGGTAGGGTTTATCTATCTGTTGTTAACTTTCTAGAAGGTTTCAGTGTTGTTATGTTTTGCCCTTTGTTGTGTTTTCTCTTTGAAAAGGCAGTGGCTTTCCTTTGAGTTTTGTATTTCTTCTCATTTTTCTTTTGTTGTTTGTTTACAAATGAAGAAGACGACGCCTTTTCTTCAACTTTCTATGTGCTTTGTAACCCGGAAAGATTTTTGAAGAAAGAACTCTCTTTGGGAGTTTGCTTGCGAAGTGATTCTTCTTCTTCTTCAAAAAAGCTCTATCTGTGACCTTTTATTTCGAAACGCCTTTTCATTTTATTTGGTTTGGCCGGTTTTCGAGATAAGCATGAATTTGTGTATTGTATTTCTTTTTGTTTATTTATTATTCCATTTGAAAGATATTTATTAAGAACTTTAAAGATATTTTATTCTCTTTTAGCTGAGGCTCTTGCTTGCTGCCCCCAAAGATGATGCGCATATTTTATTTTATAATGTTTCTTTTTGTTTGGTTGACTGAAGGTTTTCGCTTTCATGTTCTTCTGCCACTTTCTGCTCTCTACAGTAGCACAATGGCACATTGGTGTTTGTTTATTCCTTGTATCGTTATAACTTCCTGCTGCATGACAGTCCCACAGTTGCTTTAGAAAACAGCAATTCCCTTCTCTTACTTGTGCTTTTTGCTTAAAACAAAAGTTGCTGTGAGATGATAGTTATATCATTACCAAATATATGTTAGTTGCTGTATTGTGGTTGCTGCATGTCAGGGTTTGCTGTACTTTTATATTTCACCCTTGTAGTTATAGACCCAGCGTGCATAACTTTTACTGTTTCACCATCAATATCAAATAATATTGGTAATTAGTAATTTTTTTTTAAAAGGCTTTGTCGTTACATCTGTTGTTGAAGCAGATTGAGTTGTTGTGATAATAAAACTGATGTTTGCATTCTTTTTTCTTTATGTAATTGCTGAAATGAAATTGAGCTGTTGGAGATTAATAGAGCTGTCTTTGAAAACGGTGCCTTTTTCTTTTGGGTTATGGTTAATTACTTTACTAATATGCTGTTCTTAATGTATGTTTTTTACACTGATCATCGGAAATGGCTTGTCGGCGACGTGCAGAAGATGGTTTGGATGAGTTTGAAACTGATGGGTTTATCGTGGATTATGACGGGGAAGAAGAGGAAGGTGACCGAGATGGGAAACATGAGCGAAAAAAGAAAAAGAGGAAGAAGTGAATTTATTCCCCTCTTTTTATATTTTGGTGGTGTCGTATAATAAATGTTTCATTTTTTACTCTGTTTTAACTGTTGTGTTCTTTAGGAAATCTTTAAAGAATTTTGTTCTTGACGATGATGATCTTGAGTTGCTCCGAGAGAATCAAATGTCAGGCTCGTTCCAAACAAAGAGAGCTGTGAGGGCCTAGTCTCCTATATTTGATCCTGCTTCACTCTGTGTCCTAGAGAAATGTGAATTTATTTTTCCACATTAAAATGCATTTTCCTCTTGTCAAATGGTGTGATTTTGCTTTCGCTTATTAAGTTTGAACGCTTTTATGTTTTTCTCATGACACTGTTCTTAATACAAATATGCCCCAGGGAAATCAAAAGTTTAAACGACTCAAAAAAGTTCAGGGCAGTGCTCTGGAAAAGGACTCTGGATTGTCTGATGATGATGGTAATCGACCTCACTTTAGATACTTGTCTTTATTTGTTAGTTCAATATCTAGAGAAAGTCTATCTTGTATTGAAGCTTTGATGAACCAATGCACTTTCCATTTTCTAATACTTATCGTGTTTGATTTATTAAAATCCAACTTTCTTTCTTTCTTTATTTTTTTTTTTTGGTAATTTCAGTTTTTTGTTATGCCTCTTACTTTTAATGACTTGGTTTTATTTGATTACTCACGAAATACATTTTCTTGTTTTTAGTATCATTATATAATGATATTGCTGAAGAAGAGGAAGCTACTTATGACGATGAAATGGATGACATGGCAGATTTTATTGTAGATGTTGACGAAAGATACAAGGAAAAAGCTCCCATGAGGTGTATTATGCCCTTCACCAGTTTCTTGAATTACATGTTTTCTTTCATGAGACGTTTAAGTTTGCTCCTGTTTATTTGATTAATTGATATATTGTTTTTTCGAATTTTCATTTTAATTTCTGCGAACTATTGTTGACTTTTATTGTAGGTCGTGGGAGCTGGAAGAAAAGAAGTCAAGGCAAGTAACTGTGGCTTCTTTCTCTGCACTAGAGGAAGGTGGCTATGTATTTGGTGATGCTGATGAACTCCTGAAGCATCAAGATCTGGTTAAGATTGTCAAACCAGATGATTACGACAACTTTGACGTGGACCATTTTATGGCTGAGAGGGAGGATCATGTGAAAAAGACTGATGTGCCCGAGAGGATGCAGGTGATTTTTCCGTTGGTAATAACTTTGCTGGCTAACATTTTAACTCAGTCTTATGAGGTGACCACAAAACTTTGCCTCTCCTTTTTCCCTCTATAGATGTTTGAGGAAATCACTGGGGCTTCTTTAGTTGACGAAATGAGCAGAGAAGATGAGAGTTCCTGGATACTTAATCAGCTTGTCACAGATATGTATCTATTTTTGTGTAAGAACAAAGCTCAGAAAGGAAATGAAAGAGTAGATCTGCTTAAGAAGATTAACAAGGAAGATATCGTGAATTTCTTGGAATTGCATGATTTCGAAAAGTTTGATGTAAGTAATGACAGCATTGTATCAAGCGAATCTTTTGACGTTTCGAACTGCCCTTCTACAATTTATTGCTTTTTTTGTTTCTAGATTCCATTTATTGCTATGTATCGAAAGGAGAAATGCCTTAGTCTGTTGGAAGATCTGGAGGAAAATGGTGTGCAAAACGAATGTAGCAATGAGACAGAGCAAAAACCTGGACTGAAGTGGCATAAGGTACTTTCTATTTCCACGTAACCCTTCATTCCCCAAGTCAGACACACACACACCTCTTCTGTATAAATACGTTGTAAATAGTTGTTTTGATGGAGTTGCTAAATAAATTACTGGTTGCCACACCTGAAGTAGAGGGGATGGGGAATTATAAAGAACAGAATTGACCCGACCAAGGGGGAAAAGAATTAAACCTTCTGAATATGGGAACTGCCCAAACATAGACTGAAATTATTGCCTGTAGTGAAATTATACTATGATTTGCAGATTCTCTGGGCAATCAATGAACTGGACAGAAAGTGGTTGCTTCTCCAGAAACGGAAGAGCACGCTTGAAGGATCCTACAAGAAGCGTTATGAAGAGGAATGCAATAATATTGATGACATGGCAAGGCTTCCTTTGATTGATCTGCACTTTCACAATATCATGAAGTCTCTTATGCTGGCTGAAACAGAGAAGGATATTGATGATATCGGTCTGAAGTTTAGCTTGCATTTTCCTCCAACTGAAGAGGGCATGGAAGGAAAATTTAGGAGACGAGAGAGGAGGTCGGCATACAGTGACTACATTAAAGCTGGTCTATGGGAGCTTGCAGTGAAGTTTGTCTACAGCTCAAAGCAATTTCGTCTGCATCTTAGTCAAGAGAAAATGGTAAGCTTGCTTTGGTCTCAAGAGAGTGATAACGTTCTAAGCTAAATGGCCACTAAACCACTCATTGTGCATGATCTTACCCTTTTACTTTTACTTTATGTTTGAGTTATGGGTGATTATATTCTGTTTGTAGGGAATGGATTTTTGGGAGGATCTTAATGAATCTCCTCGGGTGATAGCTTCAAAGTTTACATGTGCAAGTTTAGAAACTCCAGAAGTTGTGCTTAAAGGCGCCAGGCACATAGTATGCTTTTATTATTTTTATACGATTCTGCTTAAATTCTTTTTGGTAGATTGTTATCATTTGCTAATATTTTTGCTTTGCTTTAGGTTGCACTGGAGATTAGCTGTGTGCCTTCTTTCCGGAAACATGTCCGTGATATTTTTATTAATGAAGCTTTAGTCTCAACCAGACCAACTCCGAAAGGAGACAAGGAAATCGATTTTTGCCATCAGTTTTTGCATTTGAAGTGGCTATGTGATAAGCCCCTTGATAAATTTCAGGATGTGCAGTGGCTTCTTATTCAGAAAGCTGAAGAAGAGAAGCTCCTTGAAGTTACCATAAAATTGCCAGAAGATTCCCTGAATAAGTTGATTAGTTACTCTCACAAAATCTATCTTGCGGGAGTTGATGATGGGTATACCCAACTCTGGGATGAACAACGAAAGTTAATACTTCAGGATGTGTTTTCAAGTTTTCTTCTTCCTTCCTTGGAGAAGGAAACTCGTGCCTTGTTGACCACTAGAGCAAAACGTTTTTTGCTTATGGAATATGGGGTGCAGTTATGGAACAGAGCATCTGTTGCACCATATCCGCACAAGCGAAATGGTGCTGGCCTGGAGGAAGGCACTGGACCAAGGGTTATGGCTTGCTGCTGGGGTCCTGGAAAGCCACCAACTACGTTTGTAATGTTAGATTCTTCTGGACAATTGCTTGACATGTTGCAAGCTGGATCCATTAGTCTGCGTTCTCAGAATGTTACTGACCTACAACGAAAGAAACATGACCAACAATGTGTCCATAAGTTTATTGTAAGTCATCAGCCGGATGTTATTGTCCTTGGTGCTGTGAATGTGTCCTGTCCACGGTTGAAAGATGATATCAAAGAGGTATAAGCTCCTGCATTATGTGCTTCAGTTTACTTTTGAGTCTGTTCTGCTTATCTATTCCTGGTCTTCTACTGTGTTTTAAATCATGGTCTTTAAATGCATCTTTTCTTGTACGGCAATGAGGGACCACCATTGCCTGGAGTAGGGATGAGAGTTTTTGAGACTTCGAATGCAGACATTTTGGAAAGAGGTTCAACTTCACTTAATCTCTAGTATAATGCACGTCGAGGCCAGGATTTTTATATTTTTCTTTTTGAAGCTTCTTTTCTTTTAAACGTTTGGAATTCTCATATATTTTAAGTGTTTGGAATTCTTGTATCTTTATGTGAGAGTATGTGCAGGATACTTCATATTGAAATGTTTCCTATTACTTGTAGTGATTATAGGTTAATAACCAGTTGTATTATGGAAAAGATTATGAGTTGTCTAATGGGACAGTATTTGAAGAGAATCATATTGTAATCAAGATTTGGGGATAGACTTCAAAGTTTCTATCCATAAACTCTTCTTATTTGACGGCGAGAATAGAATGTAGCTGCTTTAAATTCTAGAAGGAACTGTATTCTGGTTTTGGTTCTGTTGGTTTAAATGGTTGCACATTTCTCACACTGCAATAAGTATCATTGTGTCAAAAACTAAAAACGTGCTGAAACAAATGGCGCAATTTGGAATGGGGAGGAGAGAGCTTTTTGATGTTTTATGGTTCCAAGATACTTTTATGAAAATCTATATTCAAGTATTGTTTCCATTTACTTTTACCCAGTCCATAACTTTTACTTCCTTGAAAGCAATCATGATAACATGTAGAAAATGGCTGCAGTCACATACAGGAATTTATCAATTCCACCTTATGATGCACCAAGGAAAAAAAAAAAAATCCAATAGTTAAAGGCACATACCGTACCTGATACGTTCTCTTTTTTGTCTTTTTAAATTCCTGAGCTCTTTCCAGTAGCAATCCATATTTTGCATACATTCTTGGTTCCTATTTAAGATCCGCACAAGTTGTCTTGGAATTGCTTGAATCATTTGTCACAAGTTTGATTGCAAGTGTTCTTTTCTGTTTTTCTTTTGCCCTTTTACATACTAGGTTAACAATTCCCTTAATTGGAAGGTTTATTCTGCAAATTTGGGAATGATGATTTGCTTTAATAAATCTTGCTTGTTAAACCAGATTATTTCAAAGATAGAGGAAAGTTCTATAGATACCGACCAAGTGTTAAATGGGATCAGTGTTGTTTATGGGGATGAAACCTTGCCCCAGCTTTATGAAAATTCAGAAGTTTCATTGCGACATTTGCCTGGACAAGAAGGTAGCGCGTGCTTCCTTCGATATTTTCTTCTATTTTACTATAATTGAAATGTTTTTACTTCCTCTTTTATCTTGTAATGTTTATAGGCATTGTCAAACGAGCTGTGGGTCTGGGGCGGTACCTGCAAAATCCGTTGGCTATGATTGCTACACTTTGTGGTGTCCAGAAAGAGATCGTTTCTTGGAAGCTTACCTCCTTAGACCACTTTCTAACACCTGAAGAGAAGTATGGGGTGATTGAAATGGTGATGGTGGATATTACCAATCAGGTAGGTGTGGACATAAATGTTGCTGTAAGCCATGACTGGCTCTCTGCTCCTCTTCAGTTTGTATCTGGACTTGGACCTCAGAAGGCAGGTTTTTTACAGAGGGAGTTGGCTGCTGGTAAAATAGTTAATAATCGAAAAGAGTTAGCAAATTGTGGATTGACAACAAAGAAGATTTTCTTTAATGCAGTTGGCTTTTTACATGTCTGTTGTGGAGAGCTGCTCTGTTTTGGAAGTCAATATGATATGTTGGATGGTACGAGAATTCATCCTGAATCATATGGTCTTGCAGAGAAATTGGTTAAGGATGTCTATAATGATGTTGCTGAGGCACAGCCCATAAAACACGTTAAGAACAATCCTCAGCTGCTGAAAGCTTTTGATATTAATGATTATGCTGATGATCATGAAATAGAGCAAGGAGAAAATAAAAAACAGACTCTTCATGACATTAAGATGGAATTTCTACATGGATTTCATGACCCTCGTAGTCCATATGAAGAACCTAGCCAGGATGAGGAATTCTATTTGATATCTGGCAAAAATGAGGTTGCATTTGCTGAAGGAAGAATTGTAAAGGCTATTGTTCGCAGAGTTCTGTCACAATGAGCATTTTGTGCGCTCGACTCCGGCTTGACTGGCATGATCATGAAGGATGATTATTCAGATGAGACTGATGATCATTCTTTGACAGAGAGGCTACGAGAAGGTGATATTCTTACCTGTAAGATAACACAAATTGACAAGAGCAGACACCAGGTGCTTTTAACTTGTAAAGAAAGTGAACTGAAGAGTTCTAGAGACCAAAACTTTCATGAGCTTGAGCCTTATTATTGTGTAGGTCTAAGCAATTTAGTAAGTCTGCAGGAGAAAGCGGGCAAGGAAGACCTCAAAGGTAAACATTTCAATTCGAGGATGATTATTCATCCTCGATTTGAAAATATGACACCAGATCAGGCAGTGGAGGTGTGTTATTTTGATGTGACGTGTCTTCATTATTAATTCAGTGACATTATCATTTAGAATTTTAAACTCGTGGTTCTGGATTTTTCATATACTGATAAGGGATTTCATCAACATTTTGTGAGCAGTTCCTGGCAGACAAGGATGTTGGTGAGCATATTTTTCGTCCAACTTCAAGGGGTCTGCATTATTTGACTCTTACTGTGAAAGTCTTTGATGGCCTTTATGTTCACAAAGACATCATCGAAGGTGGAAAGAATCTCAAAGACATTTCAAGCATACTTGATTGTGGGAAAACATTTAAGATAGGTGATGACATTTTTAAGGATTTAGATGAGGTTGGTACTTTTGTCTCATCTCTCTTGGAAGGCTTGCATGCTTTGTTTCTTGTACTGTCATATGCATCTGAGAGTATAACAGATCTGTTCTCGTGCTAGAAAATTAATGCTATGGCAACCATTGTCAGGTTTAGAGCATTCTTTATGCATCAAACAGGCTGCTTAATCCTATCAAATACGTGGAGTAATCTAGGACTGATTAGTAATTGTTACATGCGTTTAATTTTCTGCAAGTCTGATGTATGAATCATTTGTATCGACAGTAAGATACTGAATCATCTTGGTTAGTTTCCTTACAAGACATAGTTGTAAGCTAATTGGGTTCTTAGTATTATAATGAATCATCAATTTGTTAAAGCCATGCATGATGCAGCAAATAAATAAATTCATGCAATAAATTAAGATAATTGGAGCAGTATGTTTATTTGCACTATCAACAATATTTGAACGTCTTGTATTTTTTAACATGGGTTACTGAACAAAACATTTTTCTGGAACTCGTTGATGTTGATACTGTTGATTCCTTTGTTTTTGAATCTAGGTTATTGATCAATATGTTGATCCATTGGTGACTCACCTGAAAGCAATGCTAAGTTTCCGAAGATTTAAGAAGGGCTCAAAAGCGGCGGTTGATGAACTCTTAAGAGCTGAGAAATCAGATTATCCCACGAGGATAGCTTACTGCTTTGGCGTTTCTTATGAGCATCCTGGCACTTTCATCTTGTCTTACATAAGAACAAATCTACATCATGAGTATATTGGTCTGCATTCAAAGGGATTCAAATTTAGGAAGCAGACATTCGGTAAGGTAGAGCAGCTTGTGGCATATTTCCAGAAACACATTGATGATCTAAAGCATCAGCCAGCACAAACGAGAAGCCCTGTTACTAATTCTTCTGCTAGAGCATCCATGGACTTCAGTAATGAAAGTGGTTGGAAAAGCCAGCTGAACTCAAGCAAAGATAAGCTGTTAGCACATGGCTCTGTAGGTAAAACAATTTTGTTTTGCCCTGAGAATTATTTTCCTGTATCACATTGGCATGAGCTTGTGACATCATACCTTAGAAATAGTAGTCCTATTTGTACAAAACTCTTTCATGTCTTGCAAAACACAGGCTATATCAATCTGTTCCCATACAGAGATAGGAAAAATGTTTAAATATGCTATCTACAAGATTTTCTGTAGAGTAGGCGATTGTGCAGGATCTAATTTCCAGTTATAATAACGAATCTTTGTTGCTACTTGCTCTAAATGCAGCTGGCTAAAATTCTTCATTTCCTGTGAGACACAAAATAATACGTGTTATGCTTTGTCATCTGGTCCATTACTTTGTATGCCTAGGACATACAATCAAGTGGCATTAAATTTTCAGTTTAGTTAGATGGAATTTTTTTGAGAATTTTTGTTGCTGAAAGTGCGTATTCTTTTTTCCTTCCCATGTGGATGCCATAATATTTGCTTTGTGTTTATATTTAGCCACCAATAGAAATTAGTCTTATTAGGTGGACATAGATTTAAACTTTGTCAAAGTCAGTTGTTGAATCCAAGAGATCTACCCTATAAAAAGTGGATCTACTCAGCAGTCTCAAGTTGAGGATTTTTGTGCATAAAAAATAAATAATTTTATCTTCACATCTCATTGTTCTCATTGATGCTTCCTTAATTTGGTAAGACAAGTCGCAACAATATATATATATATATATATATGAACCCCTGGATGCCATGCTTTTCATATGAATCTCACTTGGCAAGGTACATAGGAGCACTACTGACGTGTCCACATCACATTCACTTGATACTAGTTGAGAAAATTCCTAGATACGTGGAATTGTATTATGGAGTTTAATTTTCAGAATGAGTTCGTTGACTTTGACTGACGGGATTTAATCCTCAGCATAAAGTACAAATAGTAACCTGGTATCTCCTTTGTTTAGAAGTAGCACAATTCTAAGGTTTGAATGCTGACACTAAGGTCAAATCAAGGCACAAAGGAATTCACCCCATTTCTTATCATAGGAATATCTATGTACATGCTTTCTGAAAGTTATATAGGGATTGATAATTATTAGGTTGTATATTTCAGGTTTGTAAATGCCGGTCTCACATTTGAAAGCTTTAGGGACATTATTGGTCCAAAATTGGAGTAGAAAAAGTTTGAATCAGTTGAATATTGCTGAACAAATTTTGTAAGAGCGATCCTTTTAAACTCTCTTTTGACATTGAGGATCTATCAGAAAATAAACGCAGTCTAACTATGTGAGAAACATGATCCTAAATGATTTCTATTATTAAGAAGATTCGAGATGTATGTATATATAAAAATTTTGTTTTTCTATTGACCACTAGAACAAGCAACCAGGGAAGAAGAATTCTAGCTTTTTTAGTTTATTGGGTACATGTAGATAAATTCTGCTACAATGTGATAACTAATGCGAGGATTCATTTTGTGATTTTGAAGAACCATTTTAAAGGTTTATATTTTATTTTATTTTTTGTGTTTGGGAAAATTCAGGATGGATCTGAACAGAAAGCTCTCCGCTGGTTGTCTTTCGTGACTTCTCTTTTCTTCCTGTTAATGACGTTTTTTTCCTCCGACGTTAGAAAAAATGGGTTTTCCTGAAAAAACCAGGTTAGGTATTTTTATTCTTTGAAATAAATATATGTAAACACCAATGGTTCAATTTAGTTGCAATTGAACTTTCCTGGAAAATTTATGTGCGTTTAGAATGTGATGTAGTTTAATTTTCTTACGAAGTTCCATTTCTAGGTTTTATTCAACTTTTAATTGAAGAATTTGGCGTTAACTGCAGGTTTTTTTTTTTTTTTTTTTTTTTTTTTTTCTGAAGTATGTGAGCAACCAGGACCTATCTATGCTTGGGAACGTATGCTATTAGCAATTTTTTTTTGTTGGATGTGTTCACTGATTTTGTAGTTCGTGGCTTTTTCACACATGGCTAACAGGAATTAGAGATTACACCAGAGATGATGGTGGCAGTGGTTGTGCTCGTGGACGTGGATGTGGGCATCCTAGTGGGTTACCTCGACCTAATGGTGGTCGTGGTCAGGGACAGGGACGTGATCGTAGCTCGTATGACAATGGAAACCTCGACAACAGCAAAGAAGATGAAGAATCTGGTTATGATGTTGCATCAAAATGGGGCTCTGGTTCTAAGGGGTCAAATGGAGATGATGGTGGCAGATGGTCTAGTACTGAAGGTACATATATTGGCAATTGGGTTGGCCATGGACATGGTGGACATGACTCCGATGATGATTCACGCAAGGAGAATTTCAATGCTGAGTGGAATGGGGGTGGGAACGGTACCACCAGTGGTGGAAATTGGAGTAATGCTTTCGGTGGTAATACCGGTGGCTGGAGTGGCAATGAGGGTGGGACAGCTAATGGTGGCGGTTGGAGTAGGGGTGGGGGAAGTTGGAGAAACGGGGACAGGTCGGGGTTCTAGTGGTAACAACCGTGGGGGCGGTGGCCGAGGACTTGGGCATGAGTCTTACAATAGTGCGAGTCAAAATGTCTTCGAGGAGCCCATTGCTGGTGGGTGGAGTAGCGGTGGAACTGATGGACAAGCCACTTACAACAGTAATGAGAGTCAAAATGCCCGGAAGGAAACTTCTTCTGGTGGATGGGGTGGCAACGGAAGTGATAGGCCCAGCTCATATAACATTGGGAGTGAAAATGCTTGCAAGGAAAATTTCTCTGTTGGATGGAGTACCAGCAGAACCAATAGTACTGGTGGTGGAAATTGGAGTAAAGGTTGCAGAGGTAACACTGGTGGTTGGGCTGGAACCAATGGTGGTGGAAGTGCTACTGGTGGTCATTAGCGCAGCAATGAGGGGCGTGGAAGAGGAAGGACAGGTGACTGTAGTGGCAGGGAAGGTGGGAGGGGAATGGATCATCAGGGACGTGGAAGAGGAAGGGCAGGTGACTGGAGTGGCAGGGAAGGTAGGAGGGGAATGGATCATCAGGGTAGCAGTAATGGGCATGGACGAGGGCGTGGACAGGGGCGTGGGAACAGAGGTGGCTTAGGTAATGGAAGGGGTGATAACAACTGCAATGGGGGCGACTCTGGAAACAATACCTCTTACTGGCATGATAATGGGATGGCCACTTTTAAAACTGGTGGTGGAAATTTGGGTTCTGGCTCTAGTTATTGGGGCAACAATACTGGTGGAAATGCTAGCAGTTGTGGTTGGGGTGGCAGTGGGCAACCTATGAATGCTGGTGGTCGCAAATGGGGTGGAAGTGGTGACAATTCTCAAGGAATTCTTGGAAGTCGTTCCGCAAGTGGCAGTAGTTGGATGGCTAGGAACAACGGAGGAGGGAATGATGGTTGGGGTACTGGGGCCAGCAGCGATTGGAGTCATGGTGGTTTTAATACTAATTCTCAATCTGGGAATACTGGATGGGGTGCTGGTTCTGGAAAGAGTTCATCTCACCCTGCTGGTGGGAGTGGATGGTCAGGAAGTAGTGGTGGTCGTTGGTGAAATTTCGTCCTACAACTAGTTTCTAACATCAATATAGTTGCATATAGAAAAAGTCAATCCTCCCTTTTGATTTTCTTGTAGTCAGTGACTTGCATAGCTTACTTGTGACAGCTGATAGTTAACAAAGACCTAATCTCTTAGCACAAAAGTTGCGGAAACTAATGATCTGGTGGTTTTGTTATATTAAACATGTCTGCGCCAGTTGAGAGTTGGTGCTTGGTGGTACGAGCATTGTTTTAGAAATATCTGTCGTCCATTTCTTCAGGAATCCCCTTGCTTGGGCTAGCAGCTGCTAAATTTTCAATTGGATGATAGAGGGAGTATATTTTTTAAAATCGTTGGAAAAGAGAGATTAATCTCGTATATTCTTTAATTATATATTTTTTTTATAGGAGAATATTACCCTTGTCATGAAAATAAATAAATAAGTTGACATACGTCAAAATGTCCCTCCTAATTATATAGATAGTTTCAATTTTGCTCTTGAATGAATTTGTCTTAAACTTTCCAGAAAACAGAAAATGGTTTTTGGAGGAATCTTCCATAAAATTAATTTTATTAAATTACCAATAAAAGACTCAATTCTTGTCACTACAAATTGTTCAGAAAAGTTTGCTGATTTTTTGTAACCCTTTCTTGGGTCCTCCAAATATTAAGAAGTCAGAAAAATAGTACACAAAGCCCATAATCATAGTTGGACTAGCCTAACCCAAACGAGCCCAACTTATCTCCATAACTATAAAATTCCCCTCCACCGAAATACAGGGTTTTAGGGTTTTTGTGTACGAACTGAGAACACTCTTTCACTGTCCCTCTGCAAAAAATAAAAAAGCAGCAAGAAACCATGACTGCCCAGACTCAAGAAGAGCTCCTTGCTGCCCAGCTCGAAGTCCAAAAGATTCTCGAAGTAACTCTCTAGATTTTTTTAATGTGTATAGACATATGTATGATGGGATCTAAAGTTCTTTACTTTCGCTATATTTCTATCATTTCTGAGGTTCTATCAATGATTTGCTAGTGGATCTTTAATGGGTTATTGTTCAATTTAACTTTTATTTGTTGTTTATGGTCATTTTATTTGTGCTAGATCTGATCTAATCAATAAATATTAGTTCTTTATTACTTTATGAGTTATTGGGTACTGTACGAAGTGTTTGAAACCCGGGAAAGAAATACCATTCAGGCAATATTTCCAAAGGAGTTGCAAATGGATTCGCAGGTTCACCAATCATTAATAGTTCTTTATTACATTATGAAGTTGATGGGTATGTGCAAGTTTGATGTTTTATTTAATGGTGGGCGTGCTTTGGGTTAAAGTATCGATGGGGTTTGTTGTTTATGAACACTTGTTGGCTATTTGGTAATTTGGTGTGAATTTGTGGATGATAAATAAAGATTTGATTAGGTTTCTTTAGTGATTTTCTGTCTGTGGAACTGTATGTGAATATGGTTGTTCTAATGGAATGTAACTTGTTCGAAAATTTTATGATTGAGAATTGGTAACAAATTTTTTTTGATTTATGGTATTCTAATAATGTGGAAACTATCTAAAAACCCTCTTTTTTTCTTGCGAAGGCTGATAAGCCTGAGGTTGAGGATGAAGAGGATGAGGACGAGGATGAAGATGACGACGATGATGACAAGGATGAGGACGAAGCTGAAGGTAGATTCTCAGTGTTTGGAATCTTATTGATTTTGTTTTGTTTCTATAAACCCAGAATTTCTTTTATCAATTTTTGAGGTTTGAGTGTTACCTGCATTTGTGGATTTGCACAAGTACATTTTTATGTACATATTGTCTATATTGGTATGCTGAATGATTCTGAATTCGTTGAATATGATGCATGAAGCTTTGTGCTTGTCTACATGGTTGCACAACATTTCTTTGGTATTTAGAAGTCATTGGGTTTTGGAATTTTGTATTACCTCCTGTCTCCTATATTTCATCACTTTTCCTAGCATTAGATTGTATTGTTGCCATAGCAGTCATCTACTGTGTTAAAATATTAGCAACAGGGTATCTGATATTAGATATGATGTAAGAAGTGATGCTATTCTTTTTTATTTTGGTCAGTGCAACTTATTTTATTAGTTACTTGAATTCTTAAAGCGTTTAATGACAGATCATTAAGATTTAAGGCAATTTTAGCTTTTAGCTGTTACACCTGGCAGTGTCGAAATCTGATGTAATATATATATATATATATATATCCTGCAAAGGAGAAAGAAACAATGGGACTTGTCTTAGCCTCTATTGCTGTGAAGAGTGCATAAGAGGTTATAAGAAATCCTGAAATTCATTTCCATTCTTCAACTTTGTCAACTGGTAATAATATATGTTAACTTGATTTTCATGGGTACTATTTTGTTCATGTTGTTTTTATTCACCGACAAAAAAAAAAAAAAAAAATGAAGAGAAAATGTTTCAAGGCACTTGCACATGCATCCACAAGGCCTTTTTATATGTGGTTCACATATTTGATATGGAATCTGAGTGCTATTAGCTGGAGGAAAAATAGAGATGTATTACTGACTTTGGGTTTGGTTTTGAAAAATGTCCAAATTGTTGAGTGGATAACGAACAACCTTGGATCATAAATTTAAATCTGTGCCATTCATAATCATTGAGTTGACAATTGCTGTGGATTTGTTTTGCATATGAACTCTTAAAATGGTTTGCCTTGTTTTCATTGATTACAATCTGTTAGGCATCTGGCAATATAGCATTCAACTTTTCAGTGAGCCCTGTGTTCTATGTGATTATGATATAGTGTCATTCACAGAATCCTAGTATAGTATGAATTATCCTGCTTTGGGATGAAAAGGTGTGGAGATAGCGTTCTCTTCTTTCCTGTTTATTTTCCTGTCAGTAATTTAATCTTGCAAAGTGTACTTAAGCAAGTGTGAGAACACTCTTTCAGCTTATTTTTTATTTTGTTCTTTGGATATTTGTGCTAATGATTTTCCTCCTCTTTTCCACAGGACAACAAGATGGAGATGCCAGTGGTAGATCAAAACAAAGCAGAAGTGAAAAGAAGAGTCGTAAAGCAATGTTGAAGCTTGGAATGAAACCTATCCCTGGTGTTAGTCGGGTTACAGTAAAAAAGAGCAAGAATGTAAGCTTTTCATTTTGTTGATTCATATTTCTTGCTTTTTATAAAAACTCAGCTCTTATATATTTTTCTTGTCTGCTAACACCTAACATTGGGTACCACTTAAACCAGATCTTGTTTGTTATCTCCAAACCTGATGTTTTCAAGAGCCCAACTTCTGACACATATGTGATCTTTGGGGAGGCTAAGATTGAGGACTTGAGCTCCCAACTACAAACTCAGGCAGCAGAGCAGTTCAAGGCACCTGATCTCAGTCATGTGATTTCAAAGCCTGAGACTTCAGCCATGGCTCAGGATGATGAAGAGGTTGATGAAACTGGAGTGGAGCCAAAGGATATTGAATTAGTGATGACCCAGGCAGGAGTCTCCAGGTCAAAGGCTGTGAAAGCTCTGAAGTCTGCAGATGGAGACATAGTCACTGCCATCATGGATCTGACCACTTAGTAGGTGCCTTATCTAAAATGTCTTCATAGAGACAATCGAAAATGTCATGCGATAGAGACAGTTATTGTGGCTTTCCCGGCTATGGGTTTTCAAGTCAAGGATCTTTTCAAATTTTGTTATCTTGTGATTTCCATGGTGTTTTCTGTTGTATTTTATCAGTAAACAACAAGTCTGGAATGCAACTTTTTGCTAAGAGCTTTAATTTTTCATATGTCAAGTTTAATAGATACAGGACTTTTTGCGCAATTGTTCCTTGTGTTTTTATAAGGTTGCAGAATTTAAATGTCAGCTATATGATAGCTGAACTTAGGAATGAGAATCTTTGATTCAAGATTTCCTAGTTATCAGTTAGGAACAATCTGGGTCTGGCTAGTATACCTATCAGCCAATCTTCATAAATTTGGCCAGTTTACCATATTTTTCGGAACACTACTGTTCTTTAGATCAGTTGGCTTCCTTGAGCTTCTGTTTTTTTTTTTTTTTTATTGAATGATTTAGCTTCATTTTCTTTGTTTAGACCCAATATATATATATATATATATATATATATATATAAAGAGAAATGACAAAGAATGAATCCATTAGTTTGTGAATGTTCCTTGGTGCTCTACATATCAGTAATTGACATTTTTAGGTATTATGGATGAGCTGATTGCATCCATTTTTAGCTAAATTAACCTTACGGAGCTTTCTAAATGTTTCAATAACCAATCTTGTTTGTGTTCGGGCTGGAATTAGTATAAAAAAATATAGAAATTTTATTTAAGAAATATGACTTTACAATTACTCTTTTTGTTCTAAGAAGATTGTTTTTTTTCCCCCCTGTTTATGTGTCAAAAAGATTGCTTCATCAAAACTTTAACTATCGTATTTTTCTGAAGTATTTGTAATCAAATTTTTTTTTTCATTTCTTATTTTTCACTAACTAGAAAATCAATGCTTGTTTGGGAGGATATTTTAGAAAAATAAAGTTAAAAAACTGACGTGTTATAATAATTAACATTTCTCTTAAAAGTATATGAAAAATGGAAAGAGACTAATATTTTGGAATTAGTTAAAATATGAGGAAGATGAAATATTAATAAAGAAATCGTTGATATTGGTAAATGAGAAAACGGTAGGTAGTGTTAGGGAAAAATAAAGGAAAATTCGTAAAATCTAATTTTACAATCGCTCTATAAATTACAACCTCGTTGCCTCCTTACTCATGTTTTTAATATTATTTTCATCAACTATTTCTTGCATTGCACCTCCTTGTTTATTCATGAGACATTATAGTTTTTTTTTTTTTTTTTTGGGATAGTGTGTGTGTTTGTGGGCGTTTTGGTTGTGCATGATAGAACAAGCCAGACAGAGCCTGCAAGACAATTAGGCCAAAAATATCAGGTAACGTGGAAACGAAAACTTAAGCAAAATTAGTAAAGGCGTGGTTATGTAATTAAGGTACCAAATCAGGAACTAATAAATAACTTGGATTGAACACCATATACCCACTCGTTGAACTACTAGGGGGTTCCTCTTCTGCACTTATCATCTAGCTTTTGTTAGGATATACATGGTTTGGAACTCTACGTAACAGCAAGGATCACTTATCATCTGTTAATTGCACACAACAGAGGGATACCAAACTAAAATCTAGCTTTTTTATAGCAAACAAAGAGACTGAAATCTGCCTCTCCAGTCTCCTCAGTAAAAGGCAATATGAGTTTGTCAAAAATAACAGCTAGGAATTGTAATTTTGTATACCAGAGGAACAAAGCTAATCGACCTGACATTTTTAATATCTGATGCTCCCTGAAAAACGAAATGATCTCATTATTTTCACCACCACCTTGCCACAACATTTTCGTTCTCCTTTAAGTATCTTTACAATCAAATGAACGGTCCTCTTCCTCAAAAGTCTTTCAAGCCAGCAAACCAGATTCTAATAATACCCATCCATACCTTCCAAGTGCTTCCCAACAAAAAAACCATTTTGTGCAAAGAAAGCAGATTGAGAAGCGGTGCTTATTGCAATTGAACGCTGAGTCATAATAGTGGTTTAGTAAACCATGTATTATTTGCAGGTTTTATGTTGGGAAGACATGTGATTATATTAAGAGGGATTTACTGAAAATGATACACATACAAAATCGACATGCCAGGACAATAAATTTAGGAATACAAATTGGTGAGCAGATCAAACTACTTCTAAAGAAAATTAGACTATCACCATGTTAGTCATTGCAGAAGTGAAGTAAAAGCTCACCTGTTTGGCATCAAGTATCTGTGTTTTTTGCTTCGATAGTGCCGCAATATATCTCCAACAAGCCAGGTACTTTATCTGCATACTTTGTAACATAATTTTCCAAGAATTTCTTCTCACTCATTGTTGTTAGCAACCACAAAATCATCTGCTTCCTTTCAATCAGATTCTTTGACTCCAAAGCCTTCAAAACATTATACCTTGGACGAACCCTTTTATCAATTGAGTACAAAAGGATAACTGGGTTTATAATTACAGTTTGTGATCTTAATCTCATAGTATTCACGAAAAAGTCCATGGCGCTCCTGACTTTGATCTTTGAAACTGCCATTATATCTGGATGTCGCTTAAAGGATGACAAAACCTCCTCTTCAGTCCACCCCAAACTCTTCAGATCCTCAATTTTCTTCTTCCATGTGGATTCATTCATTCCTGTCATCACTCTAACAGCATGTGAAAAAACAGGAGCCTTTGGTTCAAGGCCCAAATTCTTAACAGAATTTACTACGCAGTTAATCCTACTAGGGTTTTGCTGTAAATTTCGGGGATACGTCAAAAGCAGTTTGGCAACCCTATCAAGAGGCATTCCCTCTTTCATCAAGAAAACAAGATTTGGTTGCAGATTAGAATGGTAATTAAAGCTAAGTAACCACGGAGAACGCCTCAGAGCTGCCAAAAGTTTCTCATTGGTGTCAAGAAAGGGCTTCAAAAACTCAAAGCATGGCTTAATATGAGAATCTATGTTTCTTTTCAAAATCGATGGATCTAATAAGATAAGCTGAGGCAGAAGATGACCCACAAAACCATTCTGAGTAAGGAAATCGACCTTGAGCTTGAGGGTGCTTTCGACTTTGCAAAGGAGGACTCTGGGATACTTTTCTATCAATTTGCCTATCTGGGTTTCGTTGAAGTGGTGAGCTTTCAAGAACTCAACTACAGATTGGGAGTTTTGGATTTTATTTTCGTGGATCTGGAACTTTTTAGAAAGTGAGAGAGCGGATTTTAAAGGAAGCCCACATGAACTGATGAGAAACTGAACTGTAAGAGATGATGAAGAAGAAGACGAAGAAGAGTAGTTACTGGGTAGTGGAGAAGTAGTAGAACAAAGTGTAGCAGCAGATGTTTGTATACGTCGCCTTTGCCAAAAAGAAATAAGGTTCCTAGCGGCGGCCATCGTTCAAGGGGATGGATAGAAAAGACGACGAGGAGGGGTTAGCTATGCGTTTGTGTTAGAGCTCAGCTGGATTATCATGGGCCGGGTCTGATAGGGTTTATAGTTGGCCCAATATATTTCAACCTGTGATTCTTCGTTGTACATTGGTCTCTTGGTTTAGCCATTGAGATTTTTCTTGAGATTTTTCTAAAATCCACCTCCCGGTGGCTAGTCCTACAATTATGGCTCCAAGAGAGCAGTTCTTAACGGATGCTCACATGAGTTGATGAGGAATTGAACAGTAAAATAATGTGGGTGAGGCTGTTTTGAGGGTTTTGGTAGGTAATGATGATGGAGAAGATGATGATTTATGCAGAAAACATTTTTGTATCAGAGAAAACATTAGACTTCCTTCCTTCATTTCGGCATTGAAAGCAAATTTTCCTTTTCTTTTCTTTTAAAAAACATGGAAGAGTTTTGGAATGAGATTCATTTTTTTAGTCACAAACTGAGTAAACAAATTGAATAGTGGAAAAGTGAAAGGATAGGAAGGATGGAAGAAAACAAGTAATTGGGCCGAATTTTTTGCTATTAGGGCCGGCTTAATAAGATCCATTTGCAGTGTGTACTGAAGCCTCACGAGTCATGACAGCGAAGTGTCTTTCACAGATTGACATAGAATGGGCCAACAATAACCCGGATAGATCTGGCCCACTTATTGAAAGATGGCATTTCGTGAGTGATAGACTCTACCACGATCCAATTTAGATGAGATTTGGTACGAAATTAAAAAAAATAAAAATAAAGATCAATTATTACCGAAGTAATAATCATAACATCTTTTTTTTTTTTTTTTAAATGTTAAGAATTGGTATTCAAGGATATTTCGCGTGATAATAAATTGAAGAGTTAAATGTTAGTGAAAATTGAAAAAAAAATTAAATTACTAGTAATATTTGGTGAGAGAAAAAAAATTATTTGATGCATATTTTGAGGGAAAAAAGAGAGACAAAATAATAATAATAATTATTATAATTATAATAATACTTGCAGTGCACCGGACATATAATTTTTTTTCAATAATAAGAATGTTTACAGATTAGCTCTCACACATTTCAAAATTAATCTTGTTTTGAATTAATTTGATTATTTTAAAAATAAATTATCAAAAGCTTATAAGTTGACGCTTGCTTATTAGTAAACAACCATATTGTGATTGCCAAACATGGAATTTCAAAAGAGTAAAATCCAACCACCATTAACACCCTACCAAATACCCTTCAAGCTCCAAAATTTTCTCCTTCAGCTAGTTCAAACAAATTTGCAACTTCATTTGTGAAGTCAAATAGCTTATAGATATAGAAAGAGATGAGGCAAGGGTGCACTACTGTAGAACATTCGGTCACTTGAATCTAACCCCTACCTGCGTGGCCATCTAACGAAACAAGCAAAAGCTTACCAGACTATATATAGAACAAAAATCAAATGGAAATATTGTGAAAGCAACTTTTCCAGCGATACTGAAGGGAGACACTTCAAGAAAGAGCAGCAGTGTCACCCTTAGTAAACCCAAGAGAGCTTTGAATACTAGAAGAAAAACACCTATGCCTAGCAAGATTAAGTGAATACCTAAAATTGTCTGTCGTTTTATTTCTATACTCCATTAGAGTCCATCTGCCCGTGTACAGGCTCTGCATTTTGCAGAAAAAAACTATGTATTTGTGCGTTTCACAAACTTTCACCATATCGAGCAGTCGTAAAATTTAATAAATAAGTGTCCTGGGATCAAAATGCCATAGGAATATGGAGCTAGCAGGCAAAAGATCCAACTTAAATTTGGTAGTAAAATAAACCTCAGTCTACCAAAGTACGTAATTGGTATATCTTTAGTTTCACGTAACTGCATGTTAGCTAGTCTGGAATTTCGCTTTTACTTTAATTTATCCCACTTTACAGCAGTATATAACTTAGGTAAGGGTAGGTGCCTTTTTTCTTGACTAGAAACAGCAGTATGTCTCTTGTTCAACAGTGTTCATGAATCTAACAATTTTTGTTGCTCCTGAAATTAATTTACATGCTGCAACGCAATTTCTTTCAGATGAAAAAGAGTTGAAATTATGGAATACCCACATAGGAATAGTGAAAAGGCCAAAGTGCAAGACGCAATGATATTTTTGGATGTGCTTTTCTGAACTAATAATTAATTAATCAACAATACAGATTGATTAATTAATCGATGTGTTAAACTAATCCTAATAGTTAAACAATTCTTCCCTCTTTTTTCTTTTACACTTTTTTCTGCAGGAACCGTCAAATTTCACATCTGTGGTTCGAAATCACTAACAATTTTCATTTCAAAAAGGTTTATTTTGTAATCCTGGGTTTTGTGTTGCCGTCTCCGAACTTAGCTTTAAATAACTTTAAACAATCAAAATCTTGTAGAAAATCTAACCATAATCTAAACAATAAAAGCTTCTAAAAGCTAATTAGCTCAACTTCCAAGGAAGCTCAGATGCTAATTATTCCTCGCTGATAAATATGTTTAGTAGTATATATAGATAATGGCTCGAAGAAGGTAACAGCCCTTGTTTAATTATTAACCTGTAGTAATTAGATAATGGCTGAAATGGTAACAATTAATTTACCACTGGATGCAAGCTCACCTTCTTCATCTAGAAGTCCCGACTGGCTGGCATCGATAATTGCTGAAGGTCAGGAAGAGACTGACAACCATAGGCAGTGGCCACAGATTCCAAAGGTACCGGCTAGGCTCCGAGGGATTCAGTCAAACAAGAATTGCTACGATCCCATGGTGGTATCCATTGGTCCTTACCACCATGGGAAGACTGAACTCTGGGATCTGGAGAAGCTCAAGCTTACATTTGTATTCAAGCTTGTCAAAGATAGTGGAATATCCATTGACGATTTTTACTTCAAGGTGGCGGAGGTGGCCGACGATGCAAGGAAATGCTATGCTGAGGACCTAACAAATGAGATAGATGATGAGAAATTTACTCAGATAATGTTTCTCGACAGCTGCTTCATTCTCCAATTTATTGTCTGTCTCCTGCGCAGGCCTGAAGATCTGAAGATGACCGGTTACCAGGTAAATTTGGTTAAAAGGGATTTGTTCCTGCTAGAAAACCAACTCCCTTTCCAAGTCATTTGGTCACTGCTGAGATCGAGGTTCAGAGAAGAAGAAGGAGGCGGGAAGCAACTGATCAAAGATTTCATCAGGCACATTCGAGCTCTTCCTCCTCCACAACATTCATTCAAGGAAACGATGAGGGAGCTTGTCCACAAATTTATTTTTCCAAGAAAAATAAAAAAGTGGGGAGATAATCAAGAAACTGCAGATCACCCGCCTGTCCATCTCCTTGGACTTCTTCATGCCAACCACATCCATAAAGAAGGCTGCAGTATTTGTTCTCACCAAACCAGTGACTAGTACTCGTACCGTTCCGCGAAAGACCTTAGGACCGTGGGTATCCGCTTTAGGCCAAACTGGACTAATGCGTACTCAAACGTCGAGTTCCAATCATCAGTCCGCGGTAGCAAACTAATACTTCCTCCAGTAACCATAGATGACTCATTCAAGTCCATGCTGTTAAACTTGATAGCCTATGAAACTACATCCTCTGATTTATCTGGTCAACTTTGGGTTTCTTCGTATGCATGCTTCTTAGATTCATTGATTCAAGATGTTGAAGATGTGAAGGTGCTGCAATCAGATGGCGTACTCAATATTTTTGTTCGTGTGCAGGAGGTTGCAGATCTCTTCAATCAGATGTCCAGAAACTTGGTGCCCAACCCTTATGCTTATAGTGATGTCAAAAGGAAAATTGAACTGGACCGCAAGAACATCACCAAGAAATGGGTAGCTGAGTGGCTGCAAACTTACTTTAGCAGTCCATGGAGCTTTATTGCACTTGTTGCTGCAACTTTAACCATTATATTAACTACTGTGCAGACATTTATGCAATGCACTGATGATACTTGTAGTTGTAAGTGCTGTTCACCAGCTAAAGGCACTTCACTGACTTCCAACTTATTAGATGAGTGTGAATTTGTTCTTCCTGTAAGAGTATGGCTTATTTTGGCTTTATGTATTTCTGTAATTCTTAATTTTATATGTCTCTCTTTGTACAATGAACTCTTTAATTTTTTTAATTCTTAATTTTATATATCTGTCTCAGCTGCATTGGAACTCTGAGCCATTTCTCAACATTTGGCCTTCTGACAATCTTTTCAGTTGGAGCTTTTGAGGTACTAAGGAAAACAGATATTTGTATTTTGCATGAGAACACAAAAACTTGTAGTTATTTGTAAAACCTTCATTGCTGCTACATTTTTTCTACTTCCACTGCAAATTTATCTAATATCAGGAGAGGTGGGAGAAAATGTAGCAGCATATTATGATATTTGCGGAGAGCAACATGTTTTGCATTTCTCTTCTCATGCATGTATTCTATTCATTGGTGACCATTTTTACAAGGCAAATTCTTTTCAAAATGGGGTCTTAAACGAGATTCGGATTTTCAGGAAATGAGATTCGTATTTTAAGGAATGATCTGAACCAGTCTCGGTTGTGTTATCTTTATTGGCCGAATATTAAGCATCTGCAAAAAAAGTAATGGTTGGCACATGCCGATCCTCTCTGAAAAGAAGATCTAAGCTTAACTTTTGCCACAATAAACCTCTACATCTCATAAATAAAATCAAGTTACTGTACTTGTAGTCACCATGTAATCTCAATTTGTCAGTGCCAACGATATCCCTGCTTAATCTCTCTTTTATTCACAGGACACAAGAAGATGGAGATGCTGGCAGGCCAAGACAAAACAGCAAGTGCATAGAAGAGTGGTAAAGCAATATTGATGCTTGAAATGAAACTTATCCCTAACGCTAGTTGGATTACTGTCGATAGGAGCAGGAATGTTTGCGTGCTTCCCATTTTAATTGATTCATCCATATTGCTCGCTTTCATACGTTCTCTTCTTTTATATATGTAAGCAGGACCTGATAGCGATCCCTGTTTAAAGCCAAACACAGAGATTTAACCAAAAAGGGCCCCGGGGGGGGGGGGTTGTGTTGGGGTGGGAAGAAAAGAAAGAATTGTTAACTCTCAGTTACAGAATAAAGAAAAGAAATACGTGATGCAGAAGGATGCACAGCTGCAGCACTACAAAAGCTGTGCTTAGAGGACAGTTGAGCTGAGTGCCATCTTGAATTTCTGTCTTTACACAAAAAGTAGAGGCAAGCATGGATTGCATAGCTGGCATACTGCTGACAATATAGGCTCAAACTTATGATAAGAAAAAGAATTGAATTCTCGGTATCCTCAACATCTCTCCATCACAAAGTAAAAAAAAAAAAAACGAACTGCATTAGTTTGTCAGATTGCCTGTGGATAATATCAACTCCCATAAGTTATTGGAAGTGGTGAAAATTGTAGGAGTTACTGAGGATTCAAATGAAACTGCAGCGCCGTTGCCTGCCATTTCAATGAAATGGAGAATTGAGAGGAAAACCGACGTAGCGGAAGATCACAAGAAAGAAAAGATAAATATCATTGATCCGATATTCAGATATCAGTCTACTATCACCCGTTGATTTGCACATATATACTAGGGAATAGGCTTCAATTTTGTTGATTCAAAAAATGTGAGCAATTAGAAAACCGAGATGCTTTCTCACAAAAGTTTATTAATCAAGCAAAAAATGACGTTTTTCCCGCCTATAATTATTACTTAAATAGTAAATTTTAGGTCAAAATCCTAAAGCAATTTGAAAAGAAAAAAATACTAAAAGTCTAAAGTAAAATAGGAAAAACCAAAACTTTCGTATATACGAGGTTACTATTCCAACGGAATAGTAAATTGCCATTTTGAGGGCCTAAACGACATTTTTTTTTACGAAAATCACACAAACATCATGGGCAAAGCCGATGAGTTTTGATCATTGGTCGGTTTCACATCAAATTAGATCCAAAAACCCCCAAAATTAGCCCAAAAATCCCAACTCCTATCACCATACCCTATCGTGCCGCTCCATAAATTCTAAGGCCTTTTGGTCCACATCATTCCTCCCAAGAAAGAAAAAATTCAACCTCTAATTGACTACATCATCATCATTAGAAGAGTCACCATGAAAGGGTATCAAATGCTTGACATTGAACACATCGGTAGTACGAATATAACTAGGCAGACTTAAGGTGATATGCATTGGGATTGATCTTCTCAACTATCTCCATATGACCAATTTTCTTTGCTGCCAATTTCTTGTAATCTCCCATAGAAAAATGATCCTTGGTCGGGACATGCCCACACGAAGTCACTTTCTTTGAACTCGACATGATGACGCCTTTTATCAACAACTGCTTTGTACTTCGCATAAGACCGAGTTAAGTTGTCATACACAGCTTTATGAATCTTTGTAATCCGATTACAAAATCTGCTCGCCTTACCATGAATCTTTGTCTTGCTCGACGAGTGGTATCAAATCCAAAGGCCCACGTGGAACCACGGAATAAACCACCCGAAAAGGATCGAATCCCGTACTCTAGTTAACAACATGGTTATGAGCAAACTCGGCTTGGCATAATTTATGGTCCCAACTCTTGATATGATCACCAACCAAACATCGTAGCAAGTTTTTCAAAGATCGATTGACAACTTCGGCTTGCCCATCCGTCTATGGATGATAGGCACTACCGAAGTTTGACTATGTATTCACCATCTTCCACAAACTACACCAAAAATGATTGAAACACCTTGTATCTCTCGTCGGACACAATGGATACATATAGACTATGCAAGCGATACACCTCTCGAAAATAAAAACAAGCAAGCATTAACGAAGATTCGTTGTCATTTTGCAAGGAATAAAATGAACCATCTTAAAAAAACGATCAACAATCATATAGATGGAATCTTTACCTTGTCGTGTTCGGGTAGTCCTAAAAAAAAATCTATACCGATATCCACCAAAGGCCGAGAAGGCATAGGCAACGACATGTAAAGTCATGCATTAGTAGCAAGACCCTTAGACACTTGACGGATTCGACAACGCCGCACAAACTTATCCACCTCTTTCCGAATGGTAGGCCAAAAGTATGAAGCCCGAACTAGCCGTAATGTCCCGTCTTGCCCTACATGACCCTTCCCACGTAGCTCCTTAATAATTTGCACATGCAAACCGCACTTGGGAACACAAAGCTGGTTTCCCTTGAATAGGAACTCATCATGCAATAGGAATTTTATCTTCTTTTCCTACGTGAAACTTCTCCATAACGATAGAGAAATATGGATCAATATCAAGCAAATCACAAACGAATCTAAACTAGGTACCTCAACTCGCATATGTGTCGTGAAGCAACTCTTCCTACTTAGTGCATCCGCCACTTTATAAGTGACCTCAGCCTTATATTTAACCACAAAAGTGAACTCGTCGTAGGTAAGCAACCCACCTCGTATGCCTTACCGATACCTTATCCCGGTTGTGTAGATGGTTCAACGCCTCATGGTCAATATACAATATGAATTCCTTGTGGAATAAGTAATGTCTCCGAGTGTTTGACTACTTGAACCACTCGCATAAAACTCCAATCATAAGTACCGTAATTAAGCTTTGCACTTGACGATTCTTACCGAAGTAGACCACTAGTCCGTTATTCCGACTCAACACTCGCCCCAATACCCAATTTCGATATATCATTATGTAGCTCAAATGGTTGCATAAAATTTGACAACACTAAAAATAGGTGCGTACGTCAACCATACCTTAATCTATCAAAATGCCTCTTCGCCTCTTCGGACCATGTACATTTTATTCCCTTCATACAATTAATAATCGAGGCCATGATACTACTAAAGTGAGAAATAAAGCATTGGTAAAAAGAAAGAAGCCCATGAAATATTTGAACCTTCGTAATATTGCTAGGTTGTGGCCATCTGTCTCACCATCTCGGCTTTGGACTCATCTACTTGCAATCCATCTTTCGAAATTATATAACCCGTAAACAATATCTTGGGTTCAATGAACACATATTTTTTCACCGTCGCATAAAACATATCTCAACGAAGCACTCGTCAAAACCTCTCTCAAATGTTGAACATGGACTTCGGATCGATACTATAAATCGAATATCATCAAAATAAACAACAAAAAATTTATCGATAAATGGCCTCAAAGCTCGATTCATGACACGCATAAAAGTGCTTGGCGCGTTTGATAACCCAAACGACATGACTAACCATTCATACAACCCCTCACATATCTTAAAGGCCGTCTTCCATTTATCTCCAAGCTTAAGGCATATCCGATGATATCCACTCTTTAAATCCAGCTTTGTAAAGACTCGTTGCCTCATCGATCTAATTAAGCAAGTCATCCAATTATGAAATGGAGAATCCGTATCCAACTCGTAATCTTATTAATGGCATGACTATTTACACAAATGCATCGAGAACCATCCTTCTTTGGCGTTAACAAAGCGGGCATGACACAAGGACTCAAACTCTCTCGCACATGCCCCTCGGCAAGCAACTCTTCAACTTGTCTCCTCAACTCATGCTCACTAGGACTCATCCTATAACCTTAGACTCTAGATCAACATGGTCTTGGATATCTCGTAATGAGAGTAACTCATCGTGCAACTTTTTCGAAAACACATCATGAAATTCTATCATAAGAGGGCCTACGCCTCCGGTACTTTTGCTTTAGTTCGGCTTCCCTTCCCATCGACATATAAATCACTCCCGAATCCCGTATCTCTTCCTCAAATCAAGCCAACGATACCGACTTACTATTGTCCCCTACATGCTTAGAAATAATCAAATTCTTGCTAGGCATAAACACAATTTTAACCTTATTAAAAAGGAACCCGTAAGTGTTAGATCGCCTTTCATGGGTTAAACTCCTATCATACTCGTCATGGTCCACCCAACAACAAATGACATGCATCCATGGCAACCACATCACACCACACATCATCCTTATATTTGGAACTAATAGAGAATGACACTAAAGCACGCTTAGAAATAATTACCTCCCCTCCCCGTTTAAGCCAAGCCGACTTATAAAGCCTCGGATGTCTATCCGTTTTGAGGCTCAACTTTTGTGCTCGCCTCATCGGACATAATATTCTCATAACTACCAAGCATCAATGACAAAGTGATATACCTTATCCCGAATGGTGCGAGTGGATTGAAAGATGTTACTCGACTAATCATTCTCGGTGACCCTAGGAGTTAAGCAAGACCTCCTCACAAACGAGTGTCATCCCCTCATCTCCCATAACAATCTCCTTATCCGGGCATCTTTATCGTCATAAATAGGCTCACTCGTTAACTCATTATCGACTTCATCAAACTCTTTTGTATTAATAAGAAGCACCTTCTTTCCCGTCTTTTGACACTCGATTGCCTATGACCAATTTCATCACAACTCGAAGCATTTTATATGATTATTGGTTACTCTGCTAAGTTGTCTTGTAATTGGAATGCTTCGACCTCCGTTATCGTCGCCTCCTCGCTCGACCTATACCGCCACCACCACCACTTAATCTGCTATCGCCTCCCATATTGAAGGGGTTAGTAAAACTATGTGAATGGCGTGACTACTTCTCAACCAATAACATCTTCCGAAAGATTGCTGAAAGACACACAAGATTGAACATATTAATGGAGTCCCTAATCCGTGGTTGCAATCCCATGATATACATCCCCACCAACCGATCCTCTATCTCCCGTAATTCATTTTGGGCTAACAATTGGTAAAACTCATTGATATAATCATCTACTAATCGAGCCCTCTTTCTTAAATCCTATAATCATTGATACATCATCCTTTAAAAATTATAGGGTA